TTTCTTAGTTATAAATAAATATTTAAAAACTTCAGCATCATTTATTTCCCCCAGCCATATCATATGCTCTATTTATAAAACAAATACGTATAAATGTACGTACATACTACAATATATGCTCGTGGTGCCTCAGCCATGCAATTGCCGGCTGGCGGATGATAAATATTTTCTTAAATTAAACGAACCAATGCAACTTTTAGCAGTTTCTCAAGTTTCCAAAAGATTAAAGCGACACTTCTATGCAGAACCAGTACTATTTACGCTGTTACATACACATCCACATACCGTTATTTACATACTTATGCTTGGGTCTCTTATATTTCTAAGCACCCAGCAGACTTGCGAGTGTTTCAATTTAGATATGATTTAATAATACCCTCCTCATGTGTAATATAAAGGGTGTTTTTTTAGATGTGTGGTTTGTAGTGAGACAATACCATTTTCGAAGTTCTGTCTTTTTGACAGCTGTTTCTTGACTTATACTCGGTGTGGTTTGCCAGTTCATAAAGAACAGACTTACTGCGGAACAATGTTTGCGAATCACGCATATTCGTTATCAAAATAAGGGTCCAATCTACGGCGGAGATAATTACTCAAAAGAGTCGATAATTCGAGTAACCATGGACCGGTTTCGCACCACTTTTCCTCTAGTGAACGCCAGAGACGCCGTACTGTGCGTACCGAAGACGTCATTGCTTTAGTGTAGAACAGAATATCGAGGAATATCCGAAGGAGTTCAGCCATCAGAGGCCGCATAAATTGGAGCTGTGCCCATACACTTTATGTAAGTTTATGGGAAAAAATCTTGGTATTTTGGAGCTTACAAAATCCCACTCATGCAAAAGTTGTACGCGTGCGAGCATCTTAAAACGCGTCGCACGTTCAGTGTAAGAGCCACCCAGCCCATCGAGATGGCCGCTGAGCCCATCGAGATTGCTACCGAGCCCATCGAGATGGCTAACGAGCCCATCGAGATTGCTACCGAGCCCATCGAGATGGCTACCGAGCCCATCGAGATGGCTACCGAGCCCATCGAGATCGCTACCGAGCCCATTGATATGACCACCAAGACCGATTTTCATAAGCAAGATTTTGTTTAGCTTACTTTCGGTTAAATGGGTATGCCAATAAACAAAATTGACGCATTTGCAGTGATGATGGCCCACAAGTCGATGCTGAGACACTTTTACATAATCAAATAGTCACAGATGGTGTGTTCTATGGGCAGAGGATATCATTGAATCATCGCTTCATCGAAACTGAAGCCGGTGATAATGTTTTGTTGTCAATAGGGTACGCTATAGAGCTCTGATTAACGACTTTCCCGTGCCTGAAATGGCGGATGTTGATGTCGAGGAGCTTTGGTTCTAACTAGATGGCACTACATGCCAATACAGCCAACGAAACAACACTACATTTGAAGGAAACTTTTAGTGAGCGCATTTTTCCGCGATGTGGGGCTCTAAGATGATGCTAGACTATTTTTTTTCTTTTTTGAGGTTATGTGTAGTCATTTGTCTAAGCAGATGAGCACGAGTTGATTGACGCCTGGAAAGAGAACATTAGGCGTGTTACAGCTGCTGCAAAAAGTGGTCGAAAAGACGGTTTTTCGACTGGAACTTATTTGACCCAGCTGCGTTGGTCTCTCCTCTCTTTATAATAAAGCTAAGTTCTTTATCGTAAAATTAAATTATATGCGTTTTATTTCTATACTTGAAAACCCACATCTCTAAAAGCATACCCTTTATGTGGCATTTAAGCAGCTAAACGCAAAAGCTCTCAATGCACTTATTTGTTGTTGGCTCTATGTAGATTTGTAACACAATTGAGGCTATCAGCGAACCGCTTACAAAAAAAAGACGAACAAACTTTTGAAATTACACCGTCACATAAAAGGGCAAAGGGACGGGACGTAGAGAAGGCAAACCAAAAATATATATTAACAGCTGTGTGTATGTATATACTATGTATGTGTGACAGAAGTTGTCAAGATAATCGCCTGTAAAACAAAACGACAAAACGACAAATCCACCAATTCATCCGCAATTCAAAGGTTTATGAGAGTCTGACTACATAACTATGCACATATACATAATGTACATACATATGTACGTGTATATTCTAAATGTTGCAACATATCCGTTTAATGCCGTACATATGTAACTACATAGATAAGTGCATAGGTGTCGTCATGTGTAAGCTAAAAAAACATCACAAACACTCGCTATCCAGAGAGAAAGGCAAACTATTGCGGTAATTTTGGTTATGGTTGAAATGGGTAACGGTGTTAAACGGTGTCATGCTGATTGTGAACAGACAATATGGTATTTGAATATTGCGGCAAGCGCTGGGTGTGAATGGAAAGTGTGGCAAGTGCAGGTAGGTATAGTCTCTAATGTAATAGACACACATACATATATGTAATTCAGTTCGAGGAATATTCTTTTTTTGTGAAAAATGAGGTAAGATTGTCCTTTAAATCCAAAAAGAGACATAACGTGGTGAGTGACATTGCAATTTGGTCAGTGCAAAACTGAGTCAACTTTGCCTAAAATGTATCAAGATCAGAGTGACATAGCCATCTTCTCGGATGGCTCTCTACTCGATGAAAAGGTAGGCTGTAGAATTCACTCACCAACGCTCTCAACCAAATTTTAAATTAAGACCTCCAGACTACTACAACGTCTTCTAAACAAAACTTGTCGGAATCACGGCAGACGCAGAATGGTCGATGGGATCTCTGGATAGAAAGAAATCAATCGGATAGCCAAGCTGCTAACAGAACTGTTCAATGTAATTACACCACATCAAAAGTGGCATTGAAATGCTGAAACACATCAAACAAGCTCTCAGCTGGATGCAATACTGCTGTGATCTGAGTGCCCGGCCAAAGGAACAACTCAGGTAACTGTATGGCGGAAGAGCTAGCGGGATATATTGCCACTCGGGCGTATTCTTGTCTATGTAATAAAGTTTGCTTTCACCAAAACAGCCAAAACTAGATGGCTTAGCGAAGAAAACCTGCAAAGTGACTAAACAGATTTGGTCTGTGGTGGATGCTAAAAGATCAATGATCTTATCCACCAGTACTGGTTCATCATTAACTCAGCAATGGGCATCCTAACTGGACACTATTTACGTGGTACTTCCAATTATTTTTATCGTAGCTGCACCGGCGAAGTAGAGAAAGAGTCTGTCGAGCGCTACTTTTGTCACTGTCTAGCCCTAAGAATTAAACGATATAAATATCAAGGGCATCACTTCGTTGACTACCAGTCTGATGTAGCAAAGGCGAAATGGTTCGTATATCTGAGAAGATGTGAAGTATTCTACATCATTATCACAATTGTCCTTCAGGCCTAAGTGCGCTGTTCGCTCGGATCAGCAACCGGGCCAACTCAACTTACTTAAGACTTTCATATCCTATCGAGTTCTCTTCGAGTAAAATCTGGAGATGAAATTTTCTGAGCGTTAAACTTCATTTAAGAGACTAGGCGGGAATTCTCTATGCTCCTATATGGCAGTTCACCAGACCTGTGAGGTTTCAAGCAAGATGAATCTGACTCTTATGATTTATACATACGTCATTCGAAATCTATTCGAAACAGATCAGAAAAGACCAGCTATTTTTCTTTCTTTGAAAACATTATACATAAGCTTTGTCGAAGCTTATGTGGTTGGTTTCAGCAAATCGCTACAGTACATTTTCCGAGCGAGCTTTGAGATTTCTGTCTTGGAAAAAGGGAGAGAGAGAGAGTTTGTTATTAGTAAAGGGAGAGAGAGAGATTGTTATTAGAAAAGGGGAGGTTGTCGACACTTAGGATATTGTGCTTCCCACCTTTAACAAAGTATTTGTTACGAAACAAATCGAACGATTTGATAAATTTTCATTTTTATCCATTTTATTTTTCCCATACTTGTAATTTTCTGGCAGGCTGTCGGGAGCAATATACAAGTACATTGTTCAGACTTCTCTTTCGACCGGTGCTAGCAACAATTTCATCTAGTACGCTCTAGAGTCCACAACCTTACACTAAATTTGAAGGCACTGATTGGTCTGAAGTAGTCCTCAAAGCGAGCTAACTCCTCCGCCCTTTCGTTACCGTTTTCATCCGTGTGAACCGCCATTCAAGTGATGTTCGCTGATTTCTCCCATGACTGCCTGTTTAATCCCTTTAATGGCCATTTTGCTGCCTGCCAGAAACCTAATATATTTCCCCATTAAACGGTTGGCCATATGGCACCTTCATCAATGCCCAAAATCTCGACTTCGGGTCGATCCGGTATAAAGATTCGATTGTCGCAGGAACTATAGGGATTTTGGACACCTCTTACGAAAGGCATTAACGCGAATAAACTTATGAACCCCTAGCCTACAGTAACAACCTTGCTTTTCGCCGAATAATTTCTGATTTGGGAAGGCAATTATTCCGCAGAAAGTATCTCTTTCTCGCTTGCTTGGTTGTTTTATGTTGAGATCTGTTATAATCTTATGCAGGCTGTCACGTCTTTCACACTGAGAGAATGTTGATCAGACTGTGTAGAGGAAGAAAGTGAGTTAGACTGACACGAAATCTATTAATTTTGTGATTTAGATTATCCACACTGCTATCACCGAGCTAATATAGTGGCCCTGCAGTGCAGTTATAAAAAAAAATATCGTTGCCACATCCCCATTCATTGGAGGTCTTAGTTTGACAGTTAAATAGACTACACAAACATTTTCCAGAAAACAAGTAGAATTATTTTGAAAGTGTAATTTCTATGGATTTTTCAACCGAACTCTTTTAATGATGCAAACAAATGGAAATTCATGAGAAAAAAATATTAAAATATTTGCTTTTGCTTTCTTTGTAGACATTCGGAATCCGGAAAGCTCATGGGCTATGCGTACTATTAGTTTTTAGACAGGAAATTGGTCATACAAATAGGCCAATATGCATACATATGTACACAGATAAATATGTATGTATTGTACATAATTGTAACTGATTACTTACAGAAGGCGGCGATAGCTGCGAGTAGTGTTAACCATTTCATGGCGTTTAAACGCGGTGGTGGCAACATTTTACGGCTTTTGCTGTTGTTTGCGTTTGTGATGTTAATGGTTCGCTTGTACTTTTGCTGATGTTGTTGTTGTTGTTGTCAATTTTATATCCAAATAGTAATCCACAATATGTTTCAATATTGCGCACGGAATTTATTGTGCGAACACTAGTTTAACACTTGTTTATCGATTTCGATTATTTTTTTATTCCGATTTTCACTTACAACACTTGCACATTTATTTTGCTTTTACAGCTATAAGGTGATCAGAGAGACAGAGGGAAAAATTATGAAATGGGTTACAAAAATATAGGCGGAAAAAAATATTTCAGTTAAACAAAAATTTTCTTGCACTAGAAAAACACTTTTTATTCAATTTGGAATTTGTGTGGAAAGCACTAAATATTTTCACGATATGGCAGAGCTCTTTTCGCCTTTTATTATTTGCACATAGCTGCTCTTGACGTTTAACCGGTGAATCTGCAAGAAGATGAAGAAAGAAAAGTTTATTAATTTTTTTTTTATTAATTTTTTTCTACAATTTTAATCAAATAAAGGTCCGTTCACACCTGAAAAGTTGTGGCCGATTTTGGATGCGATTACTTATTTCATTGGAAAGACAGTAGATTTGTCAACAATCATTAGTGTACACCAACGTCTGTTTTCGGCAACAAAAAACTGTTGTTTGCCTCTTATAAAGTGTCCCGACTTGGGTTAAATAAACACCATTTTACGAAAAGTTTAGATTTTCTATTTTAATTGGCATAAAAGAGCAGCTGAAACCCTTCGACTGCTTGTGGAAGTTTCTACTGAATCTGCGAGGACCGATAAGTCAAGCAGAGAGTGATTTCAACGCTTCAAAAGTGGTAATTTTAGCGCCGAAGACAGAGAGTACCCTGGCCAAACCAAAAAGTTTAGAGATGAGAAATTAGCGGCCTCACTGTATCAAGATCCATGCCAAATGCAAACTGAACTTGCTGGTGAAACATTGGGATTAACTCAACAAAGAATTTCCGTGCGGTTAAAGCAACTTGGATTTATTCAAAAACAAGAAAATTGGGTTCCGTAAATAAGTGTTGCAGCCGCGAACTGTCGAAAGGCGATTTTTCACCTCGAAACTGCTATTGAGAGACAATACAGTAAGGGATTTACGCAACGGATCTTCAGAAAGAAAAAATACTATGCCAAGCCTGTTGAACTTGTTCCAGCATCGTCTACATCGACGCCAAAGGGACATAACCACGGTTCAAAGGTAATGCTCTGCATATCTTTTCACCGGACTAGTGTGTTGTACTATGAGCTGCTAAAGCCAAGGGAAACTGTTGATGCGAAATATTATGGATTGGCAAGACAAGGTAATTTTTCAACATAACAATGCGCGGCACACGTGGTTGTAACTGTCAAAAACTACCAGGAAGCGCAGAAATATGTTGTCTTTAGCCCAACCGCTAAATTATCCAGGCCTTACGCCTTTCGATTACTGACTTTTTTGAAGAATGCAAAACGATTCCGTGGTCGCCGGTTCGGGTATTTTGAAAAAATCGAAGAATGGCTTAATGATTAGATTGTGGACTGAGGGGCTAATTTTTTGAAGTTGGTATAGGAAAATTATTAGAGTTGATGAAAAGTAGTCGCTTCCGATATGTTTTTTGTTTTACTTGCTTTCCTTAAAAAAAAAAACACTTTTTGGAACAAAAAAAACGTATTGAATTAATTTGTACTCTCACTAATTGAATAAATATCAGCATATAAATACATACATACTTAGGTGCGATATTTAATTTGAAAAGCATAATTCGGCATAAGTGTCAATCGATTGCCATGTAAACTGTCAACTAACTCCACACATATATTGTAAAACACAAACAATTGGCAACTTGGCAAATTCAAGAAAGAACAAAACAATCACATCCACTTCATTCACTCCTCCTTTCAACTTCAATAGCTGCCATTGCATAATGTGTGACACATTTCACAGTGAGTTGTCGTCGTCGTCATCGTCGCTCATTTGCTAATGAATTGGAAATAATGTCATTAAACACCACAAATAACCCCATTAGAAGCTTGCCGCTCCACCGCCACCAACCATTTCAACTACTGCCTTGAGTGCCGGTGAGCGATTGTAAAGTAAACGAACGAGCGAACGAACGAACGTACGCATACTCACACCAATCCAATTTTTCCAAGTGTCACTTGAATGTTTTGAACAATTGTAATGAGTCCATTGAATGTTTTTTGGGTTAAACGATAAACGATAGCAATTAGTCGAAGAGGCTTTTTGTCGCTTGAAAGAGTAAACTTGAGGAAGTGTTTGGATATGTTTGGAAATTCAAATGAACTTTGTTCTTGTGAATTGATAAAAAGGAAATGTACATGAGAGCTACACATTAAATGGAGACAAAAATTTTATTAGGTGGTATAATGGCAGCGAACTATCGGTTGCTGGTCTAAGTATTAAAGTGTGTTTGGTAATTGAACTCGATTTGCTTTGAAAAGTGAGCAAATGTAGCGTTGCTTTAAGCACACGGCTGAACTGGATAATTTTTGAAAATATCTATGTTCCGTTATTGTTGTTGTAGCGGGTCTCCAACACCGCTTTGGTGCAGGCGAGATTAGTTGTCGAAGTTATCTGACGGGAGGACCATGAAAGCAGCTATTTCGACGGGTTCGGACCAGAGGGTAAGGTTTGTTAGATGTATACGTTTAAGGGGGTTACAAAGAGGCCAGTATTAGATCTATGTTCTATTTGCTGGTGTCTTTGACGATAAATATTTTAACCATGGTTGCCGCTTTGGCTGAAATGTGCCAATTTCCTTTAATCTTACATATATCTATAATTAAAATAAAAAAATGCAAATTCCCGATTACTCTGTATTTCTTTTCTTCAGCTTACGGAGCAGCTGATTGTTTTGACAGCGTTCAATGCGCTCATTTGCTTAAAGCAAGCATAGCTTGTACGCATTGAGCCTAACTCTGCCCACTTCAAACGCTGCTGATTTGTAGGTAAAACCGATGACAGGTATCACTTTTTAGCATTGCGTGACATTTCCAACTTTGCTATCAAAGCGACAAACTCTAATACACAATGAACATTTTTCTGTTCCTTTTTTAATTTTGCTTTCAAAAAAGCTAAAAATCTCATATATTAAATAATTATTGACAATGTTTTGAAGTTTAGAGTTCAGAATTGCATGTTTTCATCTTAGACGTCAAAGTCAACATGTCACGCAACGTCATGTAAAAGCCCCATCTGCAATCGGGTTAAAATTAAATTAGGTAATTCACCGCTAATTGTCTAAATGAAATTCTTATAAAACATTTCGTAGGGAAGCGAATTACGTGATTCGCTGATTATTTATGCACTTGTAATATTTAGTATTTTAGCGATTTTGGATAAACTTCCGATTAAAATTAGGGACGGCATCGATTTTTTCATAATTTTTTTGGATATTCCAATTCAATTATGTACATATATCAAATCGTGCTAGATAAACGTTTCATTGAACAGAAAATTATAAAAGAGAGAGAAAGGGAGGAATCAAATCATGTGTCTCGGAATCATGTGACTGCTGGAAAATACAAATCGATATTTCGATTGAGGCTTTTAATCGTACAAACATTAAAGCAAGCTTACAATAATTTTGTATTCAAAAATTTGCCTTAAGCTATTTCAGACTAAACTCCTAAGTGCTCTGACATTTTACCACTCCATACTTTTCGCCAAATAATAAAAAGAAAACCAACGGCAAATGTTTATTAGTGTCTTCATATTATATATGTGTATATATACGCAAACAAAGTGCAAATAGCTTGTCAGTTGATTGTTACTCAATAAAAAAGAAAGACTACCAGAAGAAATCAATACTTGGCAACTCCTTATGCAATATCCGCATTAAAGCAAAAATCGCATTACTATTGGCAATAGTGTAGGATGGAGTGAAGCTTCCGAAAGTGGTGGAGTGATATTTACTTCTGCTAACTTAGACACCGTACAACTTAGGTCAGCAAAGTAGCTGTCAACCGGCTGAAGTGGGCGGAAATAAACAGACAGTGCACAGTGTGAGGTGTATATGCGGTATGTATGTACAATAGTACGACGGCCAATAGGGTGTTGCCAATGTAAACGTCCTTTCAATTTCCGCTTGACGAAAAGAGCAAAGCACTTTGAGCCTTGGAAAGAGCAATGAAGAGATTTAGAACACACACAAATTTTACCGAATGAGTAGTGCCGTAAGTTTAAAACTTACTTTAAGTAAATATGTTTGCCATTATTATATGAACCTTTAATTTTTACAGAGCCTATAAAGTGGTGACTCCCAATGCTTGAAAGTCGATTTTATAAATGGCAACTCAAACTATGAACGAAATCGAACAGCTGATCTCAAACAGCAAACAAGTGGCAACTGCTCCTGCTTTTGAACCTTTCAAATGATTTAAAACTACCATCCAGTTCATACTTATCATGGTATTTGTCGGTTGTCAAAATTATTCATGCAACTTTGGGCTTCCAAATAGAATAACGTTACGAATGCCAACTGTAATTAAAAACGAAATCGATCAGCTGATCACGCTATGTTTTCCTACTTTAAAAAAAATTAAACTAATATAGCGTTCAGACGTTGCGCAGCCTAAAGTCACAACCACAAATTAAGCTTTTCAGACTTTCAGTCAAGCTAAGCTCTTTCAGACTTAAAATTTTAGCGTTTTTTTTTTCATTGTCCAAACTAACTACGAAACTAACATAACTGTCTATTCAAGCTGTGGAAGTAATCTTTTCGTTTGCAGATCTTCCATATTTTATTTGAACATATGGTGAATTTTTTTTCGGTCCAGTAAGCAGCGGAGTGCGTATTCAGAAGGGTGTGCGGTTCAAGCTTAGGAAAACATCAATTTTAGTTGCCTGACCTATAGAGTGACAGCAAGTGGGGTTGAAAACCGGTTTTGTAAAAACTTTTTTAGCTGCATCAACAGTATTTCTAATAATAAAACTAATCCGTTATATTACAATTTCCGTTATATTGACTAAGGCGAGGCACACAGCTGACGCGTGCCATTTAATTAATCGAGAAAAGGGGAAAAATTACGGATATACATACATTAGGGCATACAAATATATTATGGAATCGAAACATTTTTTATAAAACAATATTTTTTTATTCCACACTTAATTAGCACCAAGCGCGAGTCCCAAAATTAATTGTTATAAAAGTTTTAAATATCGTGCACTAAAAAAAATACAACAAAGCCCCGTTACGACGCCAAATAAAAAAGTAGAAAGAAATGCAAAAGAAAATATTTAAAACTTAGTGACACTCAAAAGTGTATTGCACGCGTGAAAACAAAAAAAGAATGTTAATAAAGCATAGTAAAAGCAAAAGAAAACAGAAGAAAAAAATTTATACTCTACGTAAAAGTTTATATAAGACATTCCTGAAATACTCTGCCGCGTCCGTCAATTGTTGACTCTTATGCCTAAGGAATTATGTACATAAGTAAATATATATTATATATATATATATATATACACAAAGCGCACAGCCAGTGGCATTTAATGCCACTTCATATGTCATGCCCCGAGAGTACAACAAAAGAGCGCCAACATTAATTAAAACAACAACATCAACAACAATAGAAGAAAACGCAATTGCCGACGACATTGACGAGCACTCAGCATTACTGGATATATATATGTACATATATCCATCCATACATACATATATGTATGTATTTAGAAGAATACAACGAGCCGCGGACGTAATGAACCCAAGTAGCTAAAAACAAAACAAACCTAAAAGCACAAAAAATGCAAAAGCAGACAAAGCATTACTTATATATATTTCGTGACTTCCGCCTCAGCGCTGAGCCAAAGGGCAGAATAGTATACGTGTATGCAACGAGCACGAATGCGCTGCCGCCATTTTAGGCGTGTGGGTGGTGTGCGTGTCGTTGACGCATGCAGCAGGCATGTGTGGTAACTATGAAGTAATAGAAATTAAGGAATTGGAATGTGTTTTGTTGATGAAATTGAAGTGTGACGCTGAGTTGGATGACTGAGTCTTTTCTGTGCGTGACATTTTATTGACAAAATACTGTTGTCCGCCTGCCTGCCTGTTGCATCAATTTGGGAGGAAGTAAAAGCGTACAAAATGAAGAGGAATATAAAATATGTACATAGATATAAATGAATAAATGAATAAACGGCAAAAAATGTTGGTTATTGAACTTTGTGTACAAATTGAAAATTGAAAATTGAAAATTCGAGTGGCAATAAAATGTGTGATCTACAAATATAATATTATATATAAACACCAGCTCTGTATGAAGATGAGTAGAGTGCTGTATACTCATTTGAAAAGCAAAAAAATTTTAATATTGTGTCATTGAAATATAAAGCAGCCGTATGATATTAATACTGAATATTTTACAGAAACATTCTTTTGTTTGTTTTTATTTTAATTAATTTCTTATTTTTTATTGTCTTCAATTTTATTTATAAACATTCAAACGATCGAAATATGCCTACTGACTAGTCTGTAAAAGCCGCTTGAACATTTTTCTAGTCTATGCCATACATAAGTCTCTAATTGTTTATCGATTGTTACGATACATTTTGCTTACGCTATGACATTTGTTTTGGCTCATTAATTTCTCGGTTAGAGTATTTGCCTAGAATAGCTAAATTTAACAGTTAAATTCAAAATCTTTGTTGCACACATATAAATCACATAAATACATATGCATACATATATACATACGTATACACACAGTAAAATTTGTACAATACAAGCTGCTAGAGGGTGAATATCAAAAATCTGATTCTAAAACAAATTTTCGCTTTTTAATGCATGTACATACATATAAACATATGAATGCCTGCACTAATTTGCTTTTTACATGTATTTGCACTTCCTCTATTCACATAAATTTTATAATTTAGGGCGCATTGTGTTTTGGATAGTATTTTAAAAGGGATAGTATGCAAATGCAGGCCAATTTTCAATACAGACAAATAAAATATCAACGGGAGTGTAGTGGAAGTAAAGCTACCAGATGGAATACATAATTTAATTCGCGCACAAAACATTTGTATACACATACATATTATACACATGTGCACATGAATATGTAAATTCGTATAGAATATAGTGGCAAACAAAAGCCACTTGAATTAAATTTAAATAAGCGTCATTATAGAAGAGGCGACAATGTAATGAATTATATCGAGACAGACAAGCAGTCGAGACTGAGAGTGAGTGAGTGAGTGAGTGTGTGGCACGAATAGCAACGAATTGGCGTTGACTGAAATTGATGGTCGCACAGACGTATTATATACATACATATACATATGTATGTTAGCTGCAGCGTACGAACGCATGGCTCAATAATGGCGTCGATTGAATGTATGGAACCAATTTGTGGCTGTACAATAAAATAGAATATGTCCGCAAGTAGCTGAAAGTTTTATTCTGCGATTGACTGCATACACGTACATCTACACATATGCATTTATGTATGTACATACATTCACGTGTCTGACTTTGCAAAAACCAAAAACCTGCACTATTATTTCTGGATTATTTTCTGTACTTGCACTACTCGCAATTTACGTTTTACGCAGGCAAATTGTTTGAGCTTTTAATTTAGCTTCAAGTGTACTCCTCGCGTATGTGTGTAATACATTTATACATAATCGTACATACATATGTATGTACAATGCACTTGCTTGCTGGTGCACGCCGCCATGATTGAATTTAATGTCGATAATTTGACTTTTCTTGACTTGGACTTGACTTTATTGAACTAACTTTGTGGCCACTAATTCGTTACGAAAATTGGGCTCAGCACTTTTACAATGTTCATCAACATTTTCCAAAGGAAATTATTCAGTGGCATGTTTTATTAGCCAAACATTAGCCGAAGCGGTTAATATGTATGTATGTATTAAGGGTTTTCCAATAAGAGGTGTCATTTTGAATTGAATGTTATTTCGGTAGATGTCACTTTTGAAGTTGTAATTTTTTGACATTTGACAAGTAAAAGTATATACACTAACATGTATGTATGTATATAATTTTATTGCTTATTCAAACAAATTGCTCACACTGATGTTCCCCCAAGCACTATAAGCTGACATTCGACCCGAGCTGGTGATAAAAGTAAATCTTTGGTGTTTACATGGGCTAAATATAATCAAATTTCGCATTAATTGGGTTAATTTAAACAAATTGGTTTTGATAATATTTTCCAATTTGATTTTTATGAAGTCCACATTTGCTTGGGGGCAAATAATTTCCATTGTTAATTACTCTTAAAAAGAAAAGAAAGAGAGAAAGTGGAAATGTATGCAGATTGGTGCGCCATCAGATCCGAATGGAATTCCTGACCTTTGTAACGAAAGAAGTAATATCAAATATACAAGTCATTTGCAAGACTAGTCTTGATGTTGTTGTTTCAGCCGCAAAAATATTTCTCCAAGTAAGGTTGCGGAAGTAACTGTCCTTGGCCGAATAAAGTGTCCGTGTCGTTCCGGTATAAAGACCCGACTGTCGCGGGAACTATTGGATTTTCGTCGCCTCTTGATCTTTCCACTTGTAGATACAGTAGACTTACAGCAGAGCTGAAAGCTATTTTTCTGAGGTAAAATCTGAGGTAAAAGAATACAGAAATGCAGAAAATTATTGAAAACTTGAAGACAACATCCCGTCTTTGTCTCCACCTCTCTATGCGAACCTCAATAATTGAAACTGCCGATGAAGAAATTCATTAGAAATGAGATACTAAGAGCACTATACAAAACATCTGAAAGCACCAGGCACACCTGGCTACGAAGGCATTACTGATGAGGTGCTCAAAAAGCTTCATTTATGATTCTTAAACTTTGTCACTCCCCGGCTTAACGCCTGTTTAACAAAAAGTGTTTTCTCGGCCCAATGGAAAGTAGCTGAAATCATCTTTTGAAACCAAGGAAGCTATGAGAAGATGTGAAGTCCGATCGCTCCCTTAGTCTTCTTCTCGGCAGGAGGCGCGACCGCAATTAGAAAATTTAACAAAATTTTTATTTATACTTATTTAAATTAATTTCATTTCTAATTTCTGGAAGTTGGTCGAGCTATAACGTGAACCCCTGGCCTACCGAATGTCAGTAAGCATAGCTAAGTCAAGCAGAACGGTTGGTTGGAACGCCTCAAAAGTGGTGATTTTAACGTCGAAGACAATGAGCGACCTTGGCCTAACCTAAAAAGTTCGAAGATGAGGAATTGGTGGCTTGAATGAGTCAAAATCTGTGCCAAACACAAACTGAATCGCTCGTGAATCATTGGAAGTGGCTCAGCATACAATTTTCGTGGGGTTAAAACAATCTGGATTTATTCAAAAACAAGAAAATAGGGTGCCGTTCGAGTTGAAACCGTTAGTTGACGTAACTGCTATTTGAAAGATCTCAAAGGTAGGTGATTTTGCGTCGGATTGTGACTGGAGCTGAGAAGAGGATATACTACGATAACCCCACGAAGAACATTTACTATGTCTAGCCTGGTGATCTTTTAAGTATTATGCTCTGTACATGGTGACACCAGATTGGTGTAGTGTACCAAGAGCTGCTAAAACCAGGCAAAACTGTTTGCAGCGAAACGTTAATTAATGCATTTGAGTCGCGAATTGTGTGAAAAACGACCAGAAACCACCGAACGACATGATAGGGTTATTTCGCAACATCACAACGTGCGGCTCCGAGTGACTGTAAGTGTCGAAGACTTCGTGTAAAAGCTGAAATGAATGGTCATACTCCAACCGCCGTATTCTTCAGACCTTACTTCTTCCGAATGCGTTACGGGTACGGAAGATATCGCAAAATGGCTAAATAATTGTTTTGAGGACAGAGATGATTTTCGAAAAGCACCTGACAGATGGGGAAAAGTAATCATTCCCGATTAACAATACTTTGAGTGATGAATTTTCAACTTTTTTCTTACTAAAAATTACTTTTTTGAACATAAGAAAATGGACCGAATCAATTTTGACTCCCAATAGACTCGCGGCAACAATAACCGAGAGCCATCAATCGTTCGGAGGCGACTTAGCATGCACTGTGGATCCCTTCATTTATTGCAAAACCATCAAGACGCAAACCAACAGCTGGAGGAGAATCTCGGCCGTAAATCGTGAGTAAGTCTAATAATTGAGTACGAGCATACATAGCATGTACATATGTACTATATACATACATATATACGTACATATATATATTTTTTTCTATCATTCTATATGAATTGTGCATCCTTGGCTTCCACTTAGCAACAGGATACTTAACAAAAACAACAATCATCACTAAAGTAGCAGCAACTGCAACAATAACAACAACAACGACACAAAAAAGTGGAAAGCGCAACAAAATCAAGATGACATGCATAGTGACTACATAAAAATAAACTGAAAATCTAAAGTGCATACATACACATATACATACATACATACCAGCAGAACAAATGTGCATGGCCACAAAAATGCCGAAAATGTCAAAGAAAAATACCGAAAAAGTAAAAAATCTCAACTAAATAAGAACATACATATATATGTATATACATATATACATATACGAGGAGTTCAACAAAAGTTCGGTCAGTTGGCGACTTTCAATTTGTTTTTGTTTAATCTAAAAATACCAAAATTCTTTATAATTAATTCATTAGTCTGTCTTTCATATCTTAGAACGAGCGGCTAAAATGGAGACGAGAAAATGCAACTTAGCTGAAGATAGGTTTAACGAAATTCCAACAACAACGCAAACAGAAATTCGCCATGTAATTCTCTACCGGTTTCGACTTTATTTACAGTCAATACAAATTTGCAGTGAATGCCAATTTGCATATTGGATGATTGCACCGTCTTTAAAGACTATTTCCAAGTGGTTCCGAAGCTTGCAGACCGAACATATTTCCGTAGTGGACGCGCGACGAGTAGGTCAATCAAAATCTTACGCTGCTGACGTCACTGTAGCACTGGGGAAGTCCAAAATTGTCCAACATCCACGATTGACACTTGAAATGATTGCTAATGAATTGGGCTTCAATGTTATGGCTGTAACCCGAATATTATGTAATCATCTGGGATAGACGAAGTAATCTGCTCGATGGGTACCACGAATGTTAAATGAGACCCGAAAAGTGGCTCGACAACATTTTGCTGAATTTTTCCGAAACATATTCGAAAATGTTTAGCCCAGCAACTTTAGTAAAGTCGCTACTGGTGAGATGACAAATCTTGGTTCTCTAAGTAGGTTCCAGAAACCAAACAGCAGTACATGGTATGGAGCCCACTAGAAGCAAACTTACCCGTAAAATCTAAGCAACAAAAATCAGCAGCAAAAGTAATGATGTCAGTTTACTTCACACGATCTAAAATTGTTGCTGTTATTCCATTGGAAAAGGGTCAGACTGTAACTGCGAAATGGTACACCGAAGAGTGCTTACCAAAAATTGTCAAAAATTTCTCAGAAAACAGGGAGAAAGACGCACCAACCCACACTGCTGATATAACGAGTAATTTGATTGTGATCTCTGGGGCCGAAGAAATACGTCCATCATCATATACCCCGTATAAAGCAGCTCGTGTTTTCTAGTTAATTTCAAAAATTGAAAAAAAAACTAAAAATAAAAGTCTCTAAAAGTAACGAGGAGTTAAAGCTGAACTTGATAACCTAAAAAAAGCAATATTTTGAAGACTGTTTTCAGAAGTGGATCTACTACAGGCTTAAGAATTACATTGAAAGCCATGAGGATTATACAGAGCAGATAAAGAGAGACAAAGATTACGAATAAATACAAAAATAAATTTTTTTTGTTTTTTTTTCTCTGTTCAACGTACCGAACTTTTGTTAATCCCCCCGTATTTACATATAAAAAGTATAATTTGGAACAATAGCGACAACAAATATGAAGTACCCGAGTATATATGTGTATGTATGTATATATATGATACATATAATATATGCACAACAACGGTACCTTTTTTTCAGCAACATTCGACAGCACAAAGAAAGATAATCAAAAGTAGAAAATATAGAAAAACTATCCACCTATCCAATGTGCCACAGCATCAGCAACGACACTTGCTTTAGTTTTCACACTGCAAGTGCAGTTAAATTTATGTACATATGTGTATGTATGTATGAATGTGTGTGATTATATTTACATCTGACCGTCAGGCAGCTCGTCTGAATGTCTCTACAGCTGCCTGTTGGCGAAACTAACATGCTGAGCTCAGGGTTAATATCCTGTATCAGGCAAGGATAATACGAATAACAAATACAATAACAACCAGTTGGTCCAATAATACATACATACTTGTATATATATGTACTATGCACATATATACATCTAGCACAAAGTGTAGTGTTGAAAACTAAGAAGTATCTCTTCAAAAAAAGTGCTCTCTAAGTATCTATATATATATGTAAGTATGCGTGTTGACAGGTCAAAGCAAAGATGGCAAGTGAGTGCCGATGGGTACACTGTGAGAATTTTCAGTTGTTGAAAAGGTAGCAAAAGGAACTGTAATATGCATATATAATTGTTATTGGCCGGGAATATTCACCCCTCCGAGTGTATTTCGGGCGTGAAATAAAAGCTCCTCGTAAAAAAACCATCAGTCGTTTGGCGGCGGCTTAGTATGAACTGTGGATCCCTCCATTTATTGGAAAAACATCAAGACGCAAAACCACAAATGGCCTCAAATGGCGATGGGGTTGGTTGAAGAGGAAGGTTAACAGGCATTTAATATAAAGCGGAGGCGCTTGGTAACCGCTGAAGTGTGTTTCGGCCATGCTCATGTGCTACTGTTTGTCCTAATCCGCTTCCGAACGACCGTTGGATTCTTAAGAAGAGTTTTTTTTTAATTCTTGTCAAAACTACACCCGGAGGGCTTGACATTTCCTGCTGAGGGGCAGTCAAACATTGCTCCACCGTATGGTAGTATGCACTTCAAAAAGGTTGCAATGTCAGAGCATAGTCAAATAGAAACTAAATAGGTGATCTGTAGACCGTTGTCTAGGATATGCTGAGATTATAGATAGAACACTGTTTCAGCCTGCTGAGTTCCCGTGAAAATGAAACAATCGGTAATGAACCTTAAACGCCGAGCCGATTAGGAAGGAATCGAAGCTTCATATGCGGACTATAATGATGTCATTTGATGGTCTACCAGCTGAGCTGTCCAAATATAAGGGAGAAGAACTGATAAGGTGTAGGAAACATGTGCTCTGATGATTGGAACCTTCATACATAAGTGGGTCCTGCTCTTTCCGCCAAAAGGAGGGAAATATCTCCTTAATACCGCGTGAGTTAAAGTCAGCCGTCAACGAACTAATCGCGTTAGGCTACTATAGACACACATCCCTTATTAATGTAATCTTTGTTAGCACGCAAAGGATGTACCAAATCTTCTCATTCTTGCTCATTCTTCGAAACTACAAGTGAAACCAGGTCGCTCTCCATGAGATCCTTCAAAAAGAGTGGACATCTACCTCTTCATCTGCTTCCACCAGCGGGCATTCCAATGAATACTTATGACATGACCTACGCAGCGTAACTACGTTCCTTTCATTCGCTGAACTATGTCAATGTACAGTTCATCGTTCCGCCGGCTGCGGTACAGAACCGCAACAAAATCTTCAAATCGTTAGCCGGAAACATATAAGGTAATTGGCTGGCAGGTCGTAAATTAAGCTGCACCGAATAATCTATGGAACGAGTTAAGAAGCCCAAAGCTATGCTTTGTTAGTAATATTTGCTGATATGTTGCCGTCAGTAGCACCCCAACGACTATTTGCTTCCAGCTGAACCACTACATAGGCAAATCAGGAAGGGGTACTGGACTACACTGACTTTCATTCACCGAGAATTTGTGAAAATATTTTTGCACTCTGTTCAACTCTACGCCGCACCAGTCGACTTAATTCTTACTTATCCAGACTTGGCCCAGACCTCATCTAACCTCTCTTACCCTTCGGTCCGAACTCGTCGAAACAGCTCGTTACTCGAAACTCTCGTTACAGCAATAACAAGAAAAAAAAAAACGGCTAACATGGAAAGCCATGTTGTTGGAATGCACAAAAACATTCCAACTCTTTTAAAGTTCGCGATACTGCAGTAGCCGGCGGTAGCAGAGGAAGTAAAAGAACTTCACACAGTCGGAAAGTTCAATTGAAGTTGAACAAGATTTACACTTCTTATTACCAATTGACGCTGAAGAGTGAAAAGTAGAATCCACAAACGTTTTATAGTTGATTCGGCTATAAACCCGTAAGTAGTGTGTGCGCAAAGTAAGAAGAAGAAGGTTATCCAATTGAAGTTACAAAATATCAGTTTCAGCAAGCTGTTTGTACAGAAGGATATTTGGTTGGTTGGCTGATTGATTAATAGAGGGAGGTTAAGAACCTGACCGCAAGCGGGCGCAGCTTAGCCATTTAACAGGGCCATTGTGCTCGTCCGTGAATCCTAACTAGACGTGTGCGAAAGTTCGCTCGATTTTATAAATTGTTCTCCGTGAGCTCTCCATCTGGAGCTGGGAGCGTTGTGGAAGAAGTGACGTATCAATCAGCTGAAGGCCGGACAGTCGCAAAGGTAGTGCTCCATTTTTTGCGCCACCCTCTGTGTATGTTTTGCGCGCCGCTGATTCCACTTTACCTAGCCAATGGAGATGATATCTCTGTGGTAGATGTCCCGTAATGCTTTATAATCGCTAAAGTGATTTTCGGCCGAGCTCCTTCTCTAATTTGTTGTTTGCATTTTGATGTTTTTCCAACCTACAGTTTATTCTCAGCCGTCTGCGAATGCCCGTTGGGTTTTTATAAGAAATACCCTCGGAGGGCTTGACACTCCCTGTCGAAGGGCGACCCTAATAAGAAAAATTAATTTTCTCTAATTTTGAATGTTGGTCGAACCAGGACTCGAACACTGGTCTTCAGAATGGTAATATTTCATTTACTTTTATTTTAAAATAGTTTTTTTTTATAGATTTTAATTTTTATTAGTGTTTTTTTTTTTCTAATTAATTAAAATATATATTTTTTTTGCCAATTCGCCGATTTTTTACAATGTAACAGCTGCAAATTGTTGAAATTGCAAATCAAAGGATCAGAGTAGACACACTACATAGTAAACGACACAAGAGTATAATGAACAAGTGAAAAACTGCAACATGTGGCAGTAAGCGAAACAGGGATGACTAATCTATGCCACCGATTACTGTGTGAGTGCGTCTGTGTGCTGATTTTGACAGTTGCAATTTGACAGATGCCCAACTGATGCATTCACGTTTGTGTATATATGCAGGACATGCGCATTTAATTAAGTTATATGTATATAAATTTAATAAAAAAAACTACAATTTACCCACAATGCGAAAATTGGCAAAGAAAATACATTTTTTCAAATGCAAATTTATTAATGAAAAATGACTGGGGAAGCGCAAATTTGACAGAAAAATTATAGCTAATATGTTGAATTTTAATTATAAATAATTTTTCAGACACGTGCAAGGATATTTCGCCGCTTTTCAGTGCGACAAAGTTTACCGCACCCACAGAAGAAAAAAGCAAATTTCACAGTCTAAACTTTGCATTGCCTAAATGCACACAAGCATGTACACACCCTTTTGTGTATATAAATATGTATGTACATATATATGTGCGTGTCACGCTGAAAAGCCAAGGAGTTGTCGACGACATACATACATATTTGGGGCGTTTGGGGTGCTGCTGTTATTTCTGCTAAGGAAAAACTCTGTGCTTGCTAACGGCCGCATGGAAAATTGGCGATAAAATGAAGCGAAAAATCGATAACTGCGACTTCACTGACCGAACTCCATTCACTGATTGATTGTGAAAACGAAAGATTTTTACATTTTAACAAAAGAATTTATAATTTTTGGCTTTTTCGCGTTAAATGGAGTTTTCTCATTAAGGAATTTCTTGAAAGAGCATATATGTGCGACGAATAGTGTGGGTGATGGCAGCTAGACTAGCAGGCCATCATTTTGCTGGGCAGTATAATATTTTAAATGTTTCTTTCAAGTACTTTGCTGCACTTAAACCCACCTTTTAATGTATAATTGGCTTTTTCTGCAAAACTCAGCAAGTATACACATTAAATTCCATTAAAAATTGCTGGGAAAAACATTGTGTTTGTTTTTTTTTACTGCGGGGCGCGGTATGCAACAACAAAGAGCCACTAATCCACGGGGGTGACTCTTTGTTAACTACATACGCAGCGCCTAGCGACGCAGCGGAGCATATTTCATATTTTTCCTTTTTTTAATTTGTTTAAATAATTTTTGCTTCAAAAAACAAAAATATTAATTTTATATGTATTTATCTTTTTTTTTGTATGCAGACACAACACTTCACTTATACACATTTCACCGATTCTCTTTCTTTTAAATACACTTCGCACTAACTTTTCCACACAAATTCGTTTTTTTTTTTTAAATTCAATAAATTCACTTTTTCTTTAAATTAAATTTATGCAAAAATCAACACTAACCAAAATTAAACAACACCAAATGTGTGTATGTATGTGTATTTTGTTTTAATTGTATGTATGTGTCGCGTAAACGCATACACAATTCGACAAACGTACGCGTAGCACCGGAACCGGTTTCGCTTTGATTGCTATTTGCCTCCGTCGCTTCGGTATTATTGTTCTTATTTTTGTTGCTGTTGCTGTTGCTGTTGTAGATACACCGTCTGAGGGTTGTTACTGTGGCTGTTGTGTGTTTAAATCACACACTCACACGCACACAATCTGACAAACACTCACAAACACCCTAAATATACGTTGAAACGAGAACGACGCGTGGCCCTATACTCTCGAACAAATCCAAACGCTAACTGATTTCATTAACGCGAGCGAAGTGAGCTCAAGCCTGCTATTGCTAGCAATAAAGATGTAGTATTTCTACTGCTTTTATGTTAGCACGCCAACACTTTTGTGGGAAATTTGTTACAACATGCAACATACTTTAGTTGTGTTCGTACATGTTCGCAGGTTCGATGGCACTTGCGTTGAGAAACCCGAAATCTCGGGATATTTGTATATTTTATGGCGAAATATATGTAATATACAGGGTTTTACTGTTATTTCTCAAGCATAACGGGGTTAGGTTAGGTTAGTTTGTATCGATTTCTCTTAGGCCTGCTTAAGAGCCATCCCGTTGGAACAAAAAACTTGACCATTGGGCTTTGCTTGCCAACCTAATAAGATCCATGACTTTAATGTCGGCTAACTTCCGAAAACCATCCAGCTGTTAGGTTCCAAAATAACGAAATCTAAAATTGGCCAAAGCAGTGGAATATCCTAGAAGATTAGTGGTCCTTTCTTCCTCCTCATCATCTTTGCATCGGCTGCAGTGTCACTTATGCGGAGCCCCAGTCTATATCTCTCTCTCTCTGCACGTCGTCTTCCTATTAGATAATGGCCTGTCAGCACAACTATTGCCTTGCCCCCTCTCTCATTTACAAAGTACACATCTCGTAATCTTTTCTTATACCATTTTGGCCAGATTGGTCTGGAGTTGTAGTTTCGTTCGTCCTTGACGTGGCCTGTGCATATGTTAATTCCAGGAAAAAGAACTTGAAAGTGTCAAAAGATAGCAAGTTCATCCATCCACCTTACAGTTTCCTCTCGACGTCCCTATGATCAGGCATCCAGGTGAGCGGGAGTTGATTCTGTAGAGATAAACGCTATTACAGCTCAGTTTCGGAGAAGCGAGGACCTTGTTTTTATTGCTGTTTGACTGTCAAAGTAAATGAAGATATACTTTCCTTTGAAGCCGTCTTCTATTTGCTTTTCTGCTTCCGTAATAGCAAATATCTCCGACTAAAAGATACTACAACGGCCAGGTAGCCTGACTGCCGACTGCTCTGCATTCGAGTGAGCAAAGGATGCCGAGTTATCAATGACTTTCCGCTCAACTTAAAGTCTGCGCGAACTCCACAATACGTTAATGATTTTCAATGATATTTTGAGCTCCGAGGTTTTATGTTCCAAACTAAAATCTTCCACATCATACCAACACATCGAACCTTTGAACTGCATAAATGTTGCAACACAAACAAAAAGTATTTGTTGCATACCACATAATAATTTCCCCCGAGTTGCATCTGGTGGGGAAATGAGTTCAACACAAATGGAGTTTGCGCAAAGCTGGCCAATTGTTTTGGGAAATTTTCGAAGCGGTTTATTGGCTTCTTTGTTTGTTTACCGCAATTATTGAGGCTTTTGTTTTGATTACACCAATTAGTGGTGGTGACACAAAGAGAAGACTAAAGTTTGCTAAGCAAATATAAAGTACAAAATGACTCATGCGAGCACGTGGAGCCAAGCGGTGGGCGATAGAGAATTTAGAATGACAAGAAGCAGGTGGAGTTGTTGGTGCTGTTCGGTTGATGTATGTATATGTATGTATGTATGTGTATTTAAGTAAGTTAAAGTTTGTTTATAAGTAACAAAAGAAGATTCTGAATGGGAAATAATTAAAAACCGTCTAGAAATAATGCCGAGAGGGTGATGGCTGTTCTAAGATCTGCTTGTAATTTATTTCGCGTGACGATAGCTTTATAAAGAACTAAATCCGCCAAAAAAAAACCACGTCGAAAACTCCATCAACATCAGTGGAGCCAGTAGTGGGAGTAACATTTAAAGTCCCACAACCTCTCCTCTGGGACACAGGGGCACAGTCAAATCGTTGTCTGACCCGACGAGGCTTGCTGACCGGTTGAAAATTTCATTCGTCGGACGATATCTATCCTTTCCCTATTAGCCTTGCTACTCCCGTCTTTGACACACCATTTGAACCCAACAGCATATCAGCATAGTTTCCGCAAAGTGCACGACAGCACAAACGCACTGAAAGACATAAACGCGTTTAACCGCCCAGGTAGCATTGGATCTATCAAAAGTCTTTGACACCATCAACCGTTCCATGCTGCTAGCGGACATTGAAGATTCCTCATAAGCGCCGAGCTTGAAGAGGTGGACTATGGGCTATTTGTGTGGTCGACAGTCATTGGTAGCACCACCTATTGCAGGCGAAGAGCTCGAGCTGCTGCGAGAGACACGAATAATACACAATTAAGATCAAGATATTGTAGTCACCTCGATTACTCCTTATCCAGACTTTACTCTGGCATACCCAACGTACGTTCTGCATGCAATGGAAACACGGAAACACTGTACGACACTAATCACCACTCTGTGTGCTCCCTAAAACCTACTCTTCCATCGCTCGTTTCTCTCGTTCGAACCCGTGGAAACGAAAGACTTAAGCAACGAACCGGGGAAAAAAAATTTTCATATGGGAAGCGAGGCACCAAAACAGAAGATAATTTTAAAAAAATTAATACTAAAAAAATGAATAATTAAATTAATAAATAAATAAAAAATAAAATAAATAATAAACTAATGAAATAGTAAAAAACAAACAATTAAAAAAATTATAAAAATATCAAAATTGTAGTTAAATAAATGAATAAACTGAATAATTAATAAATAAATAAAATGAATAATAAATAAAATTAATAATAAATAAATTCAAACAAATAAATAATTAAGAAAAATAAAAACTAAATAATAAAAAAATAATTAATATATAAAAAAGTATTTAAAAGCGAATAATATATTAATTTAAAAATATGTATAAAATAACAAATGTATACAATATTATATAAAAAATATTTGAAAGTAAGTAAAAAAATAAATGAAAAAATAATAAATACATAAAAAAGAATAAATAAATGAAAAGAATTAAAAATAGTATTTTATCAATAAAATGAATAATAAATAATTTTAAGCAAATCAATAATAAAAAAAAATAAAAACAAAATAATAAAAACAAACAAAAATTATTAGTATATAAAAAATTATTTAAAATTAAATAATAAATTAATAACAAATATATAAGAAGTAATAAATATATAAAAAAATGAAAAAGTACATAAATGCAAATGTAAAATTAAAAAAATAATTAATTAATAATAATAATTAAATAAAAAGTAAATAAATATTATAGCAAATAATCAAATAAAACAATAGATGCTATAAAAAAATAAATATTATAAATAAATAAAAAAAAAATAATAGGTAAATAAAAAATGAAAACAAATGACAAAAAATATGATAACCATAAATTATTAAAAAAATAATAAATAAATAAAAAATATTAAATAAGTGAAAAAATTACAAATAAAAATAATAATAAATGAATAAATAATAATATTAATAAATAAATTAAAAAATATAAGCAAATAAAGAATAAAAATAAATAAAAAATGTTGTAGTTAAAAAAATAATAAATTAATAAAAAAAATTATAAATTAATAAAAAAAATAAAATTAATAAAAAAAGAAATAAAATATCTATAATAACCATATAAAAAATAATGAGTTACTAAATAATACAATAATAAATACATAAAAAAAAATACAATAAATTAAAAATTAATAATTAAAAAATAAAAAAACTAATAAATAAAATAAAATAATTAAAAGTAATTGAAAAAAAAAACATTAAAAAAGTTATAAATAAATAAATTAACTTATATTTTTAACAAAGAAGTAAATAAATAAATATTATAACAAATAAATAACAAATGATAGCAAAAGACAAAGAGTGAAATAAAAATCCAATTAATACACAATAATAAATAAGTAAAAAAAATAACAAATTAGAAAATAATTAAAAATAATAAAAGAATTTAAAAATGAATAAAAAATCATAAAAGTTAATAAAAAATTAAAAAAACTATAAATAAATAAAAATAATAATTAAAATAAAATATAATTTATTAATACTAAATAAATTAAATAATAAATAATATTAAATGAATAAATGTAACAATAGTACTAAATAAAACACAGCAATAAATACTTTTTTCTTTTTAATTAATAAAAAATATTAATTACATAATTAAGATTTTTTCTTACCACCCACTGTCATCTTATCTGCTTGCATTTCCATTACATTAAAAAAAAGTATGAATTATATTTTAATTTCTACTGTTGTATTGTTGCATTATTTATTTAACTTGTTACATAGTAATATTTGTGAATATTTATTTAAGTATATAATATATGTATGTATATATGGCATTTAATTGTTATTTAAAGTGTGTACAAATTATTAGTATTAATATTATAATTATTCGAGAAGAAATTACTGTTGCCACTTGTAGGTGAAAAAATAAATGTAAGGAAAAAAATCTATTAGAATTCTGTTGTTAGTTAGCATAAATAAATAAAAAAAAGTAAGTTTTTGTAATGAAAACATTTTTCTTCATAAAAATAAAAAGTTCGCTACGGTAATCAAACAGTTTTTTCGCACAGAAAAATATTAACAAAATGTCATAATTTTTATTTTTTTGTTTTTTTTTTTTTGGGTTATAAAAAATTCAATTTTTTTTTGCATGTCTTTTAATTTTCATTTGTAAATATGTATTTTTCTTTATGTGTTAAAAAATAATTTGTATCTCTCGGTTATATTTATTACGAATATATGTTAATACGTGTGTGCATGTGCAATATAAACACATTTATTACAGTTAGATGAGAAATTGCTTAAATGCCATTAAGTGGGTTTGAGTATTACATATATATTCTGATTATTCTCTTCTTCTTTGTCTTCTTATTCGTCACTACATTGCTGATTTGAGCAAAATTTGTCACATTTTTTTATATATAATTAATTGTTTATACTATTTAACTGAAAGTTTCCCAACTTAATTTGTAAATATCAATAAAAAAAAAATGAGTACATTATTCATTTTGTACAACTCAATTAGCTGCTTAGCCATGTAAAAGTGGGTTGTTTACATTAACTTTATGACACTATGAAATTAACTTAAATTGTTATGTGTATAAAAATGGCTTAGAAATTAATTTAAAAATTATTATACTTAAATACATTAAGCTTAATGTAGGTAAGTAAACAATTAGCGACCGTTGAAATTAATATTATATTATATACTTTTGAGTATAAAAAATTAAAGGAAAAATTATATTTCTTTTAGGAAGCACATTTTACTTAATATATAATTATTTTGATTAATTATTAATACAAAGAAATAGCACGATTATTTCAAAAATTACCTTGAGTATTATTTGTAAATGCTTTTATGACCAACAATTGGGAATAAACGCGTTTTGCGTATTATTACAAAGAAACATTAAACAAAAAATATTAAATATAACAAAAAAAAAATAATTAAAATAATAATAACAAAACAAAAAAAAAATAAAGTTAAAAAAAAATTAATACAAAAATATAAAGTAAAATAAAAAATAAATAAAAATTAATATAAAAAATTAATTCAATTAAAAAATTAACTAAAAGAAAAAAATAAGATTAACGAAAAATAAACAAAAATTCAAAAGAAAAAATCAAAATCACGAAACAAATAAAATTTAAATAAAAATAAAATTAAATTAATAAAAAATTATAAAAGAAAATATTAAAAATGCCAAAAACGCATTAAATCATTCAGAAACAAAACTTTTGAAAATTTTAATCAAAATTACGCATAATAAAAATTAAAGAAAATAAAAAAAATAATAATTATAAAAAATATGTGAAGCGCAAACAAGTTTTCGTTACAAGTAAAAGAAATATAAATTATCCATATTTTTCTCTTTATAACTAAATAATTTCCAAATTAAAAAAAATATATTTATAAAAAAATCAAAGTAAAAACTATAAAAAATATATTGAAAAAAAATTATAAAATTAAAAAAAATTTAAAATAAAAAAATTAAAAACTATTTCATAAATAAACGAAAAAAAATTGCATAAAAAACAATAAAAAAACAAAAAAAAATGAAATAAAAAAAAATTAAATATTAAAATAAAAAATATAAGGATAAAAAAACAAAAAAAATACATATATATAAATAAAAAAAAATATATATATATAAATAAAAAAAAAAACAAAAAAAAAATATATATAAATAAAAAAACAAAAAAAAAAAATAATTTAAAAAACGCAAAAAAAATAAAAAATTACATAAATTTAACAAAAAAATTAAAAATTAAAATAAAAAATATATAGATAAAAAAAACAAAAAAAAAATATATAGATAAAAAAAAACAAAAAAAAAATATATATATAAATAAAAAAACAAAAAAAAATTAATTTAAAAAACGCAAAAAAAAAGTTCTAAAAAATATATTGAAAAATAAATAAATAAATAAAAAACAATTGAAAAAAAAAAATTAAAAATAAATAAAAAAAATTAAAAATAAATAAAAAAAAAATTAAAAATAATTAAAAAAAAATTAAAAATAAATAAAAAAATAAAAAATAATTGAAAATAAATAAATGAAAATCAAGGGACAAATAAAAAAATTAAAAATATAAAATTGAAAATGAAAATATTTTAATGATTTTTTAATACAAATTGAAAATAAAAATATTTTAATAAAAATTAAAAGGTAAAAAAATGAAACAATTGAAAATCTATGACATATTCAAAAATAAAAACAAATTAAATGAAATGAAAATATTCTTAATAATAATAAAAATTTAAAAGGACAAAAAATGTGTCGTTAAAAGTAGAAAAAAAGTAAATAATTCCTCCAAATTTTTTGCTTTATCATTAAATAATGCTCGAAATAAAAAAATATTATTTTCAAAAATTAAAATACCACATATACGAGATAAGAAAAAAGTGGCAAAATCTTTTAAATAAAAATGAAAATAAAAAATTTTCAATTTACAAAAAAAAAAATTGAAAAAAAAACTTATATAAACAAAATTTGCTAAAGCACGTCCATTTCGTTTAAATCTAAATATAAAAATATATTTTTATGTGGTACAAAAAAATTGTATATAAGTACAAAAGCACATTGTACATAGGAATATAATAATATGCTAAACGCATTTGAGACAACCGAAAATTCGTTCTGTTAGCTACCAAGTAACAAAAATTAACTTAGTTATATATTTAAATTCATTTTTAAACATTAACATAACATAAAAACAGCTAAAAATTAAACAAATTTTCAAAAAAAAAAAACTTAAAAAGACGAATTTTCCACAAAAAAAAAAAAACAACTCGAAAGTAAACAAAATTTCTCAAAAACAACTAGAAAATAAACAAATATTTCAAAAATAAAAAACTCGAAAATAAACAAATTTAAAAAAAAAAAATTAAAAAAAAAAATTAAAAAAAAAAAAGTTTAAAAAATAAAAATAAAAAAGTTTTACAAAAAAAATCAAAAAAAGGAAGTTTAAAGTGGAGTATATTATTATATTAACCAATCATTTGGCTAACTCTACAATTTTTTTGTAAATTTCTTTCTGCGCTCTACTCAACCCTCTGCATATTAACAGAGAAAATTTTTTAAAAGTAAATAGCACAGTAAATAGGATGTGCGCTATCCTTACATCCCATCTCATCTCGTATAACTTACGCACTAATTTTTGCGTGTCGCATCCTGTATTATGATTTTATTCTTTTGCCGCGTCACTTTCGTGGCGGGCGGTGTTGATATTAAGCGTTTTAGGTTTTCTTGTGGTATGGCCGCTGTTAGTTGCTCTTTTTCCTTCTTGTTACGGCTACTACCGCCAGCATGTTCATCAACTGCCGCTGCAGTAGTCACCGATTGTCCTGCATAGCGTGTGAGCACTTGAAATTTGGCAAATAGTTTATTCTTCGATTCGCGTTCCTTCTCTTTGAATTTATCCAAGGGTTTGTACTTGGCCAAGGCATCGGGTAGCGGACAGATTTCCATTTCACCATGCTTGGGTGGTTTCAAAATTTTACCACTCACTGGTACGGCGTTCTTATAAAAGTCTAAATCGAGATCAGAGTCGGAATACTGTGATGATGTGTTCATTGCTCCGTTGGCTGTATGCAACTGTTGTTGTTGCTGTTGCTGGTGCTGGTGCGTCAGCGCAAGGTGTGTGGGACGTAAGTAACGTTGTTGTTGATGCTGTGCATCATTGAAACTTGATGAACTGGCCGATGCCGAAGTCTCTTCGGCGAGATGACGCAGCATTAAGGTGAGTTTCATTTCATGTTGTCGCTGCAGCAGCACCGCATTGCGTTCACCCTCTAGACGCGCCTGTCGTACTGCATTTGACAGTACACGCTCCTTCCACTCCCATGCATCACGTTCACGTTCCAATTGCATTAGCTGCACTTCCAGTTTGCGTGAGGAGTCGCGCAAATCAATGACTTTTGTAAAATACTTGTATAAAAGTGTACGCATCTCTTCCGGTGAGAGTTTATTCAGGCGCGCCATCAACATCTGCTCGCCCTTCTCACGCTGCAGGCGTTCGCTGGTGTCAATGGACTTGTGTCCGCAGATAAGTTCATTCTTAAATTCAATTGCCGCATCTATGGCTTCGATAGCCTCATCGCATTCAAGTAATTTGCGTTCTTCGCGATGCGAAAGCATTTTCTCGCGTTTCAGCTTGCGATCGAGCGAGCAACGTTGTTCTAGTAGGTGATCACGTGTGCGTCGCAGATTGCGTATTTCATGTCGCAAGCCTTCCTTTTCACCAGCGCCTTCGGCGTTGTCGCCATATTGCTCCAAATTCTCCGATTTCTCACGCAGTACATGATCTAAATGTGATATGCGCGCTTGTACTTCTTTTAGATTTTTGCCGTGCTCAACATCTTCTATTCCGTGGAGGCTGCCGTTCATCGCGTTCACATCTAGTTTAACAAGCGCTTTATTGTTGCCGTTAACAGCGTTTTCTTTCTCCTTCAAGACCTTTTGTTCGTGCTCTAATTGTTCGTGTACTTTACGATCCTTCTTTAGTTTCTTTTGTAGATCATCGATAAGTTTTTTGGATTCGTGTAGGGATTGTTGTAATTTCTTCACTTTTTGACCACTCTCACCGGCGATATGCTTCATCGAGGCCAGATCTTGCAAACGCTGTTCGATATGTGCGATAAGCGCGCGCAAGCGTTCCACCTCAGACTTCTCTTTACCCTGTACTATTGCTTTTGTCAATTGCTTTTTTGTCTTTTCATATTCAGCTTCAAGCTTGGATTTTTTCTTGTGAAAACGTTGTTTGGCCGTGGAACGTGTGTCGCTGTTCTTTACAAGTTCAGTGATGATGTTTTGTTTCAGCTGCATAGTTTGTTCAACCTCCTGTATTTGGCGTTGACGCGCCTCAATATCTGTGTCTAATTTACGCAATTTCTTTTGTACATTGTCCAATGGTGAATTAATGGCTGCGCGCAGTTGTACGGCATTTTGCAAGTCTCCAGAACTGTCAAGAAAGTCATCGGCTGCTTTTGGCGTTGCTTGTTCGCGTGAAGCTACACGGTTCAGCATGGCGATCTCAGCACTGGATAAGCTAGCGCCGGGCTGTATGGAACGGCGACGGCCTGGAAATTAATGTAAAAAAAACTTATATATGTATATGTGTACATAAAAAATAATAATAGATAAAGAAAGCTTACCACCCATCGATGCTTTGCGTTCATCTAATTTTTCACACGGTGGTCGCTGTTCACTCAATACTAGTTCCATACTCTGCATGGACTCTTTGTGTCTAACACTCTCCTGACTTTCCATGACCGCCTTTGGGTGACTTTGCATGAATTCTTTATATTTGCCTTGTATTAAAGTGTCTGTCTTCAGGCGCAGTTCTTCCATAAGCGTCTCTAATTTTTCCATTAAATCAGGTCTTTGAGATTCACAGTCCGATTCATTATCAGAATTCTGTTGAAGCGATGTTTCCGGTTCGCTAGCTGTTTCTTCAGGCTCCTCAGCCTCCTGTATAGGTACGAGTTGTTTCTGAGATCGTATAGCTTCAGCAGAGCTTAAACATTCTTCGCATTCTTGCTTGAGGAAAAGCCATTCCTCAATTTGCTCCTTGTCCAGCTCAGTTACAGCGTTTGAAGCAGCCAGTCTGTTACGAAATTATAAATTAAAAACTGCTATTTGGAACAACAATATATATATATATATATATTTGTATCTTACTTCGAGAACAGGCCCTCTGCATTGGATACTAATTTGTACCATTGACTTGCTGCGAACTGCAAACCAAAGGTATCCGCACCCACTGGCACACCACGTCCGCCTCCTCCTGACAACTCCGGCATAATTGCCTCTGGTGAGATGGGCGTATTATCATCGGAGAAGGTATTCATAATTACATAATTTCTAACACACTGTACTTTGAAGGCAAATTGTAAATTACAAATAGTTTCATTGCAATCACGTTCCAATGGCGAAACAGACAAAATGAGTAACGTCTGTGCCCGTCCACCGAACGAATCCTTCAATAATGTTGTCAACGTAGTTTGGTTATAGGGTATATTGCCATTTGAGCCGTACATGAGAGCTGGATCAGTGAGAGTGTTCACTACTTGTTCCAAAGTTTGTAGACCTACATCCTTCGGCAAGCTTGTGGGCTGATCCAAAGCGTTTAACATAAAAACGCGATCAGTACCACATAAATCGGAAAAACTTGCTGTTGAAAGGCGATGTTGAATGAGACCCTCTTTTGAAACCCATTGTTGTTCGAGTGTGAGTGTAAAAAGTGTATGGCTAAGAGGCGCATCATCATCAGCATTATCGTTGATGGCATGTTTAGCATTTAAACCGAGTTGTAGCCAATGAAATACTTCTGTAATACTATTGCAATGCACATTGCCCACACCCAATAAATCGCGTATAGCATCATCGATTATCTCAACCCAACCAATGTTAACAGCATAAGTACGTTCTATTAGAGATAAATAGTATCAAAATCGAATGTATATATAATTGCATGATTACTTACCTGGGTGATTTGCCATATGTGTAAAAATTTCACGAACACAACGTTGAACTACACCCTGCTCCGTTTCACTGTATAAACAATCCAGACCGGGTCCATACAATGTATATGTTTTACCCGTACCACGCTGACCGTATGTCACCACAGACGCATCAAATCCTTCCATAAACAAGCTTATTAGCGGAAACACCGTTTGATGGTAAATTTGACTTTGTGTACAATCCATGGATAGTGCATGAGTGACAGGAAATGAATGTGGTCCCACCTGCATTAGACCAGCGGCAATTCCATTGTCTAATTGGCCGGGCAGAGCTGTAGGCGCAGCGTTAAGAAACCCGTGTGCCGCCATGGGTATGGCTTGGACACATATATTTGTTTCCGCTGAATGTGTCCCATTCTGAGCTGGCATGCTTTCATTACCACTGCCTCCATTATTATACTCATTAAAATTACCATTATCATCTTTTTGCGTTGTTATTTGTAGTTGTTCTCCTGCTTTTGGATTGGTTTGCGTATCTATAACATTGCCAGCTGATGGTGGTGGTGGTGCTTCTGTTATTGGTATTGTTATAGCCGGTGGTAAGCAGGGGTAGATACGTACGGCTACTTGTATCGGTATTTCCATCATATTCGATCTTTTGTATTTACACAAATTTATGCAAAAATTAATTCACGTTGTTGTTGCATGTTTATACACCAATTTAAACAACTTTATTAACTATTTTCTGTAATTTTAAGCAATTTTTCACAAATTTGCCCACAGCAAGTATTTTCTGTTTTCCGTTTCTGTCTACGCAGTGTTGCATGTGTGTTATTTGTAAGAAAAGTGTTCGGCGAATAAGGCAACACTTAAATCTCAAAGAGGGCAGTATTTATTTATTTAAATAATAACAATCGAATTCTATTATACCACAATTTATTAAAGACTTATTACTATTGAGCTATATTTTTATTGTTTTTTGATATATTTTTATATTTGCGTTTAGAAATTTTAATGTTTTGTGTTAGTTAGTTAGAAAATTAGTACTATGCGTGGCCCTGTCAACCATTCACAAATTCACAGCCAACTTCGTGTTCTTTTCTTTTCAACAAAAGTTGCACATTTACATTACTCGTGTTTTTCGCGTGCAATTTTGTTTAAAATCGTTTTAATACGTTTAAACATACATTAAATACTCATTTTTATAGGAGATAAACATAATTTGGATTAACTGAACTCAAATAAGAATGTCGAAAAGACGTATAGAAGTGGGTGAAACGTATGGTTCGAAGTCGAAAAAGTGAGTCTCTAATGTGTAACCCTCTGCGGAAAACGCGCAAATTGTACCAATTTTACTTGATATGTTAAAATCTGAATTCAATTAATATTTTTTGAATCGCAGGGATTTCGAAGGATCTACGCCTACGTTCAATAATGCCAGTACGGTGGCACCAATAACAGGCGCTGTTGCGGGTGCTGTGCGTCAGCCGGGCACCATAAATCCCTACAATAGGAAACCGTATACACAGCGATATTTTAATCTTTACAAGAAACGAATTACTCTGCCAGTATTCGAATATCAAGCTGATTTTATGCGTCTTTTGAATGAGCATCAATGTATTGTTTTGGTTGGTGAAACCGGTTCCGGTAAAACTACACAAATACCACAATGGTGCGTTGAATTTGCTTTGACAAAAGGTAAAAAGGGTGTTGCATGTACCCAACCACGTCGTGTGGCTGCTATGTCAGTTGCACAACGTGTTTCCGAGGAAATGGATGTGGGTCTTGGCGAGGAAGTTGGTTACTCTATTCGTTTTGAAGATTGCTCGTCCCCTAAGACGGTACTTAAATACATGACAGACGGTATGTTGCTGCGTGAAGCTATGTCTGATCCTATGTTAGAACAGTACCAGGTCATATTGTTGGATGAAGCTCATGAACGTACCTTGGCGACAGATATTTTGATGGGTGTATTAAAAGAAGTTATAAGACAACGTAGTGATTTGAAATTAGTGGTGATGTCTGCCACTTTGGATGCTGGCAAATTTCAACAGTATTTCGATAATGCACCATTAATGAACGTTCCAGGTCGTACACATCCAGTAGAAATTTTCTATACACCAGAACCAGAACGTGATTATCTCGAAGCGGCTATACGAACTGTCATACAAATACATATGTGCGAAGATATTGAAGGTAATTTCTGTTAACAATAATTCAGATTAAACAGCTTATAACATATCTTTTATTATATTTCAGGTGATATTTTAATGTTTTTAACCGGACAAGAGGAAATCGAAGAGGCTTGCAAACGTATTAAACGTGAAACAGATAATCTAGGCACAGACATTGGTGAGCTTAAATGCATACCACTATACTCGACTTTGCCACCAAATCTACAACAGCGTATATTTGAGCCTGCACCACCACGCAATGCCAATGGTGCTATTGGACGTAAAGTTGTCGTCTCCACAAATATTGCAGAAACATCGCTAACCATTGATGGTGTTGTTTTCGTTATTGATCCAGGCTTTGCCAAACAAAAAGTCTACAATCCACGTATACGTGTAGAGAGTTTGCTTATTTCAGCCATTTCAAAGGCTTCAGCACAACAACGTGCTGGTCGTGCTGGACGTACTCGCCCAGGTAAATGCTTCCGCTTATACACGGAAAAGGCTTACAAAAATGAAATGCAGGATAATACCTATCCAGAAATTTTGCGTTCGAATTTGGGTGAGTAACTACGAGACATCATCATTGAAATTTCAAGCTATTAAATTTAATTAAATTTTTTTTTATAGGCACCGTTGTTTTGCAGCTGAAGAAACTTGGTATTGATGATTTGGTGCACTTCGATTTCATGGATCCGCCAGCGCCAGAAACGCTTATGCGCGCTTTAGAATTACTCAATTATTTGGCTGCTTTAGATGATGATGGCAATCTAACCGATTTGGGCGCAGTCATGTCGGAATTCCCATTGGATCCACAGTTGGCCAAAATGTTAATTGCCAGTTGTCAGCATAATTGCTCAAATGAGATACTTTCGATTACGGCAATGTTGTCGGGTGAGAATGCGCGTATTGTTTATACATGCGTGCTTTTATGATTTTTTTTCATTTAACGCTATTTAAGACCTGAAGTTGCTAGGTATATTTAATTTTTATAAGTGATAGCGGCAAAGGATAGCGGAAATAAACATTTATTTTATTTTTCTGAATTCTGAGCTTAGGTTATGTTGGGTTACGCTTTTAATTACACTGCTTTTCAAATAGTACTGACGATTTAATTTAATTTTTTATTTACTTAACCTTTTCAAATTGGGCTTTTCTTTTCCCTTCAAAAAAAAAAATGCATATTTAATTGCTGAGTTAGTTTCTAATTATTATAATAATTATAATTTCAAAAATGTCTGTTAGTTTGCTATTTTTTTTTAAACTCCTTTTTTTCTTTGTATCTCGAATGGGTACCTAACAAATTAATTTTACTGACGTGTGTTTATTATATTATAGTAATAATGCAAAAGAAAAATTGCATAAAACATTTGTCTTTTGCATTCACCACTGAAAACAGTTTCACGAGCGATAACAAAACTTTAAACCACAGCCTTGATTTACATCTACAAATGTTTCGTACTTAAAGTTTTTCAAATTAAATACTTAACGGTTTAAATAGAATGAAATGCATTCCATGGAATAAATCGCTCTTGCAACTCACGACAAAATTACTCAACCAAAAAACAAATTTCATTTGCCCATATAGGCGCTGTCTTTAGTTGCAAATTGTGTAATTTAGTGAAAAATTGCTCAAAAAGCGCAATATGTAAAAATTATGAGCGAATATTTACAAATAATTTGAAATTCCAAAAGATAAACTTGAGAAAAACAGTTGAAGAATTTTGCTATAAAAAAAAGAATAAGAAAAAGAAAAAAGAATAATTGAATTTAAAAATTAGTAAAGCAAAATAGGACACTCCTACAAACACCAAATTTTGCTGTGAAACATACATAACTCAACTGCGTTTGTGTGGGATTGTGCCGCGTACGCTGGATACCGTTACGCCGCCAACCCAAAACCAAACCACTTTTTCTCTCTCTCTTCCCTCTCTACTACGTTACGTACACGCGCATATCTACAGTGCCACAATGCTTTGTGCGTCCGAATGAGGCTAAAAAGGCGGCGGATGAGGCGAAAATGCGTTTTGCACACATCGATGGTGATCATTTGACATTGCTGAATGTTTATCATGCTTTCAAACAAAGTAAGTTTTATGTTTATTGAGTGAAAAATAGTATGAATTTCATCAAAATTTACCATTTCTCTTTCCACAGGCGGCGAAGATCCTAATTGGTCTTATGAGAATTTCATAAATTTCCGTTCATTAAAATCAGCCGATAATGTGCGTCAACAGTTGGCACGTATTATGGATCGTTTCAATTTGAAACGCAGCAGCACCGAATTTACATCTAAAGATTATTATGTTAATATACGTAAGGCTTTGGTGCAGGGATTCTTCATGCAGGTCGCTCATTTAGAGCGTACCGGCCATTATTTGACCATAAAAGACAATCAGAATGTACAGTTACATCCGTCAACATGTTTGGATCATAAACCCGATTGGGTAATCTACAATGAATTTGTGTTGACCACGAAGAACTACATACGCACAGTTACAGATATTAAACGTGAGTTGATTTTTTATTTTTTTTTTTTTTTTTTTTGCTTTTATCATGTTTTTTTCGGTGTAACCTTTACTACTCATAATAAACATATATATTTATTTAATTTTAATATGAATATCCTCCCTTTTTTCGACCTTAGCGGAATGGCTGCTCACTTTGGCGCCACAATACTATGAAATGGCCAATTTTCCTCAATGCGAAGCTAAAAGACAATTGGAAATGCTGCAACAACGCATCGAATCGAAGCAATTTCAAAAAGGATTTTAGTTCCAACGTTTCTACTAAGCGCGCACGTTTATTCCAAAAGTTTTACCTTTTTCATTTACTATTTGTTTATTAAGTTAATAATACAATATTATCAGCAAATTAATAAATTTGATTTGAATTTGAATTTAGCAATTAAATTTTACATGAAAAACTAGTAACTTGAACACAAACTGTTGGCTGATAAAAATCAGCAGCTGTATGTAGTGCTGTTATTAATTGAAACAACAACAGAATATGTCTTATTAAAATCGTTTATTGATACATATGTATGTATGTATATCTGCCACGAGCTGTAGGAGTTTTCATCCAACTTAAAATGTATGAGAAGAGAAGCATGAGCTTACTTCGTATACATGCATACACATTAAAATACATACATACATATATCTAATGAAATGAATTATACTTGAAAATAATAAATGAGTGACAATTATATACACAAAGCCGTATCTAATATTACAAACAAGAATTATACCAATGGCACTTGATGAATTTTACTTCAAACTGTCAAAAAAATAAATATATATATATGGTTAAGGAAAATAAGAAAAAGCAGTCGATTTTTATCAATGGAGTAAGGGTGACAGCTATTAGAAATTCAAATCAGACAAGCGTATCTCTTCAAACTGACCGCGATAAACATTAAAACTCAATTCAAATTGCAAATTTAAATAAACTTTTATTTGTCGCAAATGTTATTTCAACTTGTCTAACCATTGGTATTTTGAAATTGTATGAGTATTACCAAGTATGTGCAAATAGCCGAGCTGAACTGTAATTAAAGTAAAAGAAATACTAAAAATTAGTAAAAGATAAACAGGCTAATAGAGCCACAACTTGTATTTGTACGAAAGAATATATAATTTTAATGTATGTCCCTTTTTGTAAGTATGTTTCTTGTTATAATTTTCATATTTTTTAAATTTATTTATTTTATTTGTTATTATTATGCTGCATATTCTTTTATTATTATTTTTTTTTATATATTTGTATTATTATTTTAAATATTATTGTTATTATTATTTTATATATTATTGTTATTATTATTTTATATATTATTGTTATTATTATTTTATATGTTTTTATTATTATGTTATATATTTTCTATTGTTATTTTATATATTTTTATTATTTTTATTTTATACATGTTTGTTTATTATTATTTTTTTATAAATTTTTATTTTTATTATTTTATATATGTTTGTTTATTATTATTTTATATATGATTATTACTATTTTTTTTATAAATTTTCATTATTATTATTTTATATGTTTTTTTTATTGTTATTTTATATATTTTTATTATTATTTTTCTATAAATTTTTATTATTATCATTTTATATGCTTTTATTATTACTTTACATATATTTTTATTTTAATTATTTCATATATTTTCATTTTTATTATTTTATATATCATTCTTATTATTATTTTCATTATAAATTTTTATTATTATTATTTTATACATGTTTGTTTATTATTATTTTATATGTTTTTATTATTATTTTATATATTTTTATTATTATTTTTCTATAAATTTTTATTATTATCATTTTATATGCTTTTATTATTACTTTACATATTTTTATTTTAATTATTTCATATATTTTCATTTTTATTATTTTATATATCATTCTTATTATTATTTTCATTATAAATTTTTATTATTATTATTTTATACATGTTTGTTTATTATTATTTTTTTTTATAAATTTTTATTTTTATTTTTATTATTTTATATATGTTTGTTATTATTATTTTATATGTTTTTATTTTTTTATATTTTTTTTTTATTGTAATTTTATATATATTTATTATTTTTTTTCTATAAATTTTTATTACTATTATTTTATATGCTTTTATTACTACTTTGTATATATTTTTATTTCAATTATTTCATATATTTTCATTATTATTTTTTATTATTTTATATATTTTTATTATTATTATTTTTTCTTATTCTCATTCTTATGCTTCTATCATCTTTTCTAATATTTTTATTATTTTATTATTATTTTCCTAGGCTTTTATTATTATTTTTCTTATAATTATATTATTATATTTTTTTACTTATTTTAAATATTTTTATTTTTATTATTGTTTGTTTCAATAATTTTTTCTAGTATTTATTTTTTTCCTATTATTATTATCATTATTTTCTTAGTTTCTGTTATATATTCACTATTAGTTTTTCTTATACTTTAAATTTTTTATATTTTTTTTTTTTTTTTTTTTAATTATTATTAACAAATAAAAACTAAAAGTGTGTAGAAAAAATAAGTTGTAAGGTAAAAATTGTTTTTAAAATTTATTTCACAAATTCTTATTTATTTTTCTATTTTTATTATGTTTTTGTTAAATTTTTCTTAGTTTTTTTTTGTGTTTTCTTATATCTTTCTCATATTTTTTCATTATTTTTTTGCTGTTTTTTATATTTTTTATCATATTTTTCTCATACTTTTATCTTTTATTTGCTATTATTTCTTCTTTTATATTTTTATTACTTTTTCTTATACTTCTTTCTATTCTATTCTATTATTATTTTTATTACTTTTTTCTTAATATTAATTTCTTAACTTTAAATTTTTTTGTACATATTTGTTATTTTTTCTAAATTGTTATTATGTTTTTTTTCGCAAACATTTTTATTATTATTTTGCCTTATATTTTTATTATTTTTCTCATATTCTTATCTTATTATTTTTCTTCATTTTTTATTATATTTCTCATATTTTTATTACTTTTTCTCTTATTATTATTTTCATTTTTTATTATTTTTTTCGTTTTTATTATATTTTTCGTTTTTATTATTTTTTTTTCGTATTTATTATTTTTTTCGTTCTTTTCGTTTTTATTATTTTTTCGTTTTTATTATTTTTTCGCATATATTTTTTCCCATATATTTATTATTTTCGCATTTATTTATTTTTTTTTTCGCATTTATTTATTTTTTTTTCGCATATATTGAATTTATATATTTTCACGTTATTAATTTTTTTAAGTTATATTTATATTTAATGTATAATTTCAATTTATTTAATTTATATTTTTATTTATTTATTTTTTATTATTTTTATTTATTATTTTTATTTATTTTTTTATTATTTTTATTTATTTTTTTTTTATTATTTTTTCATAAATTTTATTTTTATTAATATTTTACTTATTACTATTTTATTACTATTATTTTTTTATTACTATTTTATTATTATTACTATTTTATTATTATTATTATTTTTATTACTATTTTAATATTATTTGTTATTAATTGAAATCAGTTGTGCTGCTTGTCTGCTTGTTTATCTTTTGAATTTGATATATACACGTGTATATGTGCACACAAATATACGCACCGATGTTAGCAGCGTACGATTAACCCGACAAAGTCCACTTGCTGAAAATTCTACATCGACGACAAGTAATTGTTGCCAGAATTTTTTCACCTACATAAATAAAATGAAGAAGAAGCATAAATGCCAATTAGTAACGGTGATGTTTTCTTCATATGCCAATTGGAATTGCAGACATTTGAGTTTATTTACAAATTATATTGTACATACATACATATATATACATACGCGTATGTCAAATGTATGTACGCGAATTTCTCTCACCTCTTCAGCCAATATTGGATCGTGTATTTTACGTTCAATTTCACAAACGATTTGTATCGTCTTTTTGGACTGTAAAGTAAATATTTATTTGTTGTTATTTAAAATTTATATAATCGAACGTACATACATATTATATATGTGCTTACAACTAATATTAACTAATTTGCAAATAAAAAATTAATGGACTCACCTCCACCGTTGCCAAATGACATGGTTCCACCACCAATATTAAACGTAATGCATGGAAAATAATCCATAAAACTTGTAGCCACACCATGCCGCTGTCTTTTTTACTGAGCAACTCCAGAAAGAGGAAATATGATGTTGCAACCAAATGTAGCAAGCAGGAGACCAAAATGAAGAGTACAGCAAAGCCGTGAGAGCTGTGGTTGGGGGGGGGGGGAGTGAAGGGAAAATAATTCATGTAAAACTCTAGTAACACAATTTCACTGTTTTGCTTTTTTATATTTTTTAATTTAGGTTTTTAATAATTATCTTAATTTTTTATTTTGTTTTAACATTATTTTAAATAATGAAATTTTTAAAATACTTTTAATTTTTTGCTTTCTCTAAATTTATTATTTTGGATTTTTTTATTTTACTTTAATTTCTTTTGTTTTTTAAAAATCACCTCTATACTTTATTGTAACTGTTTTTATGGTTCTTTTCATTTTCATTTTGCTCAATGTTTTTCTTTAATATTTTTTATACTGTTTTTTTTTATTACTGTTTTTTTTTTTTAAATATTACCTGTTAAGATACTTGAAGTTATTTAATTTTTTATCTTTTAATTAAATTTTTAATAACGTTGAAATATTCGTTGTTAATGTGTTTTACTTTTTTTTTAATTTTCAAAAATAATAATTTTCTTTTTAATTAAATACATATTTTAAATTTTTTAAAATTATTCTAGCAATTTTTTTCTTAAGATTTCTTTTTTTTTTCTTAATTTTTCTTTTATTTCTTTTTTTCTTCTTTTTTTCTTTTTTTTTCTTCTTTTTCTTTCTTTTTTTTTCTTTTTTTTGATAAATTTTTCTCAAGAATTTTTCAAATATTATTTTCTTGTATTTTGTATCTTATTTTGTATTAAATCAATTTTTTATTATTTTTTATCTAACAATATTTTAGCTCAAATTCAAATTTTTTTTCGTAATGTTTAATTCTAATGGTTCTTTTCATTTTTATATGTAATTATCTATTATTTTTATCTTTCTTTTAATTTTTTTATATAATTATTATTTACTATTTTTTCGCTTGAATTGAATACTCACTTGGATACCAAGCGCATGCATTTCCCCAAAGACTCATGGTTTTCTTCAAGTAATCTTAGTAAATTGACCTTTTGCTTGCCTACAACAGAAAAAATTAAAATTAATTAAATTTTATATTACATATTTTTTTTGCCTTGTCAAGGATGTTGTTTTCTCTGATTTGATATATTTTATTTAATCATCTTTTTGTGGTGATGTGATGTCATTGATGTGACTTTCATAATGTGATGTGATGTCATTTGATTAGATATGATGATTTCATTTGATTTGATTTGACTTTTTTTTTTTGATTTGTGTTGCTTTAATGATATGTGTTTTTATATAATTTTATTTAATTCAATATTTTCTGAATTTGTTTGATTTTACTTCATTTAATGTGATGGGATTTTCTATAGTTATTATGTCATGTGATCTGATATAGTTTTATTTGAGTTTATCAAGTGATTGAATTTTATTAGACATGTTTTGGTGATTTTTTTTCTTTTGATATTTCGTAGTTTGAATGTGCTGCCTTGCTTTATTTGTCACCTCTTACCTGATCCCTGCAATGTATCATTTGTTAATTTCGCCAGACTTTGATGTAATGCTAATGGATGCTGTGACACTACTTTTACAGTGGTAATTGGAGGCTTCATTGGAGCGTCCTTTTGATTATTATCTACCAAGAAAAATTTATAAATTTTTATTTATTGTACAAAAGTATAATATTATTCTTTCTAATTCCTTTTAATCAACGCAATCACCTTTCAGAAAACTATTCCGCAGCATCACATTTAGACGTCGAAAACGTCTACCCAGACCAAAAGCAGTATTGGCGAAATTGATCTGCAGACCGGTGAGTATAAAGTAGAGGCTATAAAAGGGTATATACCATTGCACGTTCAACTCTAAAAGCAAAAAAAATATTTCTAGTAGAATTTTCTGTGTTGGTCTATTAAAATTACCCGTGTCGTCCTGAGGCGTTCTCACGCCAATAGCAAACCGTAGCCACGTAGAAAGGTCAAGTCCTAATATGAGTGAGGCAGGGTAGATGAGAGTTAGAGATATAGTTTTAGAGAAGGTAAATTTATTGAACTTTTTACCCAATATTGAAGTAATAGCTGTCAGAGGCAACACCATCATTAATATGGCCATTGTCCGGTCACGTTTAAAATTTGAATACGAGTGCATGGAATCATCAATCTAAATATAAATAATGCACAAAGCTATATATATATATATATATATATATATATTTATATATATATATATATATATTTATATGTACTTCAATACGCACCTTTCTCAAACGTGTATTTAGCTCGCGTGTCGCTCGATATCCCAATAAACCGCAACCAACACCCGCCGAACATGCCAATACCACAACGGATACATCCAAAGCTGTAACCACTTTCGATGTGGCCGATTTCATTCTAAAAGATGGTCTAGATTTGATGAATTTTGGACATTATCAAAATGTGTTGTGCATAAGACGTAACGGTTTTGTTAATCGTTAATCGTAAAAAAAAAAGAAGTTGCAAATGTAATGCGAGCAAAGTTCATAAGAGAAAAGAGACAAGAAAGAGAGTAAGTATATAAGAGTTTAAATGAAAGGAAAGTTATAAAAAGTAAGTAATAGTTTTTAATTAATTACTACAACTACAAATACTACGAAAGCGCTTATACATATATACTACAGAGACCAATATATTATATAAATAGGATCTGCTAAAAATCAGAAGTGTGATATTAATTGACTGCATACATATACACATTGTATATTCCAATGACTATAATTGTAAATACATAAATATATGTACATCGTACACCCTCACCTCTTCCAAAACAAACAACTCTAATAATACATACTGTTAGTTGTTGTGCCTAAACTAAGTCTTTCATGTGCTCAGGAGAATAAATTTCATATAATATTTGGAAATAGAGTGGCTAAATAGGCGACATTGGCCAACCTTGGGTGCATGCCGAGGAACAAAACCATATTTCTAACAGAACAGAACAGCGAAAATAATTTAAAAAAGAAATTGAAGTAAACTTGAGTATCAACACTGAGCGGCGTATCCACTCTGATATACCAAATATTGATTAGTGTCTATCGGAAATAGTTTTACATTTAGCTCGGCTTCTGGCGTCCACTCTGCGGTCCCCTTAGTGGTGAATGCTGATAAAACGGTCCAATCCAAGTATTATAGAACCCATCAAGCACCTAATTTTCACTAGCAAGGTGTTTTGGAAGTTCAATATAGAGAAGTGGTTGATATGCTAGAATTACACAACCATATAAGAAGATATTACCCTATCGCTAGATCTCAAGCATTGGTAGGACACAGCGATAGTCTAGCCAATCTTAGTCTATGGTCCCTTTGGTGTGAGGAACCGTGGCCAGTAAAATCTCATTTAAATAATTATTAGAGCGAATACAGTGGCTCGCTGAACTCTGCATAATGGAAGCGCTGGGGATTACTTTAACGAATATCAATTTCGGAATGCTACTCAGCCTGCAAACAACAGATATTGCAGTGGAAACCAAGCAACGTAATCCGCTTTGTGATTGGTCATATTTAGTAAATATTCTGCTAGAACATTTAAATAACCATGAGCAAGATACTGTACAACAAACCCGCACGCTTTACCTAGAAAAAACCGCATTGAAAGAGTTTGGATGACCCTCGAATCTATTGCGGCTAGGCAATAGTATTTTCCAGACCAATATCTTCGAGGCAAGGTAAGCTACTGTGTTAGCTAACGCTGTAGGCAACAAATGAAAACCATTAACATACGTTGATAGGCAGGCAATGAAAGCAATAAATATCCATAGAAGTAGCGATGAAGGGGATAAAAGAAAGAAAGCGATGTGGGGAACGAAATAATGGATGAGAGTGTCAAAAAGCTCATTTGCTTCATGATCCAATCAGTACATAAGATATGAAAGACATGTATGTATAGCTAGAAGAAGGATCGGGCTAAGATGTAATGCCTGAACCGCATACAAAACCGCCAAAATCAATGGCAGCGAATGAGAGAGCAAATGCACTGTATTGAATAGACATCAGAACGGAATGGGCATCAGTAACAATGACCCATGTAGGAATTGTAGAGAGATAGGCGTGGGCGAAACGTGAGAAACACCTGCTCTGTGTTTGTCCGGCGTAGTTAAACTTGTTTTCGACAACTAGTTGCTACATTGTTCGAAGAGTGAGAGAGTGGCAAACTTCAAAAATAGATAGTAAAGAGATGTCTTAAACTTTGCAGAAAGCATTAAGATCCTACTCCTGTTTTGTAACTGGTGCCGAGCTTCTCTGCCAATTTGTGGGTTACGTCTTGATGTGTTTTTCTAGAAAATGAGAGGACTTACAGTTTATACCTAGCCATCTGCGATTGGTTGATGGACTTTTATGAGGAGGTTTTATAAGAAGCTTTTCATTTCATAACAGAAATACGCTCGAAAGGTCATACTCCGCCATATGGCGCTCGCAATGGGGAAAGCTCTTTGTTTTCTAGAAATTAATTTTGCTACTTTTTGTATGTTGTTGTTGTTGTTGTTTTTTTTTTTTTCAAAAGAATTAAAAATAAAACGACACAATTTAGATGAATATTTCTGATCCAGAGAGAAATAATTAAGCCATAAACACGCTATTCTTAAATTTGTTCAATCGGAACGAAGGTTATTTTCTACCCAACTTTCAGTTTAAGCCATAAAAGTATACAGTTGCGATTATACACATCAATTTCCATACAAAAACGAGAGAAAAAAACAAGTAAAATACTATACAACAGATCAAGCCTCTGCAGCGACTACTACTACTACTACTACTAGTAAATAAAATTTTTTTCTAAATAATAATAATAATACTAATAATAATAATTAAGTATTAAAAGCTTTCAGATCTCAAAGCCTTAATAAACCTTTTTGTAATTAGAAAGAAGAGAAAATGCTTACCGAACTGGCACCTGCGAATTTGCGTCAAAGAGAAGGCCTTGATAGGTTAAAATCACTGAAAAAGAATTTAAATTTATTTCTTAACCTCTTCGAATACAACAAATTATCTACCCATTATTAAGCACAGTGAGCCCGAATAAACCGAAAACATGACACTGCGTCGTATATCTAGCGCGCCCTTCGAGTTTCGTCGTACCGAGAATGGTGCCAGTGCCAAAAATTTGTTCACATAGAAAATGCAGAGTGTAGGCTCAGTGATTTCCATGTTTGAAAAGCGTTGGAAAAATTTTTTTATTTTATTTATTTTTGTGTATTATATAATTTTTCAATAAATTTTGAAGCAATACGGTTTTCACCACACACAACTTTTTCAACAATTTTAGTGTTTTTCAAATAAAAAAAGGAAAATATTTTAACTTTATTTTTTTAAACTCGCAGGATTTTCATTTCATTTTAATAATTTTTTTTACACTTCTAAACACTCAGCTCTGTGGCGGCAGACTGATTGAATTTCTACTGAATATTGAGGTGGTGAATTTCGTGCCATTGGCAATTTACAACTTCATACGCAGTGAGAATTTGTAAACAAATTTTTATACACCTTGGCAAATATTTGTACGCCTCTATATGTATATATATATATATTGTATGTAAGTATGTACATATATATACAATCTATAGGGCTATTTATTTTGTGGTTTGGAAAGAGTTAAAATTGTATACAAAAGTGGTGATTTGTGCTTTAAGTGAGAGATTTCGGTGCACATAAAATCGTCCAACCACACGAGCAAGTGATTAAAATTTTAAAGAAATTTGAAGAGACTGGAACGGTTACAGATACTGAAACAACCAAAACTCCTACTCTCTGGTGCGCTGGTCCGGCGGTGTGATTGGATCTTATTATGTTCATTATCATACCGACTTATTTCGGCCTGCAATTGAAGTACACAACTTGGGCAATATGTGGTTTCAGCAAGATGCTGGCACACGTGCGGAATATGACTTGATTGCGAGAGAAATTTCCCGGCCACGTAAACTCTCTATTTACCAATATCAATTGTTCCTGCGAGATCCTGCGATTTGACAAGGTTTGACCTCTTTTTGTAGAGCTTTCTGATGAAACCATATTTATGCGTATGAAGCTTTAACTCTTGAACTCCAACCTATTACGTCAAGTTATGACTGACATACCTCCCGGTAAGTGCCAAAAAGTGGTCGAAAGTTAACTCAAACGGATCGAAATTCGCAGAAATACGCGATCATTTGGGAGATTTTGGGTGGCCACAGTAGCCGAGTGGTTAGCAATAAGTTTTACCATTTGGTAGGCTTGAGTTCGAGTGCTGGTTCGAACGACTTCCAAAAGTTTTAGAAAATTAAGCTAATTTTTCTAACTACGGTCGCCCCTCGGCAGGGAATGTTAACCCCTCCGAGTGTCTTTCTGACATGAAATAGAGGTTCCTCATAAAAACAAAAAACTATCAGCCGTTCGGATGGTTTATTTGGTGTTATTTTATTTTATTTTACTTTAATTTTAAAATTTTCCCCTTTATTTATTTTATTTTACTTTATTTCTTTTATTTTATTTTATTTTATTATATCTTATTTTATTTTATTTCACTTTCTTTATATTATTTTACTTTATTTATTTTTAAAATTATATTTTATTCATTTTGTTTTATTAGGTTTTATTTTACTTTATTCATTTTATTTAGTTTTATTTTATTGCATTTTATTGTACTTTTTTATTTTATTTTATTTGAATTTATTTTACTTTATTTACTTTATTTTATTTTATTTGGTTTTATTTTATTTTACTTTCTTTTTCTATTTTATTTGGTTTTATTTTATTTTATTTTATTTTACTTTATTTATTTTTAAGATAATATTTTATTTATTTTATTTTACTTATTCATTCTATTTGGTTTTATTTTACTTTATTCCTTTTATTAGATGAGTGCATAAGTTCGTGCCCGATTTCAAGTGCAAACTAAAATTGAAATTTTTTGAAGAAAGCGCTTTTATTAATCAATTATGTATTCGCCATCATGTTCGGCAATCCACTCCCAACGTTCAACCANGTTATTTTATGCTTGATTTACAGTTCGGACTGTCACCTTTCCAACGATATATAATATGTATATATTTCTTTCACGAGCGCCACTCTCAAACGATTCGAACGGCATCCAGCGGAATCGGGCACGAACTTATGCACTCATCAATACTTGGTTTGATTTTATTACATTTATTTTACTTTCTCTATTTTATTTGGTTTTATTTTATTTGACTTTATTTTATTGTATTTTATTTCACTTTATTTATTTTTAGTTTTTTAAATTTATTTATTTTATTTGCTTTTACTTTATTCATTTTTTTTAATTTATTTATTTCTTTTTTTATTTTTTTATTTTACTTTATTTATGCTATTTTATTTTATTTATTTCATTTGGTTTTAATTATTAATTTTGTCTCTTTTATTTTAATTTATTTTTTTGGACTTTTTTATTTAATTTTTTTATTTAACTTCATGGAAAAAGATTATATTAGATGCATTTCATTTATGTTTAATTTTGAAACCGCAAAATGCATCTTCCTGTATATACTTATATCTATATCCCTGTAAGTATATATCCTTGTATGCCGCATTTACAGGTGTATACGAGTATTTATTTTAATTTTATGCGGCCTTTATTTGCGTGTGGGCTCTTAACGTGTTGCTAACAAATTTACACCGTCTCGGCAGCGGTTTACAAACTGTAGAGCGAAGTGAACGAGGTTTATTGAGCAAAATTTAAATTCGGAAAAGCCTATGGAAATTGCCAATTTTCTTCTTTTCTTTATAAATTTCATAATAAATTTTAATCACTATTTTTTCGCCAGTTTCTCCGCTGCTTTCTTATGTTTAGAACAGTTTCTTCGACGGCCTTCACAGTATACAACCAACCATGGCCCACAGTTAGGGCACTCCGAACAAGCCATTCAACAGTTTGAGTTTACCTGACCGCACACTTGAATCACTTGAAAAAATGTTATTTACCCGTTTGCCGTTTAAATTGTAAATAATCATTAGAGTTCGTGACAGTGACAGTGAACACTGAAATCAGTTTAGAGCTAATTATATGCATAATTAAATTGCCAAACAGTTGGCGCTGCAATAGCACTAAGTAAACTTTGTTCGCTTCGAATATGCATACATATATGCAAATACAGACACACACACACACACAAACACATACACATACACACACACGCATACTCATACACACACATGTTATAAAAGTATTTGCTCATAGGTGAACATACAAATTGAAACCTGAATGAATTTAATGTAGCATACATCAAGGGGCAGTGACGGGTATTCATTAAAGACCCGAGCTCATTTACAAATGTAGCAAAATATTGTAGGAAGGGTATGTTTGTAAGCTTGCTTTCAAGTAGCCATGCGAATAAGTGTAAGTAAACATGGCCAGTGTATGGCCATTGCACTTAATGTAGCATCTATTTAGGCGCAAACAAAGTATTTTTTTTATTAATAATTGTTGTTTGCATATAATTGATTAATTTAAGGGTATGCATGTATGCATTAGTGAATGTGCTCCCAAATAGCTTAGTAATAGCATTTTGAATCTTCCAGTAGTAGTGCAGTAGTAATGGTTCTACTGGTAGAGACTTACCTGATCAGTTATTTAAGGCGTTACAAGAGTTTAACCAACAGTTGATTCCAAATCACCTCCTTTAATGATTGGTAAACCCTTATGAGAAGGTTTTTATTTTATATCAGAAGTACACCCGGACCGCATTTAGAAAAATTAATCTAAATTAGGTTAGGTTGAGCTGGCTGATCCATTGTGTCTCACATAGCTGATAATATAACTGTAATGTTGTCAGACATACTAATGTGACCAAACTGCAATGCTACACTCTTATTGTGTCTCTAATGGGAAGAACATTGCTTTTATTTTTGCGAATTGAAGTAGTCGTTCTGGCCCTCGACCATTGCCGTTTGAAGATAATCTGGCCTTTCAGCACCAAGTAAGCAAGAGCCTTTGTCTGCCGTTTGCAGGACACTCATAGATTACGAGCTTCACTTTTCTACATTTCCCGTCCCCAATCAGACCTATATTAAAAGAATTGGACACCAAAAGCCAATGCCCTGTTAACAGTTCTATTAGCAGCCTGGAGTCTGGTCTTTTTTTCAAATAGTACAAACTTTGTGAGTTAAGTATCTTATGTTTAACACATAGTTTTCGCATATCTGCGGCCTTTAGATCGTTCCCAGCGTCTATTCGTTTTACGAAGTAGTATTACTGCTTGCTTTTGCTTTCCTTGCCTGAAAGGAAGTGGAAATGGAAGGTTCGTTCGCCAGCTCGTCAGCATATTCAGCTATGTTATTCGGTCCATAGTTTTCCATTATATTAAATCTCTGTAGAAAAGTATAGGCTTAACAATCCCAATGAAGATCCAGTGGGAGATAACGGAGGAGAGAGTCCAAGTGCAGTCCATCAGCCCGTTGATGCCTTCATCACTCGTTACTCTACTTTGAGTTACCACGACAACTAGGTTTCAGCTGTAAAGCGGACTCTCCTAGCTTTCGTTTGATTCTGGTTGGATATTTTTTCTTGTAAATAGGACCATATCTGTTTAAGCAGTATGAACCAACTCTGTCTTTCATCCTCTTGAACAATTCTTTAGCCCCAATAGTCCAGTGAAGTGGGAGCCTCTCCTGCGGATTGGGGGTTCAAGGATTTACCCGAGGCTTGGCGCATGATTAATAACTGGTTAATGGTTGATTTAACAGGTCTAAAGCCTTACTGATAAGGTCCAATCAGTTTTTTTATCAGTTTTATCTCACGGTAATTGGCGCTGACTGTGTTACCATTTACAGAACATAAAACTATGTTTCTTCACTAACAGAAGATTTCGTGTTATGGTTCTTAAGGCGCTGTTTGTCTTCCCGTGTTGCCCTTGTTTTCTGCGTCCAAATCGGTCCGGTAAAACCTCTGAGTGAAACTGCCAGTCACTTTGGGTTATTTGGGTACGAATTGAGATATTTTCTAATGAAACTTGGTTTAGACATTCCTTGGGTGACAAGTACGGACGATATTGCAAGTGCCTGTACAGGCAATGAAGCACGTAATTAGTGACTGTTCTGCGTTCCGTGAAGAAACCTGCAGAACGACCCACAAATAGTAATGTAAAAAGGACGAAAATGACTACTCCAATTTGCGTAGAGAGACAACAAGGAGTGTGGTAGTCTTTAGACGGATGTAAGGTATCTGATAACACTACGATTGAGTATGTGAGAGGCGCTGGAGTCAACCAGTTCCATCTGAACTAATCTAATTCTTCGCAGTTTAAATGCTTTACGACTGGGAGTGTTAATTAATAAAGGTATTCGGTACTTACCATCTAAATGTGCTCTCCAGCCACTAATCTTAGGTAAGAGAGCTCAGAGCTGTATATACAATTTTTTCTAATCCACAGTCTTTAAATTAATTAATTCCTGGTACTAATGAAAATTAAATAGGTAATAGTGTTTGTATTGCAATGTAAATAAATATTAATAAAAGTTTAAATTGTGTCAACCGCACAGCAGTATACGTGTATGTATGTATGTAAATGCAGTGTAAGTCTCAAATCAAAATCGAAGACATGGAGTTGTCTTTAAGTGTGAAATTTAGTCAATAATCAAATTTCGTGAAGAAAACTTGTGCCACCAAAGAAATAAGATAAGAGAAAAACAAATAAAATAAAATAAAATTAATAAAAAATATATAAAAAGGATTAAATATGAAAACAGAGTGAAATAAGAAAATATAACAAAATAAAAATAAAAAAATTATAAAATAATTAATTTAAAACTAAAATATTAAATGAAATAAGATAAATTAAAGTAAAATAAAAAAATTAAATGAAATAAACTATATTAAAAAAAAATAAAAAATAAATAAAAAGGTAAATAAATGGAAATAAAATAAATTAAAACAAAATGAAATAAATGAAATAGAATAAAATAAAATAAATAAAATAAAATAGAATAAAATATATTAAATTAAATATAATAAATAAAATAAGATGAAATAAATTGGGCTAAGTAAGGGAGAAAAAAATATTATTAATTGAAATTAAATTAAGTGAAATAAAACAAAATAAAATTAAATTATATAAAAAGAAATAAATATAAAAAATAAATTAAATTAAACAAAAGTCATAATAATAAAACTAAAACTAAATAAATAATTAAATTAAATTAAATTAATAAAATAATATTAAAAACGATTAAATAAAAATTAATTAAAAAAATACATATATTATAATAAAATAAAAAGCAAATTAAATAAAAACAATAAAAAATATGTAAAAACCGATTAAATAAAATAAAATGAGGCCATAATAAAATAAAATTACATTAGAAAAATGAATACAACAAAATAAGTTAAAATTAAAAAAAATAGTAATAATAACATAAAATAAAATAAAATAAAATAAAATAAAATTAAGATAAAGTAAAGTATAATAAAAAAAAATAAAATAAATTGAAACAAGATAAAAAATTTAAATAAAATGGACTATTTTACAAAATAAAATGAAATTAAAACATTAAAAATTAAATGAAATGAGATAAAATCAATTAAAATAAAATCAAATAAACTAAATATAATAAAATCAAGTGAATTAAATTAAAATAAAATAAGATAATATAAAATGAATTAAAGTATAATAAAATAAAATAAAAAAATTATACTATATTTAGAAGAAAATAAAAAGTAAGTTTAATAAATTAATAAAAAACAATATAAAAAAGGATTAAATAAAATAACATGAAAATAATAACATAAAATTTGAATAAAAAAAAAATTAAAATGAAAAAATAATAATAATAACATAAAAAAAATAAGATATAATAAAGTAAGATAAAAAAAAATAAAATGAAATAGGATAAAAATTGAAACAAAATAGAATATATTAAAATAAAATTTCAAAAAACAAAAAAGTAAATAAAATGAAAAAAATTAATTAAAATAAAATTAAATATAATAAAATAAAATAATTAAAATAGATTAAAGTAAAATAAAACAAGATATTATTAACTGAAATAAAAATAAGTGAAATAAAACAAAATAAAATGAATTAAAATATAATAAAATAAATTATATTAAATATTATGAACAAAAAAAATTACATAAAATAATATAAAATAAAATATAATGAAATAAAACCGAATTATGAATAAATAAAAGAATTAAAATAAAATGAGATTTAATCAAATAAATTTTATAATAATATAAAATAAGATAAAAATAAGTAAAATAAAAAAAATAAAACAAAATAGTAAAATAGAATAATATTAAATTAAATTAAAATATAAATTAAATAAAAAACAAAATAAAAAATGAAAATAAAATGAAACAAAAAAATCAAATATAAAAGTAAAATAAAATAATATAAAAAATAAAGTAAAACAAAATGAAAGGAAATTTAATAAAATAGAATATCAAATAACATAGAGTAAAATAAAACAATAAATAAATAAAATAATAAACAAAAGTATATAAGAGAAGTTAAAATCAAGTCAAATAAAATGTAATAAATCAAAAAAAAATATATATAAGAATAAAAAGAAAAAGTATGGTAACATGAAACAAAATACAATAGAACAAATAAAATAAAATGGAAAATAATTCAAAAATTATACATTTATCTTATGCAAATAATATTTTCTAAAACACATTATAAATAATATTTCCGCCATGGAAATTAGCGCAACATCAAGAAGTGTCTTTTATCTGAGCAAAATCTTGGGTCTGGCACCATACGCTCTAAAAACAAATACAAAAGCTGAAATAGAAATAAAACGTTCGAAATTCTTTACCACATACTCAATCTTCTTATGCCTAAGCAATGGTATGTACGAGTACAATATTTTTTTTTTTTTTGTGTATCAGAAAATCATGAATTTTAAAATTAAACCTTCTTTATATTAATTTAACAAGTATTAATTAATTCTTTGAGTAAATTTTAATAAAATCCAACAAACATACATACATATTTACTTCAAAGTAAACTTTCCTTTCAGTTGTATTGATCATTATGGGCTTCAAGGAAAATTGCAAAGTCAGTTTACGGTAAGTTAAGCTCAAAATTTTAAAGCTTCAAAGTATTTTACCGTAGAAAGAATTATTTTTTAAATTATTTTCTCTTTTTTTACATATTTGTATTTGAATGTTTTTCGGCTTACCGACTCAGTCCATACCAAATATTGGTCAAGTATAAAGTTCGTTCGGTTTTTATCTAAGAGATGGCGTTATTGTCCATAGTACTAGTGTTACGTGTCGCATCATGTCATACTATACGGCGCTGAGTAAGTGTTTATTCGCGCTAAAAGTTTGTCTTTGAAAGTTTTTCGATTGATTGACTCAGTAGGTCTTAAGCGCTCGTCAAAGATGGACACCAGCAAAGAGTGAATTCGCTTATTTAACAAATTTTTCCTCGATAAATGCGAAAAAGCAGCCAAAGCGGCTGAAAAATTAATTTAGTTTATGGACCCGCTACTGTAAACGAACGTGTAGCACAAAAGTGGTTTGCTAGGTTCCGTTCCGGTAATTTCGACGTCATAGATGCACCACGCGTCGGGAGGCCTTTCGTCGAAGATTGCGATAAAATCATGAAAATAGTGGAAACAGACCGTCGCGTGAGCACTTATTTAATTGCTGAAGAGTTAAAGATAAGCCAGAAAACCATTTGGAACCATTTGCATAACATTGGATTCAAAAAGAAGCTCGATTTTTGGGCGCCACACGAACTAACGCAAAAAAACATGACGAACCGAATTTCCAACTGCGAATCGCTGCTGAATCGCAACAAAATCAACCCGTTTCTGAAGTGGGTTGCGCCTAGCGATGAAAAACGGGTCACTTACGACAACATCGAGCGCAAACGGTCGTGGTCAAAGCTCGGTGAAGCGGCCCAGACGATGGCCAAGACCAGGTTGATGGCCCGGAAGGTTTTGCTTGGTGTGTTTGGTGAAATTGGCAAGGAATTATCTACTACGAGCTGCTTCCCTATGGCCAAACGCTCAATTCGGCCCTATACAGCCAGCAAATGGACTCCTTGAAGGCAGCACTCATTCAGAAGAGGCCTTCTTTGATCAACAGAGGCTGAATTGTGTTCCATCGGCACAAACGCCAGGCCACATACGTCTTTGGTGATGCGCCAGAAGCTCCAGGAGCTCGGTTGGGAGGTCCTAATGCAACGGCCTTACAGTCCGGACCTGGCACCAAGTGATCTTTTCCTGTCCATAGCGAACGCGCTTAATGGTGAGAAGTTGGCCTCAAGAGAGGCCTGTGAAAATTGGCTCTCCGAGTTTTTTGTCAATAGGGACGCTGCCTTCTACGAGAAACAGCATAATTGACTTAAATCAGACAAATGTACATAAAGTTATCATTTTTTGAAAAATTAACAAAAAAAATTTACTAAAACGAACCTTTTACTTGACCTATATGTATGATCAGTCGTCAATAGTTATCGATAACAGTTACCGATAATTGCTTTGACTGATTTTAATAAGACGCCGTCGTTTAGTAAGAGAATGTATCTCAAAGAGAAGGACCAGGGCGTGCCATTTTTGCCACATATTCCACTTACGGGATTGCGAAGAGACCATTTCACCTCTATACGATATTAGTACAGACTATTTAATCGCTAGTTAACCGCGAACTACCAGAGGCTGACAAATTATTTACAGAAGAATCATATTTGGGAGACAATTATTTTATTAATTTATTCTTATCTTGCTCAAAAATGTTGACAAACGGAGTCGATTTCTGACGGCAGTGGTTCCTTATTTCTTTCGTCCATTCTGGCAGTTCACAGACTGTTCGCAATCGGTCCTCCTCGTTATTTGACGTTCTCTGGCTTAGTATCGACGCTGCTACCCGCATTGGGCGGGATTATGGCACTACTAACCAGAATCCTTTAATATTCCAGAGCAAATTCAACAACATTGAGAGTTACCACCGCCATAGACGTGATAATCGTGGCCTTGGCCAGTATCGCTGGTGTGGGCTGTGGTATTTTCGGTCTGCGGTCTACGCAAGAGCTCAATCAGCGCTTGCGAAAGGTGAAAAATAAATAAATGAAATTTTATTTTACTGTAAGAATAAACTCGATATTTTCAAATAGTTTGACAGCAGCTTGCAATTATTTACGATAACCAAAAATGAGCGCAACAAATGCGGAGCAATGGCTATAATAACGTTGGCTGTATGTGTGGGCCTATTGTGTAATGAGATATATTTTTTTTTTTAAATTACAATATTACAAAATTATTTAATTAAAAAAAAAATATATATTTACAGGTTTCGATTATTTTGTGTGGATGGAAATTTTGTCCGGTCAACATACGGCAGAACAAAAATTGAGTTGAGCGTTTAAATTTGACTAAACTCGATACTTTTAGTTTTTTAATTATTTTTAATTTTAATTTAATTTAATTTTTATTTCCAGAAGCAACCCTAATGTGGTATCTACCATTCTATGGCCGTTACATAGCTGTTATTGGCTCACAAATATTATATGCGAATAATGTGTTGGGTTTTGGTAGAAGATTCCAGCGTTTAAATAAAATATTGGAATATGAATTTTTAAGTGGTAAAATCGATTAATATAAATCGATTATTTTTGTTTTAATTAAAAAAAAGGTATTTCTAATTTATACGCAGAACAAATGAGCTCATCACATCATCAGTTAACTGCTGAATTACGCTGCAAAGGTGAGGAGAGGCTGCGACTTTATTAGAAATTTAAAATAAAAAATTTTTTTTAAATGGTTTATGGCAAGGCGAATTTATAGAAAGTGAAGTTGTCACATCATATGATTGCTTGTTCTTGCTTCCACTTCAATAAATTACACAAAGAAAATACATTGTATGATTTTTGTTGCTGATTTTTCGAAATTTTCATTACACAAACAAAATAAATAAAATTTTTGTTTTTGTATTCTGCTACTAACGTGTGTGAATTTGCATAAAAAATTAAAAAGTCGAGATTTTTTGAGAAATATTTTTTTTTTTATTTTTTAATTAAATTTTCGTAAATGGAATACTTTCGCTTCCTGGCAATGAAGCAGAGGCCTGGAACATACATTTTTGTTAGCTTGATTAGCTCAAGGCCAAATTAAATCTAATTAATTTTGTCACCTCCACTTTTTGTAATTACAATATGTATGTGCGTGTGTACATACGTACATACATATGTATACCTACAGTGGCTGTTGGTCAAACGCCTACCAACAACCACACACGTCAAAACAAACTACCGCACAAAAAGGAGATGACAAAACTAACAAAGCGACCGGCCAGCTTAGTGAAGACGGCGTGGGTCGCTAGCTACGCACAACAACAAACTACGTGCAAAGAAAAACAAAACCAAGCGAAACTTCCTAACGCGATCAACAAAAATTGCGGGACAACAATTTAACAGCAAATTCGAACTACTCAAAACAATAAAACAAAATATGTTTTTGGGGTGCACCCGAGGTGTGGTCCAACCGAACTGGTTACGAACCCACTCGCACTACTCCCGTGCTGCCGGGGGTAACTTTAACCCGCCTGTATGACTGGGCTCCGGGTGCGGGATGCTAGAAGGATGGGTAAGGACGTAACGAGGGTGGTGACACTGTCGGCACGACAAAACGTACGCAAACAATAAATACACGAAATGATACTTATCAGTTTCTCGGTCGGGTGTGGGTACCCAACTTCGGTGCTCCTCCGGATGATGTCGACGCCAAACTCTGGTTCCGCCACTGGAATATAAAAGAAAACCTATTTTGCACTGGGCTTCGTCTGCCCTTAAACAAGCCCCGACTGGCTTAAAACTTTCACTACTTTTTACAAGGCTTCAACTGCCCTTACACTACCACTTGCCTCGCCTGGCAAAACGCTATTATATTTATAAAAAAAAATATCACAAATTTTTTGTTTGTTTTTTTTTTCTTTTTTTTTGTAAATCGCACGCCTGCGTAAAAAGAAGTTCGCACTCTTCTGTAGATTGCAAGAATCTGATCCGGCACGCACTTACGAGCCAGGCCGCAAGCTACGCGTCGGCCTTCAAAATTCTCCTGCGAGTGTGTATTGGTGCCCAATCATTTGGCGCCGCCCCCATTACCCAAAGGGACCGGGTTGTATAGCGCACGCCACCATGGCACACCAAGTACACTGGGATAACTTTTCCCCTCGCTGCAGTAAAGAAAAAGGCGACACCCCCTTTTACGGAATTCCCGCGCAAAGCATACCGTTGCCCTAATATTTGTTAGTGGAGGAACCGTTTTGGGGAACACCTCCTCTTGGAGACTTATACCACTGGGTAGGCACACACCGAATGCAACCGTGCCATCAATCCATGGCTTCAAATAATGCAACTATTTGCCGACAGATATCACTGCCAACGCTTGGAGTGAAAGGGAGCTTAGGCAAAACAAAGGAAATTAACAGACACACATAAAAGAAGTTTTTGTTGCGGCCAGTACGCGACAATTTGAAAAAAAAAAAATTAAAATTTTTTAATTATCATCACTATCGCTCATCGTGCTTTTAGCGCCACCTGGATATCAACGAAATTAGAATAAGTTCGAAATTTATTAGTAAATTTATTTTTTGTTTTTGTATTCTTGCTACTACCGTGTGTAAATTTGCGTAAAAAATTAAAAAATCAAAATTTTTTTAAAGTATTTTTTTCTTAGTTTTTTTTTTTAATTTAACAATTTTTTTAAAATTATTTTTGAATAAAATTATAGTTTTTTTTTAATTTCAGCTAAAACCCGGGCTCACATATTGCGCACTCTAGCCTACAATTACGGATCTGTAAGCAAATGTGTGGAGATTTTTTCAAAGTGAGTTTACGAAAATTATCTTTTATATTTCGGGTTTGGAGATCAAAAACATAATATTATATATATACACATATAAACTCATATATATATATATATATATATATATATATATATTCCGGTAGATGTCGCTTTTGTAGTTGTAATTTTTTAACATTTGACAACTAAAAACTTTGCCTGTCATAAAACCTGAACCACCTTGGCTTTAACCGCGCATTGTAATGATTAAAATCCATTATAAAAATGGTGATAACCAGAAATATTAAACTGTCGCATCAGGGGTTCGGTATACCGAAGATTTATTACTGAAAAGCCTCTGCATACTCTGCGGTTTAAGGTCCGCTGGGGTAATTGGTTCTTACTTTTGCGAAAATGATACTGAAGCAACAGTAATGGCGAATAGATTGCGCTATAGAGAGATGATTAATGATATTTAAGAGACCAGAATTGGATGGTATTGATGTGAACAAAGTTTACTTTATATAAGACGGCGCTACGTGCCACATACAAGCAACGAAACCATCGATTTACGGACCGTATTACCACTCGAAGCGGTGATCCCAATTGGCCAACGAGATCTTGTAGTTTAAATTCTTGCTAATTCTTACTTTGGGGCAACGTGGAAGATGAAGGCCATACAAAGGATACGGTACGTGGTCGCCATTTGGTTGCTATAGTTTTCCATTATTAATGGCATATCTTTCTTAGCCGATCATTTATATTAAAAAACACCTCTTATTGGAAAACCCTGTATATATATGTGGATGATTAATCAAATCGATGCTTTGAGTGCTCAAAACTGCAGTGCCAACAGTCCATGTGTGAGACACGGTATTGCCGTGGTGAAGAGTGATCCGTCTACGGCGGTTAGGTTTCTTGATTGAAAGACAACTGTTATCAAGTAAACCACTCAGAATTTACTATTCAGGGTTTTTTTTGTTGTTGTAGCCATAAAAATATTGCACCAAGTAGTTTTTGGGAAATGTTGGGGAGAGTAAAAGCTCTTGAACGGTTAAAAATCCATCCGACTATCGCTGGAAATTTTAGATTTTATTCGCCTCTCATGACAGCCATGTCTTATCGCGGGAAAATTCTTGAACCTCTACTCTGCAGCGTCCTGCTAAAAGCTATACTCATATACCGTTTAAAATTACTTTGAATTTTAAGAAAATTTTTCATTTCTTCAGCACTTTTGGATTTTCCACACTTTGCGATCTAACATCTTGCCTCATACATTTGGTAATTACCGCACATTTTATTCTATTGGCGCTGAAGAATCCAATCATAGACCGTTATCTTATAAATCTGACAATGTGGATGGTGTTGCATATATTTCGGCTGTTGCTAGTGGTGGAAGTGTGTCAAATGGCGACGGTACAGGTGAGTAAAATAAATTTCGAACTTATTCTAATTTCGTTGACATCCAGGTGGCGCTAAAAGCACGATGAGCGACAGTGATGATCATTAAAAAATTTTACTTTTTTTTTCAAATTAATTGGATTTAATTTGGCCTTGAGCTAATCAAGCTAACAAAAATGTATGTCCCAGGCCTCTGCTGCATTGCCAGGAAGCGAAAGTATTCCATTTGGCCATATCATCCTAAATTTGAACTAAAATGAACCAAGGATATGTATGTTTTATAAATAGATCGATCCACTTTACATCATCTATGTATCGATTTTTAAGTCAAAAAGTGGGTTTCTGGTCCCGAGCTCGGAGAGAAGAGAAGTCTTCCTGTTAGTCTAGGAGGCGAAAAGCCTCCTAAGTATGCCATTTCCTGTAAATCGAACCAAATATCCGATTTTTCCAAATATTGTAGCTTTGTCCCGGATTCACTTTCGGGATCTATTAGTAATATTTTTGTTGTTGATCTAAGCAAAAGCCCATCTATGTATCGAATTTCAACTAAATCGAACCATTCATACGATTTTCTCGAATGGGTCAGTTCCTGACCTTCTCCCGAAAAAAAAATTGTAGAAACCTTTTCAGAAACCAGAAAAACAAGCTTATTTTTGAAGTTAATCGATCGGTAACTCTTCAAGACATGCGGATCCTTAACTAATGTTTGCCATTTTAAAGGTAGTATCATTATGTCGCTCTCATAGAAACCCTTGTCCCTATTGAAAAAAAGTGGGAACTAACGATTTTCATACGCTTCTCTTGAGGCCAATTTTTCACCAGACAATTCTTTACCCATAGAGAGGAATATATGGTAATCCCTTGGTGTGAGATCCCGAATACAAGTAGTCAGAACTTCTTGCGAGTCACTATCGTTGAGTGTGTGGGATCTGCCGTTGCGGTGATCAACACACAATTCCCGCTCTTGTTCGCCAAAACTCAACGTTACTGGGCGGTTGTTACCTTAAACAAAAGTTATGCCATCGGAGGGCAGCTCACAGTGTTTGATTACTTGTCAATACCATCAAACATACACAAAAAAACCTACTATTGACGGACAGATATTGGCTTGGAGATCTTTTGGCTCGCTTAATGTGCTTCATTGCGCTTCGACCACAATCGTTTTTCTTTGAAGTGGCTGTAAGTGATCCACTTTTCATCGCCAGTCAGCCGAGCCAGCAGCGAATCGCAGATTCTATCCATGAGGTTTTTTTTGTCGTTAACACATCGAGCTTCATTTTGCATCCTGCTTTAATTAAATTAATTTAAAAAATATTAGTTTTGAATTTAAATTGATATTTTTAACTATTTCCACTTATAGTCGGAGAAGACTAAGCAACTCGTTGCTGAAATTAAGCGTACACACTATGAGCGTTTGCTGGCTGTTGAGGTGAGTCTCTGAGTTATTAGTTAAGCCTTATACGGCATTCCTACGATAGTCCAATTACGTGTTTCGCGCTCTTAATTACAAATGCGAATTACCCCCATTCACACGGCACGCAGTTGCGATTTAGTTTGACAGTTTGCGGTTTCGCTTGTTTGTGCCATTTGAAAACGTCTGGAAAATGAAAGATTTTAGTAGAAGTTAACAAAATCTTGCATTGAATTGGTAATGTCAGGCCAGTTTCTTTGATAATTTCTTATTTTTTTCTTCTACAATAAACAAATAGTCTTTGATTTCAAATTAATTTTTGTGTGTTAATGTCTTCTCTTATGTTTCTCCACTCTTTTGTTTTGATTTGTCAGCTGGGTTCGATAAAATTTCGATAAGAATTAGAGAAAGCATCGATTTGGTCGTAATTCGCATGGCAATTAAGAATGAATTACCCACTTTTACTGTAATTCGCTCACGAAAATTTGTACGGCGAATTTGGAGAGCGAACGAAACGCGTAATTGGGCTGTCATGAAAATGCCGTTTTACATATTTTCATAATTGAAAATTTTGAATTTTAGCTTAAAAGCTTTTTACATCAATTACTTGTTTTCGAAGTAAAATTTTCGGTCATGGGCATTTTTAAAATCAACAGAAATATTTTGACGGCGGTAAGTGAGTTTCTTTAAATACAATAAAATGAACAAAACTCACCTTTTCAATACTGTTTTGAATTACGTAATTATTTTACTTTCAGTTTGGCTCGGCGATTGCAACATATCTCATTATGGTGACACAATTCCAAAATAGCAGCGGCTAATGAACGTTTTTTTTAAGTTTTTTAAATAAAAATAAATATTTCACATTTAAAATTTTGGTCTAAAAAATGTTGCACTTTTATTTGAAATAAATTTCACGACAATAATGAAAGTAAGCTTTCTCTTTTTTTGCTAAGTAAAGTCTCTTGCAGACCCAAACCCAACTCCGAGCACACAAACATGTTTATCTAAAGCCTTAAGGCTAAGTAGTCTGCTTTAGAGACATCAAAATACGCATTTTTTCCTTAAATCTATTCTTAACCCATCCTAGAATATGTCTTTAAAATTTCAGTGTCCAATTCGAATTATTTTTTAAGTTCGAGCAGTTTTACTGGCCGTACGTCGAGCAGCATTTGATGCGAATTTTTTTGCTTCTTTGAAAAAAGTAAATTTTTTTTCGAATTTCGAAAAAATTTAGAAATTTCCAACTTCTTCGGATTTTTTTTGGTATATATAGATGATTCATTCATAAAAAAATTTTTTTTTGATTCAACTTCTTCTTCAGTTACATAGCACGACCTTCATCATCGGCACCGTTTCACGAGCTCAGACTGAAGCCGCTTCAAAAAACTCATCCCAACATTGTAATATTTTTTATTACTAACAATTTTTTTTCGTACATTTTTGGCTGAAAATTTTGTTTACCGCAAAAATTTTCTTCCTTTTCAAAAAATTTGCTGAAAAACTCTTTTTTTTTTGAGGTTTTTTTTGAGATTCTAAAGAAAACTGCTGCCTGAACTCAGCCTAAGGCCTATTGTTGCTATGGCTACACAGCTAAATTATAATTTTTTTATTGTAATATTAGCTGTCAACTTACGGCGCAAAGTTTTAATTTTTGGCTTGTCTACCCTGACGAACCTGTTGACTTCAGCAAAACTTATGACACGTTCTCTCATTCTTTTTACTTTAAACTCGATCATTTCGGGTTTTCTCTTTCCCTTCTCAAGTGGATTTCAACATAATTGATTGGTAGAGAATAAAAAGTATTTTTAAAATATTGTACATAGTAAAATCTGTTGTTCCTCAAGGCTCTTTCCACTTTATGTTCGCTTGACAGGAGGCTAGTCAATCCAAATCATCGAGGTCAACTAAGGGGAGGTTCAGGAAACGAGTTGTTTCAACGGGTTCGAACCAAAGGGAGAGGAGGGTTAGAAGTGTGGATTTTAGAGCGCATGTAAAACAGTGTTTAGTGTTGTGCGGGGATTCGTTACATGCTACACATAGTATGTTAGGTCTGTCGGTGACGAGTATGGATAGATAAGAGTTTAATCTGCTACAAAATACAGAACTGAGTTGTGCCAAGAATACGCGGTACTATCAAATCAGGTCGTGCTCTTCATCCGCCATGGTTGGTGGTTCGATTCCGGGGACACCATTCACAGGGAGAGAGTTCTTAAGGGAGTTGACTGACTCCTGGCGAGTGGCGTTAAGTGTCTAACTGTACGAGATCTTGTTCAGCGGCTGTTACACATGTTGCTGAATTGACTACTTCAAATGAAGTACTCCATTTCTGATGTGCCTGAGTGGTTGTGCCTCTAGTAAATATCTGTTAGGGTGCTCCATTCGGTAGCATACACCCAGCAGAAATTGCTTGTAGCATAAATGCTTTGCTGTGTAAGTGATGCTGAGTTGAAATTAGAAGACTTGCTGTCTTCTTGGTTCTGCAGGCGTTGCTTTGGCAGGCTTGTAATTTCTTCAAATGCATTTCGTTTCTCCCCGGTGCCCAGATCCATGCAGCATAGCTTACGACTGGCCGGCCAATTGCTTTGTACGTTGCTAGCAAAGTTTCTTTATTTTTTCGCTAGAGCTTTGAGGATTTTGTTGCAGCTCTCAATTTTGCGGAGTTAAGGTGTCCAAGCTGCTGAATGTGATATTTTGGTTAGATGCCTTAACCTTCCTCATATTCATCAATGATCTTCCCAACACCGGCTCATCAGAAGTTAATATGGGCCATGCCTCCGCACAATTTCGCAAGAATGCGCGACTTGTAGGGTTTGGGTTTTCGTTCATCGAGAGAGGTCTTTACTTTTCAATTGCTTACTTCACCCAAAGAAGTAGAATGTCTTTGCCTTTGGATTTCCAGGTTGACACCAACTGCATCTAAGATAGACGATGTTATCTATGACTTCAAAGTTATGACAGAGACGTGGGACTCGAGTCGCGTATGTGATGACTGTTTGTAGAAGGACAGGAGATATATCGTTTTGTCCTCCTTCACTGGCCCAGGCCCACCACGTCAACTACATCAACGTTCGCTTGGAGATTGTACTTTCTTTATTCAGCTCTGCAGCTCGTACTAACTCTTGGGGTGTACACTTCCTTCATGTACTTAATTAACTTACATATTTACTAGCATTTCTAGCAATGGGAATTATATACTATGTCCTTGAAGTCGATACATATAATTACAGTGGGAAGGGTATTCATATTACTGTGTGTGTATTTCATATCTACCCAAACTCCTTTTGCAAACAAATACAATTTGAAACGCATATTCATGTATAATCAAATATATTTACATAGTTTGTATTTGATTTCTTAGAAAAATTCCCACCGCATTCGCCGAGCGGTTAGCATTGCGTACTGACATTCGGAAGGCTCGGTTCAATTCCCGGTACCACCAACATCCAAAATTTAATTTAGGATACTCTTTAACTTTACTTTTTGTGGTCTAGCTAAGAAGGGGTTTAATCTGTTACAAAATCCTGAGTTGAGCTTTACAAAGATCCAACTAAACGGCTTCTTCTTCTTCTTTATTGGCCTTGGCACCGCTTACGCGTTTATAGCCGAATTAATTATAGGCGCTTTTTGGCGCCAATTGGAAATACCAAGTGAGGCCAGGTCACTATTCACCTGATACTTCCAACGGTGTGAAGGTGTTCCTCTTCTTCTGCTTCCACCGGCGCCGGTATACTGCATCGAATACTTTCTAAGCTGTAGTGTTGCCATCCATTCAGACGGCATGACTTAGTCAGCGGCGCTGCAGTTTCTTCATTCGCTGAACTATGTCAATATCATCATATAGCTCGTGCAGCTCATCGTGCCATCGCAAGGACCATAAATCGTTCGCAAAACCTTTTGAAGACTCCAAAAGCCGACTCATCAGCTGTTGACATCGTCCACGCTTCTGCGCTATATATTAGGACGGGTATGATGAGCGACTTGCAGAGTTTGGTTTTCGTTCGCCAAGAGAGAAGTTTACTTTTCAACTGCCTACTCAGTCCAAAGTAGCATCTGTTGGCAAGTGTGATTCTTCGCAAGGTTAGAAGTGTATAAAATAAAATGTTGAACATCTCAAGCTTGTCATCAACTAACCGAAGATATATATATCAATTAGTATATCTGTATTCAAGGACGAAAGTATTGAGACAGGTACGGTTCTAAGTTCAGTAGAAGCGCTGCACGCTGAGTGTAGAAGAAGCTGCATTAAGTAGACACCAAGTATTCTCCAATCGACGCCGAGCAGAAGAATAAGAAGCATACTTCTTTGGATCGCGGCTAGTTTGAAAAGATCTGAACTCATAGCGTCAACTATTTCTGTGATTTTGTTCCGCAGTTATTCGTTATTGCGTTGTAACAGTCGTTTCTACATAGAACCTAGTGGAAAGACTGGTTTGGTTGTTGTAATCGAGACGGCAACATTTCGCTACTGAATGAAATAGTACAATTCTAAAGTAGCTCAAGGTAGGGTAACTCTGTGCAGATATCTGACAGATGTTATGTTGACGATATATTCAGATCTGACACATGAACTACGATAGATGGACTGTAGCCTTGAGAGGTTATTTGATAGGACATCAGAAGTGGTAGTCACACTGTCGCGAGCTCGGCTGGAGCATAAAAATCAATAACGCAATGTCCAATGGCTTGGAATTTTCATCACTCGCAGCTTACCGTAGAGGTTTAAGTAACTGCAGAACAGGTCTTACGTTGAAGCCCAATGCCACATCTCACTGAGGTAACGGTATGGCAAATGTCGCAAAAATGTTCTACCCGAACAGAGTTCGATTCAACGCCAGTAGAATGATCAGAAAGATCGATAAGCACCTTCCACTGATGTACTTTAAAGAGTTTTACCTGTGACCTATTAGTGGAACTAGGTCGTAGAAAGGTTGATAGTTTTTGGATGAGAAAAAAATACGGGTTCCCCCGCCCCCCGTACATTTGATTAAAAATCATTTTTTTTAATGTTATGGTTTCATTTTCTAACAACAATTTGTGCAATAAAAATAATAATAAAAATTTGTAATTCAATTAAATTTAACTTAAACTCGCCAATGATTTCAGCATCTTTGTAGTTTGAGGCGATGGTATGTATTAGTTCTTGAAATTTTTGAATTGAGTGACCATTATGAGATAAGTCGCAATCGCAGAGCAAATCTGTGAGTGGTATAGCGTTATAAGATGGAGAGGTTCTTTGTTAGACATTCCATTTTTTTAAGGATTTTATTACTTACCGTTGTCAATATGTTTCTATCGATATTAAAAGCTGCCATCACCGAAAATTTTACTTCGAAGGCTCGTAAAACATGCGAAAATTTCTCTAGCTAAAATTCATACAAATCTCATAAATAAAAGTACAAAAATATTTTTTTAAATTTATTAATTTTTTTTTTGGAAATTTTACCTCCTCCACCAGCGAAGGATCATCAAATTTTCGCCTTATTTCATATATAATTTCGACAGCTTTTTTTGACTACGCTTGAAAGTATGGGAAATAATTTATTTTAATAAAATTCCTACTCAGGCAAGGCATGATTTTGCTCACCTCTGCTGCCGCTTTGTGACACGATTCCACAATTATCAACAGTCTAAATAAATGTATTGAAAGCCACATCAACTCGTTGAAGATCCTAAAATCCCAGATTGCTCTTGTAATAAACAATATCAGAAAATGTGAAGTCAGCACTAGTTGTACTAAACACAATGTGAAGCCGCAAATTAAACCAAATCCAAAAGTACTGGAAGAGAAAAAGGTAAACAGTAAAGCTGCATGTGAAATCCAATGAAATAAAAAGAAATCAGTAAAACTAAATTGAAATATAAAAAATTAAATAAACTAAAATAAACAAAAAAAATATTAAAATAAAATAAAATTAAACTATATTAAATTATGTGAATAAAAATAAATAAAATAAAATAAATAAAATAAAATCAAAGAAAGTAAAAGAGAAAAAAATTAAATAAAATAAAATGAAATAAACAAAATGAAATAAAATTATAAAAAAACGAAATGAAATAAAGGTAAAATAAAATAAAATAAGAAAAATAATAATTAAAATAAAACGAAACGAAATAAAATAAAATTATAAAATAAAAACATGAAAAATAAAATAAAATTAAACAAAATTAAATAAAGCAGAATAAAATAAAGTAAAATCAAGTAAAATAAAATAAAATATAATGAAAAATATTGTAATGTAATAAATTAAGTAAAATTAATAAATAAAATGAGATGAAATATATTTTAATAATATAATGTAAAATTAAATAAATTAAAATAATAAAAAAAATAAACAAAAAAAGAAATGAAAAATTATTAAAAAATAAAAACTCAAATAAATTAAATAAAATAGAATAAAATAAAACGAAACGAAATAAAATAATTTAATATAAATAAAATAAAATAAAAGAAAGTGAAATAAAAACACTTAATAAAATAAAATGAAATAATGTTAAACAAAACAAAATAAAATAACATAAAAAAATTATTTAACAAAAATAAAGTAAAATATCATTAAAAAAATAAAATGAAAAAATTTATTTAAAATAAAATAAAATTAATTAAAGTAAAATTAAAAGAAAATAAAAAATAAAATAAAGTTAAACAAAATAAAATAAATTAATATCAAAAAATAAAATAATACAAAATAAAATAAAATAAAATAAAATATTTTGCATTATATTAAATAAAATAAAGATAATAAACAAAATGAAATAAAATATATTTTAGTAATATAATATAAAATTAAATAAATTAAAATAATAAAAATAAAAATTAAAAAATAAAATCTAAAACAAATAAAATTGAAAAGATTAAAATTAAACGAAACGAAATAAAATAAAATAAAATATAATTCAATAAAATTAAATAAAAAAGTGAAATGAAAAAGGTTATTTAAAATAAAATTGATTAAAGTAAAATAAAAAGAAAACAAAGAAAGAATAAAAAAAAATAAATAAATGAAATAAATTTAAATTAAATTAAACTAAATAAAGTAAACTTCTTTTTACTTTATTTAATTTAATATTATTTTATTTCATCTTTTTTCTCTATAATTTTATTTTTTTACGTTTCGTTTTATTTTATTTAATATTTTTTTTATTCTTTCTTTGTTTTCTTTTTATTTTACTGAAATTATGAAATGAAATAAAAGAAAATAAAGTAAAATAGTAAAAATAAAAATAAAAATAAAAATTAAAAAATAAAATTAAATTAAATTATATAATAAAAAAAATAAAGTAAAATCATATTATATAAAATAAAATGAAATAAATTAAATTAAATTTGAATTAAATTTTAAAATAAATTAAATAAAATGAGATCAATTCAAATTAAATTATAAAATAAAATAAGAAAATGAAATAAAATAAAATAATAAAATTAAGTACACTAAAATAAAATAAAGTAAAAAAATAAAATAAACTCATATTATATAAAATAAAATGAAATAGCTTAAATAAAATTACATAAAAAAAACTAACTAAAACCAAAAAAAAAAGAAAACAATAAACAAAATAAAATATTTTATTTTAAAATAAAATAAATAAAATTAAATTATGAAATAAAATAAGAAAATGAAATAAAATAAAAAATATAAAATAAAATAAATTTAAAATAATATAAAATAATATAAAATAAAATAATATATAAAAAAATTGAAAAAAATAAAATAAAGTTAGCTAAAATAAATTAAAATAAAGTAAAATAATACAAAATAAAATAAAAAAATAAAAAAAAAAACATAAAGTAAACTAAAATAAAAGAAAATTAAATTAAAAAGTAAAATAAAAAAATAAAATAAAATCATATTATATAAAATAAAATGAAGTAAATTAAATAAAATAACATAAATTAAAAAAACTAACTAGAATCAAAAAAAAAAAGAAAAAAATTAACAAATTAAAATATTATATTTTAAAATAAATTAAATAAAATGAAATCAAACTAAATTAAATTATAAAATAAAATATGAAAATGAAATAAAATAAAAAAATGGGGTAAACTAAAATAAAATAAGATAAAATTAAAATAAAATAAAATAAAATAAAATAAAGTAAAGTAATACATAAAAAAATCGAAAAAAATAAAATAAAGAAAACTAATACAAAATAAAATAAAATTAAATTAAATTAAAAAATAAATTAAAAAAATAAAATAAAATCATATTATATAAAACAAAATGAAGTAAATTAAATAAAAAACCATAAATTAAAAAACTAACCAGAATAAAAAAAAAGAAAATATTAAAAAATTAAACTATTATATTTTAAAATAAATTAAATAAAATTAAAAAAATTAAAAAAAAAAAACTAAATGAAATAATGTAAACTAAAATAAATAAAATTAATAATACAAAAATTCAATTACTTTAAAATAAATATAAAGAAAAACTGAAAAGAAAATAAAATGAAGCAAACTCAAAAAAAAATTACTAAATAAAATATATTAAAAAAAAACACTTACTTTGAAAAAATGTCCACACATTTCGACAACGATAAATAAATATCAGCAAGTGACCTCAAGAGGCTGACTGCAGCAAAAGGAAATATATTAAATACAGCCTTACTCGCCCCTTGCACTCTTTTCCTTACCCTTACATATTGCATCAGTATTCAGCTCGTTCCCGCCACCTAAACCAGGGTTAATAAGCCACGTAATTGGTATATATCTCTTACCATATAAAAAATTGTATTTCAAAATCGTATTCAAACGATGAAATCTTCCACCCAGCACCAAAGCATTATTCCCATACATAATGTGCAAGGCAATAATAACTAAATGTGATACATAAAAGGGTACATAAAAATGGTAGGCGGTTTCTTAAAAATTAAAAAAAAAAAAGAAAACAGAATAAATAGTTAAAAATATATGACCCTGCAGGAACTTCACAACTCAACTTAATATGTGTTTCCTGTCAAAATCTGCCAGCGGATATCTCATCCAAAGGAAACAGCTGAAACCTTCAAATATAATTTTTTATTTAGAAAACATTTTTTTTTATTATTTTATATAAATTTAAGCCAACCGAAAATTCCAATGGTTAGTATAATCGGTAGTGTCGCTAGAATTTTGGTTATGGTATGATCATTTTTGTGACTCGGAAACAAATGCAAAAAGGCGTCAATCTATAAGTAAAATCCCATTAGAAGTGAATATTTTAGATTCGATAATAGACACGGGTGTCTTAATATTTTATTTTATTTTTTTTTTGAAATCTCCTATAGAATTTTGTTACCTTTCTTAAACGTGAGTTGAGCTCTTGTGTAGGCTGAATGCTGAGAAGACTACATCCAACGCCGCCGACTAGTGTCAGTATTATAATAGAAACATCCAATGCGAAGACCATTTTTATTGGGGCAGAATGTTTTCTAAAATATTTTCTATATTATTATATGTATTAATGTAGTAATTGAAATTAAATATTAAATTCCGACCGAAGAGCTCAAGAGGGTTTTAAGGTTTTTAGGTAAGTATATGGATGCCGGATTTTGTTAGTAGAATCCCTTAGCAATTCTAATAAAAAAAAGAAGGTCAACGTCACTCTATTGGTAGTTGGGAAAAATTCAGAGCGAAACTGGGATGTAAGGAAGGGCTTACGATACATACGCCTCAGATGACAGCTTAGCTGAAAATCGTGAGAAGGAACTGTCGTAGGGCCTTCAACAATGCAACGCGATTTCTTCATCTTCATTGGCGTACGCATCGCTTACGCAAGTATAGCCGAATCAACAATAGAATGCCTGTTTGTTTTTGTTGTTTCTTTTCTACGCTGTTTGGCGCTAGTTGGAAATGACAAGTAAAACCAGGTCGCTCTCCACCTGATCCTTCCAACGAAGTGTGGTGTGGCCTTCCTCTTCCTCTGCTTACACCAGCGGAATATCTTCAAAGCAGCATTGCTTTTATCCATTCGGATTTAGCCGCTGTCCCTTTATTCACCAATACGCGAGGGACCAGAAATCTCCTGCAACACTTTTTTCTCGAAGATTATCAAAGCTGTTTCATCACAGATGTCAGCATCATTCACGTTTCTGCACCATATAGCTGGCCGAGAATGATGAGGGACTTGTATAGTTTGATATTTGTGCATCGATGGAGCTAAACAATTTAATAACTAAAAATGTTAGACACCTCTTCGGCGAATAAGCGGTGAGGGGGTCAAGAGTTTGTAAGAGCTTGAAACCATTCAAAGCAGCCCGTACCGATGGAATGTTTCTAAACTCTGTTGCGATTTGAGTCGGATCAATGCATTCGCTTGGCGTACATGCCAAACAAGTTGCTAAAGTCCTGGGTGGTTTCCAACTCGAAGCCTAATAGGGAGTATTACGACGATTAGATCAATCTGCAAATACTGCCCGAGCGACTTTTATTCCCATAACATACTTTAGCACTCTACATGAAGTAGCCGGGACAATTGATAAATCTATATGTAAGCAAGAGCTTACATTTTTCACTCCCCAAGGGAGTCTTGTCTTCGCTCTTATGGGTCCCGTTGAAAAACCGATGGGCCTACGATGGACACGTTATACGGATGATCTTTTTATCCTAACTTCTGACAAATATTTTAAGCGTCCATCAAGAGTAACATAGTTCTGATTGGGCCGAGAGTTAAGGACTGTTACGAAGCTCGGGCAAAATCTGCCCTATTACGAGATAAACGAAAGGTCATCATTTTAACTCACTATTTGAAGTGGTGGAATTATAATACCCTCCAACTTGGCCAAGTATCTCGGTGTGATCATTGTTAAGAAACATAGCTGGAGGTAGTGTATTGAAAGCAGGGTCAGTAAAGTGCTTCAAGTTTGGAATACCTGAAAAGCTATTATGCCGAAAAGTGACCTGAGAATCATACTTACATATGGAGAGCTTGTAAGGCGGCGATATTAAAGAAGAGGTGTCGTATTAAACCTCTGAAACCTTCCATAGCTAAAGGAATGTAGTCATATATATGAGTATGGGTCTGAAGCAAGCTAAGAAAGAGGATTCTTTTGTGATCAGCCCAAGCAAGCCTAAGCAAGGCAGTTTCACATTGAATTAATACAATTCTGCCTTTTAAGGAGAGACTGTGGTCGAGAAAAGCACAGTGAATATCATAAGTATCGCAGTATATCGAACGATGAGCTGATAAGATGTACGGATGCATTGACTTAGTTCAGCGGCTATGCTGTCTAGTTAGTGGTTCCACTTGAGCTGTTACCTCGATCTAAACGTAAACTCGGTCTACGACAGTAACGAAGAATTACCAAACCAAACCGACAAGCATGTGGAGCACACTACCCCACAACTGGTATCGGTTCCCTTAAAATGTAGCACTTAAAAATCATAAAAGGGACACAAGTATAGCATGGACGTATCCATCGGTGTGAAGAGGGCTGTTATTACCGTATTAACGGGCACTTCGATAGCAGGGAAGAGATTTAATCGGTTCAAAAGGGCGTCAATCACAGAAGTAGGGGTTTTTTTCTTGTGACCAAGGCAGCTTCAAACTCAGTGATATAACTCCGTCTTAAAAGTAGGAAAATCTATTTGATGTCTGGAAGACTGCAAACACGAGAGAGAACATCTCGAAAGGCAATACCACAGTGTAACGCAGAAAAACATGGTGAATGCCCCTAGAGACCCAGGCAACACGGATGTAGAAGACAATGAAAAGATGGTTGTACTGGCTCACACTGGCAAGGCTGCTATCATCGACTACCTCAGTTGCCTCCCTTCAGCGTCTTCAAACGATGTTTAAGGCTGTGTAGCATGGAGAAACACTTAGGGTGCTGGGAACACTGGCAATGTTGATTGTAGATAGATTGTAGATATACCAAACTAGTGCTTGCTTTGAGTAAAAGAGAACTTAGTATACTTTGTGGATGTTTTTATGGGACCTCTACCTCTCAAAACTCATCTTCTCAACACATCCGAACATAACCTCACATAATAATGAAATTGTGAGACTAGAAATTTTATGTAGAATTGAAAATATATAAAATATAGCTGTGTTCAAGATATTCTCAAGTCATACTCACCGTAGAGGACCAAAGTAATACTCTCCAAAACCGCTGATCATTACAATAACTACAAACAATGAAACAGTATATAAAGTTGTTACATATTTAGGTTGATCTATGTATATATGTACTTATATTGTATGTATGTATAAGTGATATTCAAATATAACTAATAACAAATTAGAAGGGCTATACCGATTAAGATCAAATTTTTTACAGCTGCCCGCAACGGCCTGATGAAAATATTGCACTTAAAAACTTCCAACTACTCATGCGATTGGTAAAATTTCATGTGACTCTATGAGCTGAAGATATTGGAAGACTTGCGCACCATCGCGACGCGACTGTCAGTGAAAGTGTAGCCGAAGCTCCGCGTGTGTCTCTATTTCTCGACTTACCCAAGAGTTTAAACTTTCTTGCGGCACATCGTGGCATATTTTGCCCTTAGATTTACACCTACATTGATATAATTCTTCGATTTGATGCATGAACATCAGTAACGACGAGGTACATTTCGCCGCCTGCGGGTTAGGGGCTCTAGAATTTACCCGCGGTAAGGCATGCCTATAGTAAGAGACGACTAAATCCAACAGTTTCCGCGTCAGTCGGGTCTTTATACTGGAACGACCCGGAATTTTGAGGTTACAACAACAACAACAACAACAAAAGGTACATTTCTCACTCGGAGCATCCTCAAATAATTGAAGAAAGTTCATTTCATCCATTGTCAGGTGCGCTTTATGGTCTGGAGGTATGGTTGAACCGTACTTCTTTGAAAGTGACAGCGCCGGGTATCAGTCACTGTAAATACGGAGCGACCGATATTTTTTTGCGGTCCGTAATTGAACTACTTGGACAATATGTGGTTTCAGCAAGATGGTGCCAAATGCCACACAACAGACTGATATGCGGCTTTATTTAATGAGAAATTTTCTCCGCCGTGTAAGCTTACGTCTTGCGATGTCATTGATCACCACCGAGTTCGTGCAATTTGATACCTTTGGTCCTCTTTTTGTAGTGTTACGTGATAAAAGGCCGTGTTTGTGCGGTTAAAACTTTAACTATTGAGGACTAGAGGCCACGAGGACTTGAAAACCAACCGACATTCGTCAAGTTATAGTTTAATATGTGTCAAAAAGTGGACGAAAATTACCACAATCGCAACGAAGTTTGGGCGGCTGTGAGCCCAAATAAAAAGGATTAGTTAAAACGACTTTGTTGTTGTTTGTATTGTTGTAAAGAGTGTATTTCGCTTGACTAATGTCGCCTTTAAGGCGATCAAACTTTGTATGATGTGTAGGTCAGGCTATAATTAGTTAGAACATTCCCGATAGCCAAAGGGGTGTGCTGATGAAAATGAATAAAGATGAGCAAAATATTCTACGGGGTCGCCCTGCATAATCAGCACTTTGTGTTCGACAAACATGTACTGAAAGCAGACCAGTTTTCGTTGTATGGCTCCTCTTCCTTGGAAGGAAAGACCTCGGAACGGCTGATGGGTCATTATGAGCAGCATTTTAATTTAATGTCATAAATACACTTGGAGTGGTTGAAACTCTCTGCGAACTAGCGACCACACTTAGAAAGTTTAACTTAATTTCTTAGGAGCTCAACTATGTCGCAGAAGACAGTATATATGTGGTACAAGGACTTCTACAAGGGTCGGAATTGTGTTGATGACTTGGAGCGCCCGGCACGACCATCAACCTCAACTGATGTGCAACACGTCAATGAAAATTAGGAATTAGTGTTCAAAAATCGTCGATTGACTGTTAGAGACCTTAGCGATATGGTTGGAATATCAGAAGGATCTGTATAATAAGCGAGTTTGCGTGAAACAATTCGAAAAGAAAGACCAGATTTATGGACCAAAAACTTGGTTTTTGCATCACGATAATGCACACAGCACTCATTCTTCGCGACCTTTTCACTAAAAATTCTACGAATATCGCTCCTCAACCACCGTATTCGTCGGGCTTAGTACCATGTGAATTCTGGCTCTTCCAAAAATGTCAAGAGACCACTTCAGGGACACCGTTTTGAGACGATTGAGGAGTTTAAAAGTTAATCGGTGAGCTCTCTGAAGGCCATTTCGCTAAAAATTCCACGAATATCGTTCCCCAACCACCGTATTCGTCGGGCTTAGTACCATGTGAATTCTGGCTCTTCCAAAAATGTCAAGAGACCACTTCAGGGACACCGTTTTGAGACGATTGAGGAGTTTAAAAGTGAATCGGTGAGCTCTCTGAAGGCCATTTCGCTAAAAATTCCACGAATATCGTTCCCCAACCACCGTATTCGTCGGGCTTAGTACCATGTGAATTCTGGCTCTTCCAAAAATGTCAAGAGACCACTTCAAGGACACCGTTTTGAGACGATTGAGGAGTTTAAAAGTGAATCGGCGCGCTCTCTGAAGGCCATACACGAACGTGACTATTTGAGATGCTTCGATAATAGGAAATCGGATTGGCATAAGTGCATCGTATCGGCAGGGGACTATTTTGAAGGCGACAAAATCGATGTAGAAGAATAAATAAAGATTTCTAATTTTCCAAACAAATTCACCTTACTTTTTGCTCAGTAAAATATATAGCAAATATTACTTTATATTTCAATTAAATTTGTATTAAAAAACAAAGCAAAAAAGCACACACACCGATCGCCATACACAGTCCTATTGAATATAAAGTAAAAAACTTTGAGCGTTTTATTTCTATGTCACCCTTTTTGTTTCGCTTCAGAGAAAAGGGTGCTAATGCCAGGAATTTACTCAGATAAAAAACGCTTAAAGATTTTTCGTTAATTTCCATTTTGAAAATATTTTTCACAATATTACTGTTATTTTTTCTTTTAATTTTTTTTGTAATTTTTTTTTGTAATTTTTTTTCTTTGAAATTTCACTGGAAAACTCGTGCTCCAAGCTGTTTTGCCAATAACTAATTATGAACTAAATACTTGTATCTCACTGTAATTCCTCTATTCCATACTCGCCTGAGCAATTAAACACCATTAATTGATTTCAAAAATTTATTCTCATCACCTGTTAAAAACACCTGTTGTTAATATATATTTTTACACTTCTCTCACATTAACCCTCGGTGTTGAAAAGTTAAATGTGAATACTGAGCAGCAGGGGCGGATACAGAAACGAGTTTTAGGGGGTGAGCTTAAATATCTTTATACCATAAATTTGTTTTATTTTCCTCCAACCATGCGTGCACATCACCGTAAAGTTGGCGCTGAGAGCAACGTGAAAGAGGTGACGTCTCAATCAGCTAAAGACCGGACATTCATTCACAAAGATAGTCTTTTTGTCATCCTTCTATGTTTGTCTGCCCATATTCAGCACACTGCTCCACAATAATTTTGCGGTATAAACTATGTTGGAAGGCTGTGCCAAGACCTTATTACCGTATTAACGGTAACGAAAATTGTAAATAAAACGAAAAAAAATTTTAAATCCACCAATATTTATTTTGTCGCCTTCAAAATATGCTCCTTCGGAAGCGTTGCACATGTTTTTTTCCAATCATCGTAACATGTCTTGTAAGCGCTGTCGGGCACTGCCTTCGGTTCCCCTAGCGAATTTTCTTTTAGAGCCTCGGCATCGAATCGAAACGCGTTCCACGGACTGCTTAACTTGAGTTTTGGAAACAAAAAATCCGTTGAATACGGTGGTTGATCGATGGTAATTGAATGGCAGAACCACAAATTGGAGAAGGAGCTCGGCCGAAAAATCGCTTCAGCCGTTACAAATGAATATAATGACCGTGTCTGCCGTTGGAACAAATTCCAGATGAACCAAACTACGTATATCAAAAAAAAAACGATATCCGGAAACTTTTTGGTTTTAATATATGTGCCTCTCCATGGTCCACTGCTTAGAAGAAAGTTTTTAGTGGTTCTGAAGGGTCTGAGACAGTCTATGGTAATAGCCTCGACAGCGGCGCCAGCTTGTTGGCCTTTTCATTGACTTCTATTGTACATCCGTGTTTTTCTGCGTTACCCTGTGGTATTGCCTTTTGAGATGTTCTCACGTGTTTGCAGTCTACCAGACATCAAATAGATTTGCCTACTTGTAAGACAGAGTTATATCATTGAGTTTCAAGCTGCCTTGGTCACAAGAAAAAACTCCTACTTCTGTGATTGACGCCCTTTTGAACCGATTAGTATAGACAGGAACTTCTTCGCTGTTATCGAAGTGCCCGTTAATACGGTAATATCAGCCCTTTTTGCACCAATGGATCCGACCCTGCTATACTTGTGTCCATTTTATGATTTTTAAGTGCTACATTTGTGGGGTAGTGTGCTCCACATGCTTGTCAGAATTCTACTTTACTAACGTAAGACCGCTTCGGTGATTATAGTCGATTTAACAGCAATTTCCAATTTCTTCTTCAGCTTCTTTCTCAGCTTCCACCGACGGGTACTACATGCAAAACATTCAAAACTGTTGTGTTCTCATTCATTGTACCACATGACCTAGCAATCATAGCCGGTGTCTTTTGACGGGATGAACTATGTGCATGTCATCGTATAACTCGTCCAGCTGATCGTTCTATAAGACATATGTGATTTTATAAAACTTGAAAGTTTATCTATCTCACTAACATATTTTATTTCGTTTTTCACACGTTCGATTAGACCTTTTATACGATATTGAGAAGGCTCCTTAAACGGTAATTGGCACAGACTGTAAGGTCCTCCTATTTCGTGCTTTGGGCAGTACACATTTAGGTTCCAATCGACGGGCGTGCCATCGTTGAAAAATATACTGCAAAGAAGCTTTTGCATGCATTTTGTTAGATCAGCGCCAAAATATTTGAGTAGCTAGGTTGGCAATCCATTGGTTGGTTATGCATTTTAAGAGTTTTTAACCACTGATTTACTATGCAAATTCTTCATAGTCTGTGAATGAAACATCAGTTGCACCCTCACCGATTGAGGAATCGGATTTGCCATCTTCTGCTGTTCCATTTTCACGGCCGTTCAGCAGACTGGAGCAGTGTTCCAGCCATAAGTTCAGTACACTCTGAGCATCTATCGCTAGAACACCTCTCTGTGGCCGACAAAAGTTTCCTTGATATTTTCATAAAATTTTCGTGCATTACCCAGGTCGAATAGACTCCACTCTTATTAGCGGCTTAAATTCTTAACATAGCGATCCTACAAAATGTTAACTGCCCGTTTATGTATCAGTTTCATATTTATGCTAACATTAGTTCATTTATGTATGTATGTTGTATTTGCAATTTCTAAAAAATAAAAAATTAATTCTTAATATGAAACATAAAACTTCAGCACGACAGTTATGAAGGCCAACCACTCGGCTATCGTGACGTTGTAAAGAGTAGCGGCACGCCGCGCAGCACACCTCGGCAGCACATCTCGGCAGCACACCTCGGCAGCGCATAACAGAAAATATAACCAGAGAATGTTAATATGCTCTGGTGTTAGAAATTAACATAACATAGCAGTGACATGGTGGTAGAAATTGTTATTATTTCTGTTACTGGTGTCTAGCAGCATTTGACAACATATAGCGAACTGGTATGAATTAACTAGCATCTTTGCACAGTAGCTTGACTTTTCTCTGCAGGGAATACAAAAATATCTGTGTGTGTTTGTATGCATGCATCCATTCATATGAGTAATTGAAAATAAATATTGGCGATATAGCATACATTTAGGCGTGAGCAAATAAATTTTCCATTTATTGGCCATTAATACAAGCATATGTTAATGCACTCGTAAATAATGTGTGCATATGTAAATTTTCCCCATTCACAGACACAACGCTTCTATACATACATACATACATATATACTTGCAGTAACTTATGAGCAACAGAGTGTCTATTTACCAAGGGCGTGTTGATAATTTGTTTAACAAATTGACATTGGCCGGAAGTGGAAATTTACGCAGAGTTTGTCAGAAATTGTGTTTGTTTGTAAAAAAAATTCTTATTTTTTTTTATATTCTCAACATTTAAAATGTTTTTTTATAAAATAAAAATCTATTTCAAAAATTATTTTGATGTAATTTTTTTTTTATTTTATTTCAGTTTTACAATAACCACTAAATATTTTTTCGATATTAAAAATTTTGAACTCACTAACGTTAAATTATTATATGTATATATGCACATATACATATGTGTGTATATAGTTTTTGAGAACTTTCACTGGCGTTTTAATAGTGCGTGTTGCTTCTCTGGACATCGGTGCTGAATTTTGTATTTTTAAGTATTTATTCCCTATTTCACTTGCAAATGAATCATCCGCTGGCCTTTTGAAATTGTATTAGTATAACCAAATATGTAGCAATTGCTGAGCTGAACTGTGAGTGAAGAAGAAGAGATTTTGTAAATTAATAAATAAAATTAAAAAAAATCATAAACAAGTAGTGTCTATAACATTTTGTACATTTTTTTTTAGCTTCCACGGCGGATGAGTAACATTTTTTATAAAACGAAATATTTCTTTTTGGTCTAAACGCAATCGCCGCATCTCACAGGCACTGTAAATCCCACGGAGTGTGTATCTAAAAAACTCTTTAAAACAACAACACCAGAGGTTGAAGTCATGCTTCAGGGTTGAAGACTATGTATAATCGATTCAGACTCTTGCAAATTTTGTACAAGTTGCACTAATCGAACCTTGTGGAGCCTTGGTTATCGACTCAAAAGAGAGGAGTCAACATATTCGGCTTAAGGGTACACTAGAGTCATCTTCCAGGCGCCTTGAGGGTACTTTTGGGAGCTGTTCTCTTCATGTTGTCAAAATTTTTCTAGGTTAATATAAACCAAAATGCCTTGGTGGGTTGGGACATCCGGAAATTTCATTAAACTCCTCTGGATCGTGAAACATTGTCCACAAATACAAGGAAAGTTCGAAGTTGAAATAATTATAGATAGCCGAAAGGTTTTCGTCTCGACCCACAGTGCAAGGGAAAATTACTGGAGAGCATGCGAATGCATCTCGCATACAGAAAAAACGATAGGGCCAAATGTTTGAGTACAAAGAGCTTAACATAGGTGATGTTCGAAAATTCTAAAAAAAAAATTAGCGACTTACAAAAGTTTTCTAAAGACCGGAGCATACTCTAGTAGGAAGCAAGGAGATAATCCCGCGACTGATGCTCAGAGTATACAGATATTTATGTTAGGAACACGTCACCAGCCTGAAAATTTTAATGCCAAGCCTGATTGCCCTAACGAAATCAATGAAACAGAAACCATAGCCCAACTGTGAGGAAGTTTGAACTTCAATCGTCCGCTTCAAACACAACAAAGCTGCGGCGGTCGCTGAATTGCAGGTCGAGCTTCTCAAATATGATGATGGAAACTGAAGAGATTTGGTTGGATGATTACAAGACGACTAGCACCTAATTGTACTCTGCCCAATACTCAAAAAGTTTGACCTCCTTAGTTCTTATTTCTGGATAGGGAAGCGAAACCTGTGGGTCTGGTAGTTAACGATGGCAAGACAAAAAATCTCTTGCCATCAAACAAACAGTCAATGCACTTACGGCTTGACTCCCACGTCACTCTTGCAGTCATAACTTTGAGGTCATAGACAATTTCCTCTACCTAGGCACCAGTATTACCACCAAAAACAATCCCAGGCTTGATATCCAACGCAAAATTACTCCTGCCATCAGACGCTACTTTGGAATGAGTAGACAATTGAAAAGTAAAGTCCTCTTTCGACTACAAAAGACCCAACACTACAAGTAACTCATCATTTTCATCCGGGTATACAGTACCGAGGTACCGAGATGATGATAACATCCCATCGCGTTGGCAATTGCGAATATCGCAGTTGATGCAACGATAAGCTGTATGAGATATACGTCGACATTTGGCATAGTTCAGCGAACCAAGAGACAGCGACTGCGCTGGCTGGAAGATATGGTGAGGATGGATAAGAATACTTAAGCTGTGAAAGTTTTCGAGGCAGTGGTTGCAGGTGGTGTCAGAGCTAGAGTATGACCACCGCACTGTGAGATAGAACAGGTGATGCGGGGACTCCAATTGACCGAGCACAGCGAAAGAAGCATTTATTGATTGACTCGTATATAGTAGCATAAGCCAATTAAGAAGAAGAAGAATACGTTTCAAAATCCAAATTTTTGGAAAAATGTAGATCGCTCCCAAGTCCACTTCTAGGAAGGAAAAGTTATTTATGTGTTAATAGAAGCAAAGGGCGGCCTCTCCGTAAATCGAGCCAAGGCTAACTTCCTGGAAGAAAAAGAGTTTCCCTTGTGTAACTAAAATAAAAGCTACCTCTGCATCAAACGATAAATACTATTTTTTTTTTAATAAATCAGTCCCAGGTTCAATTTCCGGAAGAAAAGTGCTCCACATAGATAAAGAGCTAGAACTGAACCGAATTTCCCAGAAATCTAACGATTTAGAAATAAATTATAATTTTCGTATAAATTGGACTCAGGTCTGCTTCTCGGAAAATTCTCTGCCTAAGCTGAATACGCCCGCCAAGTTTCAGGTCTCTGCTGTTGTTGTCGTTATAACTACCAATTTATTTTTGAGGAATATTGCGGGAGTGAGAGTCCTTGGCGGGATAAACTTTTGGATCCTTCCGGTATAATGACCCGACTGTCGTGGGAACTAGTCGGATTTAAGTCGCCTCTTACGACAGGCATGCAGCTAAATTCTTGAACCCCTAACCCTCAGGGGTTTTAACGGTGAGTGGTTTAGACCGTGCGTGCATCCGTCAGTCGTTCGGGACAAAGTTTTTTGTAAATATTTTTAAATAACTTACCGATGTCAATATATTTCGATTAATACGACACAGACCGAGCGCTGAAAACTCCACATCGACAACCAGTAGTTGTTGCCAGAACTTTTTGATCTATAATTAGAAAGTAAAATGAAGAACTCTGTGATATTTTATTGGGTAAAAATGTGAAAGGAAAAATATCACTTTACCTCCTCTGCCAATATGGGTTCATGAATTTTCCGCTCAATCTCAGTTACAATGTGTATTGTCTTCTTGGACTGCAAAAAAATGTAGTTTCAATTAAAGCTTGAATTCTAAGGCCTACCCCTGAGTAAAGCTCCTACCTCGGCAGTCGCAATGTGACATGGTTCCACCACCAGTAGCAATCTTAGAATATGTAAAATGATCCACATCACCTGACCCCACACATAACCGGTGACATTGCGATCCAACAGCGCTAAGAAGAGAAAATATGACGTGGCCACCATGTGCAGCAGGCAGGATACAAGTATACAAAGTACAGCAATGCCATAGGTGCTAGAGAAAAAGAGAGAGAGAGAGAGAAAGAGAGAGAGAGAGAGCATTACAGAGAGCTTGATTGAAAAGAAAAACATTTAATATTTTTTTTTTTTGTTGAAATTTTACTTGGAGAAAATCTGCACACATTTGCCCAAGGATTCGTGATTGTCGGCGAGTGATCGTAGGAGCATAACACGTGTTTTGCCTGTAGGTAAATAGGTTTTTGGATTTTCATATGAATAAATAATAATAAATAACAATAAATAAGACGAAATTGTTTATTCCATATTTTTTCTTTTTTTTGTTGTTGGATTTCGCTCACCTAGAGATTCTTTTGGCAGTGACTCCGTGTTCAGACTTTCATGTAGTGACATCGCATGATCTGGCGTGATTTTAATGCTATTGAGTTGAGTCTTTATTGTGGAATAGGGTTTGCTGTCTGCATAATGAAAACACCGTTAAAATGTTATTTTTTTTAATTTAAGACAAAGTTTTTGAAAAAAGTTTTGATATTAACAATCAAAAAAAAATTAAACAAAAAAATTATCCTTATATAATTTTCAGATGGGCATTTTTATGATCGCGGAATGAGAAGAGTCGATGTTCAGTGACGCATAATTTGTACGAATACGAGGCTTCGTTGTTATCAGACAATTAGTCTGTCGGACTGAATGAGGGCATTGGTCATGGGTTTGCGGCAACTCGGGCTTTTTTTATTTAAAAAAGCAAGCGAATCTCTTGCAGACGATCCGAGCTGGGCAAGAGCATCGAGTTTACCACGGACTCAACTTAAAAAAAAAGTTGAAAAAGTTGTGCTCGATGCTGCTCGACGAAAGAATAAATCATTTTTGAATCCTACACGATCACCTCGATGTGACTGAGATTAGCTCAAGCTGGCTACCGGCAAAGATCAAGCCACCTTAAAAACCAGAGCGCGTAGAGTGTTCATGTGCATTTTTTGAACCTCTGTGCTGGAGAGAAGGCTAGTGTACTGAAACGAATTCATAGCACAGCTCAAGCTCATCGTTCCACTGTCTGCCTACAAAGAAACGAAAATCGCATAACTTTTCTCTTAAAAACTCCCAAATCCGACTCATCAGATGTCCCCATTGTACACACTTTTGCACCATATAGCAGGTCGTGAATGATGACGGACTAGTAGAGTTTGGTTTTTGTCTCCAAATGCCAATGAGGACTTTACTACTCAATTGCCAAGAAGGATGGACCAATGGGTGGAAGCTCACATAAGTGAGGAACATTTTTGACTTTCATTCACCTGTGAATTGTCAGAAAAGATTCTTTTACTTATTGGTAAACAGCTCAGGACTTCCGGTCGTGAACCAATTGTGCTCTGTGAAGCCAAAAAACACTCCCGTTTGGAGGCGAGAAAAAAAATTGTTTTTTTATTTCCACCACTTAGCCGCCATTCCGCGAGCATAAAAACGCATTCTCGTTTATGACATCGTCTTCTTCTTTCTTAATCTACTTACCTGCCAAATAATGACATTTCAACATGCCATTTAAACGTCGAAATCGCCTGCCCAAGCCGAAAGCTGTGTTGGCGAATAGTATATGAAATCCAATCATTACAAAATATAGTAAATAAAATGGTAAATACCATTTGATGCTGTTTTCTGGCAAAAGAAAATATATATTATATTTATTAAATATATTTTTAATATTTTATTTTAATTTGCTTTTTTTTAGTTATTTTTATTAAAAACATTTTTTTCTTAATAATATATTTTTTTTTAATTTTTTTTTTAATTATTTTTATTAAAAACATTTTTTTCTTAATAATATTTTTTAATAATTTTTTTTTCGATATTTTTTATTTTGTTTTTTTTTTTTAAATTATTTTTATTAAAAACATTTGTTTTTTAATAATATATTTTTAATAATTATTTTTCAGTATTTTTTTTTTTTTAAATTTGTAATTGTTAAAAATATTTTGCCACACATTTCATTATTAAATTTTTTTTAAGTAAAAATTTGTATTTATTGAATTTTTTTTCGTTAAAAATATATTTAATTTTTTTCTTTTTACGAAATATGTTTTTTTAAAAAAAATTTTAAATTAAAATTATTTTCATAAAAAATCAATTTTTTAAAAGAATTTTTTATTAAAATTTGTAATTGTTAAAAATATTTTTCTACAAATATTTGTATAAAAAATGTTTTTATTAATTTTTTTTTATGATAAAAATAATTCTTATTAAATCTTTTTCTTAAAAATATATTTTAATTTAGTTTTCGGTTTTTAATTATTTTTTTTAAATTTTTTAAATTAAGTTTCTCTTCATAAAAAATAATTGTTTTCAAAAGTATTTTATAAGAAAATTTTTAATTGTTGAAAATATTTTTCTACAAACTTCCTTTTATTAAAAATCTTTTTTTTGTATGATGAAATATTAATAATAATAATAATATTTAAAATAAATAATAAATAATTTTTATTAAACCATTTGCTTAAAAATATATTTTATTTTATTTTTATGAAATATGTTTTTAATAAATTTTTAAATTAAAATCTTATTCTTAAAGAAGAAAAACGTAAAGTATTTTTTATTAAAATTACTATTTGTTAGAAATAGTTTTCCATGAAATATTTTTATTATAAAAATTGTTTTCATTCAATTTTCTTTTATTGAAAATATTTTTTTTTTTATTTATTTTTGTTTAAAATGTATTTTATTTAATTTTCTTTTTATGAAATATGTTTTCTATAAAATTTTTAAATTAAAATTCTTTTCACAAAAATTATTTTATCAAAAACATAGAATTTTCATATTTAAATTTTTTTGTTTCATTTTTTTATTAAAAATGTTTTAAATTTTTTTTTAAATATTTTATTAAAATTATTTTTATGAAAATCATAATAGCTTTTCTAATAAATTTTTTTAAATTAAATTAAATTAAAAATTTTTCTATTTAAAATAATTGTTTGGTATGTTTTCCAATAAGAAATGGTTTAATGAGAAATATTTTTATCATAAAAATATTAATAAAAACATTTTTAATACAAAGATTTGTAGAAAAATATTTTTAACAATTAAAAATTTGAATAAAAAATTGTTTTAACAAATTGATTTTTATGAAAATAATTTTAATTTAAAAATTTATTAAAAAAAACATTAAATTTTTTTCTTCAAAATATTTTTATTTTAATTTTTTTTGGACAAAATATTTTTTTTTTTAATAAATTTTTTACTAATTTTTCATTTTTAAAATATTATTTTTATATTTAAATTTATACATATTTTTTATCAAATGTTTATTTTGCTGAAAATGTTAAAAAAAAATTATTAACTTTTTTCAATACAAACATTTTAAATTTGTTTTACGTTAAAAATATCGTATATTACTTTCACTAAAAATGTTTTTTATTATAAATGCCTTATAAAAATTCTTTTGATGACAAAAACATTTTTTAATAATAGTTTTTGAAATTGAATTTATTTTATTTTTATTAAATAACCTTTTGGTAAGTTCTTCAATAAATTTTTTTTTTGCTAAGACCATTTTTATTAATTCTTTTACTATTTGTTTTTTTACTTTTTAAAAATATTGTTTTTAGATTTAAATTTACAGTTTAGTTTTATCAAAATTTTTGGGGAAGTTATTAAATTTTTATATTGAAAATATGAATTATTAAATTTGTTATACGTAAAAAAAAAAAAGTTTATAATGTTTTAATAATTTTTTTTATTTAAAAGGTTTTTGATGTTAAATATGCTATTAAAATTCTTTTTATGAAAAAAAAAACCTTTTTTAATAATTTTTTTTTTAATTAAATTAAGTTTTAATTTTTTTTAAATTACTTTTTGGTTTGTTTGTCAATAAATTTGTTTTTACCAAAAGTATTTTTATTAAGTTTTATTAATTTTTTTTTTTAATTTTTTTACATTTAATTTTTTTTCGGAAACAATATTTTTTTTTATATGTATTTATTAACTTTTACCATTTTTTAATATTAAAATATATAGATATTTTTAATCATTTTTTTGTATATATAAATATATATGTATATCCATAAGAAAAATATGGACTACATAATAATTTATTAAAAAAATTTAATAATATAATAATTATAAAATTAAAAATTAAAAAAAAATTCAATTAAAAAAATTAGCAATTGTTAACATTAAACAAATTTTATAAAAGATATATATGTTTTTTCATTCATTTTATTTTTTTTTAGACTTTTTTATTACATTTCTTTTTCAAAATATTTTTATTTTTTAAATTACTCACTGCTGCCCTTTTTCGGTGCAAGCTCAACATGCAGTATCCATGTCCAAATATCGAAACCTTCAAGAGGAAATATTTTTTAAATTAAATCAAATTTGCTAACTTTTATAATAAGAGCAAACAACCTATCAACGCTGCACTTATTGCCATCGGTATAACGGTCATTACTCGGGATATGATGCGATCACGTTTGAAATTCGAAAAGGAATGCAGGGCGGCATCGAACTGAGTGGAAATTTATTTATATTATTTACATACATACAAATATAAAATGAATCAATGCGAATGAGTCCCGAATTGTTTGTAAGCAAAATAGATTTTTTTTATATAATTTCACTATTTTTTGAAAATTTTTATTTTAAACTTTTTTCCGAGCGGAATTTAAAAATGAATTAGTTACCTTCCTTAGGCGCAGATTTAATTCCCGCGATGGCTTAACGCTAAAGATGCCACAACCAATGCCGGCGACGCTCGACAGCACCACAACAGTTACGTCCAATGCGGTGACCACTTTTGAGGTGGAGGAATTCATTCTAAAAGATTGACTACATATATTTATTCCAGTAAGTCGCATTCGATTATTATGAAATTGGACGAGGTAACAGCGATTTATGAATGTAATTAACTGAAAATAATGATTAACAATAACGGCTAAGCCAGGGGCATGTCCAGCAGGAGGAAATGGGGGAAAAATTTTTTTCAGTTGGGTCATGTCATCCGAATGATGGAAAGCACACCTGCTGGTGGAAGGTGAGGAAAGGAAAGCAACCACTCAGTTGGAATCGTACGGTCGATACCGAGCTGATTTCACTTGGTATTTCCAACTGACGTCCGGTTGGGAAGAGAAGAAACGAATGGTGCGCTTTTGTTGATTCGTTTATAATCGCGTAAGCGTTACCTACGCCAATGAAGAGTAAGAACTTACTTACATATTAGGTGAACATCTTTGCTTCCGCCGTTTTTTTCCAAAATTAAAAGCTTTATTGCGAAAAAGTGCTTACAGATATATTATTCAAAGTATTGTCCTTCGCTAGCGACAACTTTCTCCAATCTCTCCGGCAATTTTCGGATCCCGGCTCGAAAAAATTAGTCCTCTTTGGACGCTATCCATGAAGCAATCCATTTTTCCAATTCTTCGAAGGATTGAAAATGTTGATCTGCTAGGCCGTGTGCCATCGAACGAAATAGGTGGAAGTCAGAAGGGGCGACATCTGGGGAATACGGCGGGTGGGGCAAGCGTTTCCAGGTACTTTTTGACCACTTTTTCGACGTGAGGCCGAGCATTGTCGTGTTGGAGGATGGCTTAGTCATGTCGCTCTTGGTATTGTGGCCGCTTTTCATTTGGCTCGCGACTAAAGCGCATCAGTTACGTTCGGTAGCGATCTCCTGTGATGGTTAAGCCCGGTTTAAGGAGGTCGTAGTAAATCACACCGAGCTGATTCTCTTCCACCACCATGTTTGTCTTCGACATCGAAATCACCATTTTTAAAACGTTGAAACCACTCCCGACACGTTCTTTCACTCAGAGCAGCATCACCGTAAGTTTCTGAGAGCATTCGATGCGCTTCAGCTGCATTTTTTTTTTCGAATTGTAACAGAAAAGTAAAACTTCCCGCAAATGGCGAGTAATAGGCACATAAACGGACATTTTCGAGCGTGAATAATTCGAAAACAAGAACAACTGTCACTGAAACGGCGATGACAATTCGTTAGGCACTGTCCACACTCACTTTAAAGGCATTATCATCTATGTATTTCAACCAGCCTCAGCCGGTGCAGCCACCTATCGGGAAACGGCGGAAGCAAAGTTGTACACCTGATATATATGTGGATCACTTTTTCGCTGCTCAAAGTTTCTCATGAAAATGTCAATATGAATGCCTCGAATGCTTATTCATACTCAAGTTGAAAGTAGAAGAAGAATAGCTTGCAGCCGCAGAATAATAAAAATGCGAAGTTAACTTACCTACCACCGATCTATGCTTACTTTGTCGCTGATCCTTTAATCCCATAAATAAAAGATTTTAACTAAATCGAACCATAATAACGATATTTTGCTATATATGTACAGATCAACTGGGTTGAAATAGAGAGCACTAATGCTTAAGCATGCTCCTGATAGAGCGCGTGTATCGAATGTTCGTTATCGAGAACATTCAAACATAACCTAGTAAAAGATACATGCGAGCAATTTGTAGCTATATAAGAGTGAATTGTGTACTGCTGGCAAGTTCAGTTGAGTTTGGAACTGGGTATTGGCAACATCGGTGTAGTGTAGAGATCTGCAGTTTATTTTAAGCCGCTCCCGAGTGGCTGGTGAGTGTTTATGAGGGGCTTTTATTTCATATAAAAAATGCACTTGATTGGATGGACAATCCTTGTCGCGGGACGGATTACTGCGGCCGCGGCTGTTTATGGATCTGTCTTTGAAAAAGTACTATTAATGGTTTTCCGGTCAGTTCAATCTTCATACTGTTAGTTTGATTATTAGTGTTTTTACAAGCACTTTCTAGACTACAGATCTTTCTTCTTTGATAGACTCCTTTCCGGTTTTATTTTCGTGCTGATTTAAATGTTGAATAGTGAAAATAACAAAAAAATGATTGCCGTAGTAACGTTAAATTATAACGCCAGGTGAAAGAGGTTGCTTATGATGCAGGCATATCGTTTGGACCTTGTCTTGAAATTTTTTCCCTCCCTTCATTTTGGGTATGAAACGCGCGACAGCAAAATTTATTCAAAATCGGCGGCGAGAGGAGATTAAACAGGAGACTCTAAATAAATTCAAGGACGATGCAGAATAACTGAGTAGGATTTCAATAGGCTAGGAAGCGTGGGCTAACAGACATGACTCTTCGCAAAGGAGGCATTCTATCTTGCCGAAACTGAAAAGGTCACGGTGAGTAAAGTCAAACGTGTTCAATTGCAATAGCGCAGTTCATCATGAGCTCCTGTCAGCAGGCTCAAGAAGGAATACTACCTACAAACTGAACGTCCTTTAACTGACATAAGCCAAAGAAAAAAGCGATCGGATTTGTGGAAAAACTCTTCAATACTTTTCCATCACGACAATGCAACTGCGCAAACTTCATTGCATGCTCGTGAAAATTTCGCCAAAAAAAAAACGTTGTAACGATTCTGCAGCCTCTATTTGACATCCAACATGGCTTCGTGTGACTTTTTTCCTAGCGTCAAAAGAACAAAAGAGAACATTAAAAGCTCATCGCTCGGAAAAGCCTTTTGGGTAACGGAAGAAGTGCTGGCCAAAGCGCATAACCTCTAACGGGTATTGTTTTGTAAGCCTATGTAGGTTGCTCCGACTTCAAAGGCTCTATGCACTATCCTAAAACCGTACCGCTGGACATAATGCCATTCACAGATCCAAGTTAAAACAATTATAGACGACTCGCTTCCTGCAAACCATCGTTCCCCTAATCCAAGCACCGCATATAGCCTATAAGACCCTAAAAAATATACCCTAGTTATTAAAACTGGAATAAACCATAATCCAAACCTCTACATATACAACGTATGCCCCCCCTCTTACTGGTTCGAACCCGTCAAAAAAGCTTGTTTCTTGTATCTCTCTTTAGATGTCCCCAACGAAGCGTGGGTCTTAGCTTTGTAAGCAAATTATAGATTGAAAAATATCAACTTGGGTTTACTTTATAGAGCCTCGAAACCTTGTCAATATTATTTTAAACTAAAAAAGAGGAGCCGAGGCATATTTTCAGGTGAAAAAATCTGACTTTAATTTGTCTAAAATAGCCTTCCATTTGACAAAAAAATACTCAGCCTTGCAGAACTGTTTCGAAAAATATTTATGTATACACTAACGGACTCGACGAGCTTGGGTTCGTCTTAATTCCATGCTAAAACCCACTACAAAAATGGTGTTTCAAATATGCCCACATGGAGAAGCTTACACGTATGATTGGAGCTTAGTAACCGCTGCAGCGATTTTCCGCCGAGCTCCTCTTCCAATTTGTGGTTTTGCGTCTTGCTGTTATTCGAATAAATGGAGGGACCTACATTTTATATTAAGCTGCCTCCGAACGGGGGATGGTTTTTTTACGAGGAGCCTTTATTTCATGTCGGAAATACACCTGGAGGGGGGACATTCCCTGACGAGGGGCAACCGCAACCAGAAAATTTGTCATAATTTTTAATTAAAATTAGTTATCGATAACTTTAGGATGTTGGTCGCACTAGGATTGGAACCCGAGACATCCATTTTTTTTATAGACATTTTAAGAGAGTGGCACTTTTGTAGATATTGGAAGGCCCTTGGATCATAGTTTTACTCGTTCCACCTCAAATATTGCTACGGTAAGTGAAATTTCAGACCCGTAAGTGTCTATTTCTTGAAGTTCTTGAGAACTGGTGTATATTATGACGTGCACTCCGTACTTGAACCTACACCTACAACCATATTAAGCGCAGCTCACACAGCAACAGAAGGCAGCTGACCCTTCACAATGCCCTACATACGTCTATTGGCTGCTTGGACACCAAGCAGTGGAGGGCGATTTTTCGGCCAACATTTTCTTTAACGACGCGGCACATTTCTTACCTGTGGAATATGTAAAAAAGCAAAATTTTCGAATTTTTGAGACGCTTCGACAATGATTGAAAGTGGCCATTACACCAAAGAAAAAAAAACTCAGGGCTTCGTGCGTTCTTTGGTCTGGAAGTGTGATTGGATCTGACTGCTTTGAAAACGAAAACGGCGATTGGCAATTCGTAGCGTTATGGGAAAGTTTTGAGAAAAATAGTTAAAAATTCTTTTTCCAAATGCTTGAACATTTTTTCATAAAATAAATGAACAATAATTCGAACATTAATTTGAAAAACATTAATATTTAGCAAATTTATATTCAACAGCGTAGTACATAAATTATTTCTTAAACCATTTGCATATGTACTTACCGCAAAGGAACTTGAGAATTCGCATCGAATATTATGCCTTCGTAACAGAGTATGACTGAAAAAAAATATAGTATGCGATAATTTTGTGATATTGAGAGAAATATTTTTTTTTTTCAATTAAAAAATAATTAAAATTAATCTAATTTTATTCAAATAATTATTAAAATATTATAATTATAATTAATTAGTTAGTAAATTTTTACGATATTATATATACTAAAAATAATTATAATATAATATTGTAATTCTTATAAACAAATTATTGTCATTATTATAAGTAATTAATTAAAAATTTTATTTTTTTTCAATAAAAAAATTATTAAAATATTATAATTATATTCGAATTATTATTAAAATTTTATAATTATAATTATAATTATAATTAATTAGTTAGTAAATTTTTACGATATTATAATTACTAAAAATAATTATTATAATATAATATTGTAATTCTTATAAACAAATTATTGTCATTATTATAAGTAATTAATTAAAAATTTTATTTTTTTTTTCAATTAAAAAATTATTAAAATTTTATAATTATATTCGAATAATTATTAAAATATTATAATTATAATTAATTAGTTAGTAAATTTTTACAATATTATAAATATTAAAAATAATTATTATAATATAATATTGTAATTCTTATAAACAAATTATTGTCATTATTATAACTAATTAATTAAAAAAAATTTTTTTTTCAATTAAAAAATTATTAAAATTAGTCTAATTATATTCGAATAATTATTAAAATATTATAATTATAATTAATTAGTTAGTAAATTTTTACGATATTATAATTACTAAAAATAATTATTATAATATAATATTGAAATTCTTATAAACAAATTATTGTAATTATAATAAGTAATTAATTAAAAATTTAATTTTTTTTTTAATTAAAAAATTATTAAAATATTATAATTATACTCGAATAATTATTAAAATATTATAATTATAGTAAATTACTTAGTAAATTTTTACGATATTATAAATACTAAAAATATTTATTATAATATAATATTGAAATTCTTATAAACAAATTATTGTAATTTTTATAAGTAATTAATTATAAATTTAATTTTTTTTTAATTTGGAATTTTTTAGTTAATATATATTTTTTTTAAACTCATACATACCCATTGCTACACCCAAAGTGATCGAGTATAAGGAAAATAAAATGCTACGTTTTAACTCTATTTTGCCTTTAATATTTCGTCGCATCGAAATCGGTGCTAAAGCTAAGAATTTACTTAGATAAAAAACACTAAAAGATGATTCATTGATTTCCATATTTAAAACTTCTGTATATATTTTTTTTTTTAATTATTACTAAATCTTTGAAAAGTAAAATTTTATATTTTTTATGTTAATTTGCCGACAATAAATTGTCCTTCTTTTCTGGTATTTCTTCTTCACATTTAAGCACTTTTCTTGACTACCGCACGCGACGACTTAATTTCGTTAACTAACGCGTCCAGCTCCTTGCTGAAAACTGATTATTTTGTGAAAATTTAAATTTTTTGGTCAAAAGTGTTCAATGTATTGCAAGTATTGCAAGTACATACATACATATATACACATAATTTTGATAAATGACCAAATGTAGCGACGGTATGCAAACAATGCCATGTAAACACCGTTTTTCGACTGCTAACTACGCCACTAATGTGGCATATATTTAGGCGCAAACAAGCGATTTATTATTGAGGTAAACAAAAATTAAAAAAAAAAAAACGAAACGAAACAAAGCGCACATTTAAAGGCTTGGCGATGGGAAAAGGCGTTACAGGATATGTGCATTTGTTTATACAACTACATACATAAATATACATATGTGCATGTATGCACTCGTGTTGCTATGTAAGCACATGTGCTAAAGCATATGTGTGTGCATGTGGGTGCAGGTAGATTGTGCGGTTGTAGCAGGTTAAATGGAAAAATTCTTACTATTTGAAAATAAACAAATTACAAAAAAAAAAATTAAAAAAAAAAAAAATAATAAAAATAAAAAAAATACTAAAAAACGCAAATTAAAAAAAAAATCAAAAATTTAAAATAAGAAAAATGAAATTGTTACAAATAAATGCTAGATTATTATCTTAAATGCACTCTTTAAAGTGCACCGGCATGTAGGTAAAGCTCATAGAATATATATTTACCTACATACATATGTATTTGGCTACATATGAGGCGTGCCCATGTACTTAATAGTAATAATACATTTGTAAATAGTGAATTATACTATGCTAAATACATAAATACATATGTACATATGTAAATAAATATAGTCGGTTTGAATTCATTCAATAATTTTTATGTATACAATATGTTGTCAATGAATATATGACGCTTTACGTTTTATATTAGTCATAACAAAAAAAAAAAAAATTAAAGTAAAAAAAAATTAAAAAAAAAATAAAAAAGTGTAAAAACGTAGTTATGGGCCTGTCTGCAAATAGAATAATAACCAGCTGTCATTTCAGCACAGTTAAATGACTGTGCAAGTTTGTATTACTCACTAAATTGTATGTTTACATATGTACATATATGTACGAGTATACAAAATTTTAATAATATGTTCTTGTTGTGAGTTTTTCCTTTAACGATTTAAAAACATATATATTTTTTTTAATTTGTTTTCATAATTTACAGTTTATTACAAAATCCGTTAACAATTTTCAAGGTGCTTGCAGCCCCTTAGCAGTGATGATTTAATAATTCAAATTTAATTTTATAAAAATCTTACATATATTACTTTTTTTTCATTTCACTTTAAAAGTTTGTAAACAATAACAAAAAAAAAATTCAAGAAATCTCATTTAATTTAACACACAGTGTTTGCATTAAAAATCTCAATCCAATAACCATCGGGATCTTTAATGAAAGCCAAACCCTTCATGCGACCATCATCGGGTTTCTTAACGAACTCAACGCCCTGCTCCTCAAAACTGTAAGCAAAGAGGTAATAATTTAGTAATATATGCATGATAAATTATATATGAAATATAATACATTAACGAAGTTGAATAAGAAGCTATGAATATTTTAATTGGAAAGGCCAAGGTAGTACAAAATTTCATTACAAAAATAAATTAATGAAAACTTGCTGTCACAACTTTTCGTGTTGCACTGTTTTCTTTACAACTTTAGTATTAAAAGATATTATTATTATTTCTTTATACAAACTCACCGCTTGCACGCCACATAAACATCCGGCACCATTATGCCAATATGACCGAAGCCACGCGGATCAGAGTTACCATTATGGTATGACTGACTCTCGTCGTCTTCCGTGCCCCAATTACTAGAAAATTGTGGAATAGGTAATGTAAACAATCATCAGTCAAAAACTAAAAGCCTTCAAACTTACTGTGTCAATTCAACAGTTGCCTTGCGGCTCATAGCCCAACGTCTACGTTCCAAGGGGTCTTTTGGTACATCATCGGGATTTTCGTAGCTGTTTAAATAAAAAAAAATATATATACAAATAAATGAGTGGGTATTATATACAATACATATACATACATATGTATGTACGTTAGTTAAATATTATTTATATCTACGTTATCAGCTGCACTTTTGTACAAGTATCGATAAAAGAAGAATAAAATATTTTTGTACACATTATAAGTAGAAATATATGTATGTATTGTACATACCCCATAAAATATAGCGAAAACTTTGCTTCAGGAAAATCTAATTTCACCAGCAGCGACATGCCAAGTACACCAGTGTAGAAAGGCAAAGATTTGCGTGGATCTTTAATGCGATACATGGTTTGTTGAAAGAGGAAGTCCTGAAAACAATACAAAATACGAAAAGTGAATATGCTGCGGATAAACACATGCATTTATTATTATATATACACATATTTCACGTAAAAAAATATATAATTTTCTATTATATAGTATACATTTATTATAGATTTTGTATTAATCAATATACTCTGTATAAGGTAATGCTGTTCTTGTCTATATATGCATATGTATATACATACATACACTCATTATTTCGTTTTAATTAATTACATTTAAAACCATATCTGGAATATATCCGTCATTATCGCATTATGCTCACCTTAGTTGCCGCATCCGCTGGCTTGCATAATTCCGCTGCCTCCGCATTGCTCAGACCTGTTGCTTCGGCCATTTTCACTAGTTGAGTTGTTGCAAATGTTCTCGTATTTTGTGTATTTTTCAATAAATTAATTACAGGTTTAACTATGCGGCCGACACTAATGAATTGAACACCTTGGAAGGGCACAATTCCATAAAATCGACGTATGGAATTTGACAGCAGCAATTTGGCACTCATATTGAAAATGATTTAACAGATGTGAAGGGCGTTGCCAGCTTAGTGTGCTTGGGAATTCATATGGAACTAAAGGAAGGGAATTGAATTTAAATAAATTTAATTAAATAGAAAGAAAAAAAATAGAATAAAAAGTAAAATAGCATAAAATAATTGAAATAAATTAAAATAAAACTAATGAAATAAAATAAATATATAATTGACAATGAAAATAAATTAAAACATATTAAAAAATTAAAGTAAAGAAAGTAAAAAATTATAAAATTTTGTAAAATTAAAAATGAGTGAACTGAATTAAAATTGGTTTAATTTAAATAAAAAGAAAATTCACTAAGCTAAAACAAACCAAGAAAAAAAAAGTAAAAATAAAACCAAGGCATAACAAAAAAATGAATGAAACAATTTGAAATAAAAAGAAGTGATATAAAATTTTATAAAGCAAATTAAAATAAAATTAAATATAATAAACGAATATATAACTATATATAATAAATTAAAATTATATAAAAAAAATATAAATTAACATAATGTAAAATATAATGAAATTAAAAAGTGTAATATAAAAAATATTAATAAAGCAAAGTAAATTTTAAAAACATTAAAAAATATAAAATTATTGATAATTTAAAGTATATGAAAAATTAAAATAAATTGAAATTGAATAAAATCTAATAAAATAAATAAATTAAAATAAAATACACAAAAAATAAACGAAAATAAAATTAAATTTAAAGTCATTTATCAAATTAAATTTAATTTAAATTATTCAAAATGAAATAGAAATAAAATTAATTGAAAATAATAAAGAAAAACAAAATAAAGAAGAATTAAAATAATATAAAATTAAATAAAAAATAAAATAATTTGAAAAAATAAAGAAAAGCAGAATTAAATAATATAAACTTAAATTAAATTTAATTAAATTTAAAAAAAATGAAATTAATTATAAAAAGTAATGAAGTGAAATAATTAAATGAAAGTAAAAAAAATGAAGAAAAGTAATCATAAATTAAATTAGTATAACATGAATAAAAAAAAAATAATCTAAAATGGAGACGATGAAATAAAATTAAATTAAATAAAACAAAAGATATTCATGTAAAACAAAATAAAATAAAGTTAAATTAAAGTGTAATAAATTAAAAAAATATAATAAAATAAAACAAAATAAAATCAAATGTGAAAAAAAGGAAAATAAAATGAAATCAAAAATGAAAAAAAAATAAAATATTTCGTTATATAATAAAATAAATATTGAGAGGATATAAAAGAAAAAAAAACTAAAGAAAAAATGGAAAAATAAAAAAAAGTGTAATAAAACAAAATTGAAAGTGAGATAAAATAAAATAAGAAAATAAAAATAAAAGAAGGCAAATTAAATAAAACAAAATAATAGAAGATAAAATAAAACAAGCTACAGTGAAATAAAATAAATTAAAATAAAGGAAGATAAAATAAAATAAAAATTGAAAGAAAATAAAATAAAACAAACCAAAGAAAAGATGGAAAGATAAAATAAAATAAAATAAAATAAAATAAAATAAAATAAAATAAAATAAAATAAAATAAAAAAAAAATTAAATAAAACAAAGTAAAGAAAAGAAGAAAAATAAAATAAAATAAAAAGCGAATTTAAATAAAATAAAAAATTAAAATAAAAAAAGATAAAATAGAACAAACTACAGAGAAATAAAATAAGTTAAAATAAAGGAAGATAAAATAAAATAAAAATTGAAAGAAAATAAGATAAAACAAGCTAAAGAAAAGATGGAAAAATAGAAAAAATAAAAAGTGAATTAAAATAAAATAAAAAATAAAAATAAAAGAAAATAAAACAAACTAAGGAAAAGATGGAAAAATAATATAAAAAGTGAAATAAAATAATAAAAATATAACAAGATAAAATATATAAAACGAAATAAAAGAAGATAAAATAAAACACTCCACAGAAAAAAATAAATAAATTACAATTTAAAAAAATAAAATAAGATAAAATAAAATAAAACCAAAGTTCAAATCCTGCTACAACTAACATCTAATAGCTATAGAAAATGAATTTAAAAAAAATTAAGCTAATTTTTCTAAATGCGGTCACCCCTCGGCAGGGATTTACATATATATATATCATATATATAACATATATATAGTATATATGAAATAAAAAATGAGTAATTACAAGAAAAATAAAGAAATTATAATATATTGAAATAAAAAAACTTAAAATGACACCAAAAAAAGTTAAATTAAATAAAACAAGGTAAAATAAAATAAATACACACCTTTTTAAGTTCTTTTGCCAACTTTATTCCTTAAATAAAACACATGTTTTTGTTACTTTTCATTTTCTGTTTGTTTTATCTTCTTCTAGATGTATATGTATGTACATATGTATGTATTTAAATTACATTTTACCATTTTTATTATTTCATTGGACTTAATATTTAAGTGAATTTAATCTTAATTCTTGTGTTTTAAAGGCATTTAATTTGAGGGGATGTTTGTAACTTAAAAAATATTTGTAGTTAGTTTTCGTTTCTTTGTTATTTCGATATTATTTTAATTTTTTGTTTTGTTATTTCGTTTATTTTATTTTTTTATTTTTATTTATTTTCTTTTATTTATTTTTTTTATTTACTCGTCATTAGTGTTTTTTTTTTGTCTTAGTACTACAGATAAATTGTGTATTCGTTATGCAGCAAATGTATGTATATACATATATATAAAATCACATTTGTATAACGAATTTTTATTCAATAAAAGAAAAAATTAAATAAAAGAAAACTATATTTGCTTTCCTTCAAACCAAAAAACAAAAAAAAAAATATTTTAGACCCAAACAAAAATAAAAATAGAGGAAAGTAGGGATTATTAAAAACAATATAAATAAACGTATTTTTTATATTTTTCGGCATAAAGGTAATTTTTTTCGTAAATAGAACTCATAAGTTTTTTGGCGTTTTTTTTTTTTTTTTTTTTTTTTGAAAAACGAAATATAATTGTTATTTATTTTATTTTCATTTTGCTGAAGTAGTATTTACGCAGTTTCGTTTTAATTGGAATTTTTTCTTAAAACAATTTGAGCAATTTCTTTTTATTGGCATTAAATCATATTTATTTTTTTTTTTTAGTTTTTGGGTAAGTATTTTCGGAAATCAAAGTGTTCTTTTTTCCATTTTTGTTTTGTTTTCAATTTTGTGACTTAGTAAACAGTGGAATGCCCTCTTACATACACACATGACTTCCGGGTGTGTTGCCAAAAAATGGACGACAACTAATGGACAGTATAAATTGCAATTAATACGCATTCTTAAATTGATATGGATGGCATTATAAAATCGATTGTTAGTATATATGTAAATTAAAGAAAATCAATCAATTGACACAAAATGCTATTTTATTGACAAATCTAATTCAAAGACGGTGTATTTTGCTATTATTCATATTGACGGTTTTTCGTTAAGTTGTTGAGCTTTTTTTTTTGTTAAAAAAGCTTTAAGCTCTATTATTTTTTTTTTAATTTTGAAGTAGAGGAGTTTTTTTTTTAAAAAGAAATTAAAAAAAATTGTTCTTCATTAAAATTTAAAAAAAAATGTTCAGTGCCGATTAAGGGTATTTACGTTTTCTAAATATCGCGCTTAAAAATATGCAACATTTTTCGATTTTGTTAAAAATAACTAATATTAAAAACTATTTATTAAATTTATAAATTTTGTGCCCTCTACAAAATAATCCGAGGAAAATTAAAAAAAGTGCGAAAAATTGGATAACTTATGCTGAAAAAATAATTATGGAAAAAAAGCTTTAAGCTCTATTTTTTTTTTTTATAAATTTGGAAGTAGAAGAATTTTTTATTTCAGAATTTAAAAAAAAAATTGTTTTTCATTCAAAATTGAAAAAAAATGTTCAGTGACGATTAAGGATATTTAAGTTTCGTAGATCTCTTTAAGCACGCGCTTAAAAGTATGCAACATTTTTCTGAAATTAAAAAAGAATTAATTACTGATTTTCTAACCTTGTAACTTCTATAAAGTAATCCGAGAAAAATTAAAAAAGTGCGAAAAATTGGATAACTTATGCTGAAAAAACAATTATGGAAAAAAGCTTTAAGCTCTATTATTTTGAGATTCTTGATATAGAGGAATTTTTTATAAAAGAATTAAAGAAAAAAAATTGTTCCACATTTAAATTTAAAAAAAATGTTCAGTGGCAATTAAGGGCATTTAAGTTTCGGGCGCTTAAAAGTATGCAACATTATTCTGAAATTAAAAAAGAATTAATTACTGTATTTCTAGCCTTGTAACTTCTACAAAATATTTCGAGCAAAAATTTAGCAAAAAAAAAATTCGACAAATTTGTATAAAAATAATTAAGGAAAAAATGCTTTAAGCTCTATTATTTTGAAACTTATTAGAATAAATGAATCTCTTTAAATATGCATTATTCAGAAACTAAGGAAAAAAATAATTAAATATTGAATTTCAAACCATGTGACTTCTATAAAATAGTTTTGGAAATAATTTCAATTCACGCTTAAAAATATGCAACATTATTTAGAAACTAAAATAAATTATAATAACTGAATTTCCAACCTTGTGACTTTTACAAAATGACCGCAGAAAATTATTTAATTTTTTTTTGTAAATGTAGTCAATGGTTGCTGACATAAATAATTAAAAAAAAAAAATAATCAAAATTTGTTTGGTTGATTAGTTAAAAGAGGCGGTTGTGGAATAAAAATTACTTTATGTTCAGTTCAGTTCGTATTGACGCAGCTAAAAATAATTTATAAAATAAAAAAGGTTAAAATCTTGAAAGTTATAAAAAATTCGATGAGACAAATATATCTATATATTTATGTGAGTTAATAAAAACTTTTATATATTATTTATTTAAATAAAATTTTTTTTTACAAAAACACTTATAAAAGAAAGTGAAAATTATACTAATCAGAAAATGAAAATATTTTAAACTTAAAATCCAGTAAAAAGAAAATGTACTGACTCTTATAACTCTCACTTGAGCTTAAATAAAATACAATAAATTATATTACAACCGTTAAAAAAAGAGTTTAAACAATTTAAGCGCCAACAAGCTAAAAATCTAACAAAAAAATATTTCCGAAAAAAAAATATAAAATCAAAAAATAAAACAAACTCATTTTATGCTCATTTTATATGTGTATTGCATTAAATATATAAATTTTACATATTTATTAATGTATATATATATATTTTGTTTTTTAGCAATTTCCATAATTAAATTAATAATCAATCAATTCAATAATAATTAAACTAAGGGACTGTAGCGTGACAGACAAATACAAATTTATCATCATTAATAACAATTGTTGTGATTAATTGCAATAAATTTATTAATAATAATAATAATAATAGTAATAGTAATAGTATTACTGTGTGCAAATTCATAAATGTACATTATATACTTGCGCTAGAAAAAATTAAAATAAAATAAAATAAAATTTATTATATAACAAAACAAATAATGTCTTTATGCGTTTATTTAATTTAACAAATTACAAAATAAAAATAAAAATTATTATTAGCAGTTACAAGCACTTGTATGTACATACATACTTACATATATATTAATTTATATAATTAATTTTTCATATATATATATATATATATAAAATATTAGTAAATTATTCAATTAAATTTAACATAATAAGAATATAACAATAAACGAATTTGCGTTATTTAGTAAAGAAAAAGTGCGCTTAAAAGCAAAGGCGGAAAGTACAGGTGTGGGAGAAATTGGTTTTAGCAAGCTTTTGCATAGACATGAGCAGTCTTTTGTTCTAAAATTAGAAAAGAAAAAAAAAACAACACGCAGTGCCTGCTGTAGGTACAAAAACTGTGCAACACATATAGCACATTAAATCAGAAAACCACATAACTCAACATTTTTCAAAATAGTTCTTTTTCATATTTTCGGTCTAGAAATCACGCTTAGATCAGTTTTTCTTAACTGTAAAAACACCGTTATGCTGCCTGTTTTCATGTTACAACTATTTCTTGCTTCACCTGTACATCAGCGATTTTTGTGTTGTTACATTTTTTTGATTTTTATAACTGTTTGCCATAAAATTATAGCAAATTTACAAATAATAGCTTGCAATGACAATTTTTGTGGTTTTTAATATTTTTTTAAATTATTTTACAACCTCTTTAGAGTTGAAATGGCAACATTAGTTATTAAAAATGTGTTTTCTTCAATTTTCTTTTTTAAGTAAACTGCATAAATTGCTGTTATTTCTCATGGTTGTGTGTGTGTAGCTGACTAAAGAATTTTAAAACTATAAAAAATTGAATAATTACTTTTTGTTTTTTAAAAACTTAGCAAAAAACCTCAATAAAAATTAGATTTTAGTTCTGAAATGATTTTGGAAATTTTGCATTTGGAAAAAACAAAAGTTATTTTGAAATTATTACGGACTCAAACATGATATTTTCATAATTTTAGTATTTACTATATTGTTATTAACAAAAAAAATAAGAAAAATAAAAATATGTGCTTCAAAACTATTTTTTTTTTTTAGTAGATATTCACTCAAACCTATTTGAAAAGTGCATTAAAAGTTTTTCCAGATATACCATGTACATAAAATAATTGTTTAAAAAATTTAATTTTTTTTAATGCGCTCAAAACTCAAAAGCATATTTTCAAAATTAGTTATGTGCAGAAATAAAAACATTTTTTTTTAGTTACTGTACAATTCATGCTTGGGATTATTTTTTGTTTCACTAAATAACTATAATATTTTTCAGGGCCTCGCTGTTTACTGCAATGTAGAATGAATTTTTTTTATAAAAATTAGCAGTTTAACAGAAATGATATTGCATATAAAACAAAAACAAAAAAAAAAGGTTTTTTAATTTTTTTTTAATTTTAATGAGTATACATAATTTCAAATTAAACATTTTCACAGCATTTCATGTTTTTTTATTAACAAGAAAAATAGCGTTAAAATTATTTGCCAAATGCAGGAAATGTCAAACAGGAAAAATAAACACTTTCGAATTTTCAATATTTTACAAAAAAAAAAAAAAAAAAAAAAAAAAAAAAAATTAAAAATAAATAAATAAAAATTAAAAATTGCACATGGCTAATGACAGACTTTAACTCATTTTTGTGTGCTTAAATTTTTATAATACAAATTTTAATTTTTTATATTTTTTTTTTTTTGAATAAGAACTTTTTATTTAAACTCGCTTTATTAAACATTTTTGTGTTGTTAAGCAAGCCACTCACTCAGTTTAATAAATTTTTTGTTCACATTTATTTAACAAAGAAAGATAGAAATATTGAAAATTCGAAAATGTTTTCTTGAAAATTATATATGTAAGTTACATATAGTATTTTAATTTATGCACAGCTTTTACAAGTGTTTTCAGGTAACAGACAGCTACAAATAAAAAAAAAATTATGAATTAAAATTTATTAAAAATATTTATTTATTTTTTTTCATTAGCAAATAATAAGTAAAATAGCAATAAATAAATGTATATAAATTGTATGCATATTGCAAAAACAAAATCTCTATTTAATTTAATATTTCACTCGTTTTATCATTAATCAACTCAATATGCATGCATATATGTACGTATGTTTACGCTTGTTTAGTTTTAAAGCACACATGCGCACACACAGCTGCCTTTTCGACAGTTTTTCTATTTATTTATAAATCTCTTAAACCATTTCACAGTTGCTGATTGCATTTTTGCTGTAAGTTTATTATTTCGTTTATCATTTTTATTATTATTTTTTAGTTTACTTATGTATGTACATATATACTCACACAGTTCACTATTATGTATTTATATATATATATATTTATTTCATTTCCCACTTAATTTCTTCTCCTTTTCTTACACTTCTTTTTTGCTTTATTTATTGTTTAACTAAGCTTACTTATATTTAATACAAAAATAAATGACAAAAAAATTATTTAAATATACAAATTGGCAATTTCTTTCGTTTGTTTGTTTGTTTCTATGTGTATTACTTTATTTATGCTATTTTTCTATGTTTTATGTATTTGTATACTTTTCCATTTTTGCTTTATAGCAGCTACTTTGCCACTTACTTCCTTTACTGTTTTACACTTACATTACAGTACAATGTATGTAGTTGTTGTGTGTTACAATTTAGTATATGTACATATATATATATATATATATGCGTATATTAAGATTTTGGATTTACTAATTTCATTTATGCTTTATCACTTAAAGCGCAGCTTTTTACAAAAAAAAATATATATATATATATTCAGTTAATCTTACTACGCCTGCGCACTTTTATCCTTTAGCATTTAGTACATACATGCACATACAGAATATGCGCAGCTTTCTTTAACATTATTATTAGTAATTTTTAAATTTCACTAGTATTAAATTAACTGTTTGGTTGCCACACAACCTCCCTAACTGCCGCCTCAACTTAACTGCGTTTTTTTGTTTATTGGTGTTTTTTTTATATTACATTTGGAGAATTTGATTAAGATTTTACTTATTAAACAGTGTTGTATTTATATATGTATTTAAATAAAAAAATAAAAAAAAAAAAAATAAATAAAACCAAAAAAAAATTAAAAAATTCCTAAAAAATTAGTTGCCTAAATTAAGAGATATATAATTATTATATAAATATGCACTAAGTACACACACACATACACACACAGGCATGCAAAAAATTAAAAAAAAATATAGCAAACATATTCCCATTGCATGTTTGTTTGTATGTATGTATGTATATATAATTCAGTAGTTTCTGTGCTTTCTTCACATTACTTATTTAGTTAAGTGTAGCGCGTATGTGTGTGTGTGTTTTTCTGTTTTTTTTTTTTTTTTTGTTATAGCAACATATATATAACTACTACTAATCATCTTCATCGGATGAGTTTGAGGATAATTGCAAATCATTTTGCAGCAGATCACTAGTAAATGCACCATTATTGCTCATGTGGCTATTCATATTGTGATTGTTGTTGTTGTTGCTGTTGTTATTACTACTATTGGACGCATAACCCGATGTTGGCGTATTGCGATTGTATTGTGGCGTTGTTGTATTCATTGGCGGTAATGTTGACATTAAATTTGGCAATTGATACATTTGATGCGACGACACCGGTGGCGGCTGTTGTTGCTGATTGTCACCAGCAGCATCATCATCATCATCACTGCTATCGTCCGAATCGCTGCCACAATCACTGCCGCTCGAATCGGAACTGGAACTCGAGCTGGATGAGCTAAGACCGCGATTTCTCTGCAAAAGAAAGAAAATTAATAATTATAACAACAAAAAAAAAAATTGTAAAAGTTTCAATAGAAAAAAAATAAATGAAAATTAATTAAAAAAAAAAAGAATTCAATAAAAGATATTTAAATAAAAAATAAATAAATAAAAAAATTCAAAAAAAAAAAAAATAAATAAAAAAATTAAAATAAAAAATAAAAAAATTAAAATAAAAAATAAAAAAAATAAAAACAATATTAAAAAATTAAAAATACATAAAAAAATTGAAAATACGAGTATATAAAATTAAAAATAAATAAAAAATTTAAAAAATTAAAAAAAAAAATAAATAAAAATTTAAAACAATTAAATTCTTTAGAAAGAAACACGAAATCAGCATTTTTATAAAATAAATTCCAATTTCGCCCAATTACAAACCAAAAATCGCTTAATGCCCCCAACTCACCTGATCTAAGTGTGCCGCCAGCTCGTTTGCCATAGCTACATCGCTATCGTTGGGCGATGACATGCCTGGCATATGTTGCAGTTGTTGTTGCTGCTGCTGATGATGTTGTTGTTGTTGTTGCTGTTGCGCTTGATGATGTTGTTGGAACATTTGATTATTGCCCAAATGATGATTACCCATATTGCCACTGTTGCTGCTGTTGTTATTGTTGTTGTTGTTATGATAGCCACCAACACCGCCATTGGACATTTGTATCGGTTGCATGCGATTGTTGTTGCCATTTGATTGCTGTTGCTGCTGCTGATAGGGATTGTGCTGTTGTTGTCTTTGTTGTTGTTGCTGCTGTTGTGCAAAGTTATGCGGCGAGGAAGCTAAAGAGCAGAATAATTATTAATATATATATATATATTTTTTCCAATTCAGCATTTTTTTTTTTTTTTTTTTTCAAACATACTTCGTTGCTCCATGCGATTTTGCTGTTTCGCCTGCTTGCCACGACTCGTTGCCGCCGTTGCCGTCGTCGTCGTCGTCGCTGACAGATTTGCAGACATTGATGTTGCATTGAGATTATTGTTGTTGTTGTTGTTATTGTGCCGTTTTTGATTGTTGCGATGTGTTTGCTTTGACTGTTTAGTCGGCGCGGGCTGTTGTTGTTGCTGCTGCTGCTGATGCTGTTGCATTAGATAATCGTGCGCTGAATTATTATGACTTGACGCTGACGAGGATGAGGATATATTCGCTGTATCACTACCACCACCATGATGCGTTTGACTATTACTAAGCGCAGCGGATAGACCAAACATGCCATCGTCATCGTCATCGAAAATCATTGGAATGCTGGGCAATGTGGCTTGCGTATTGTTCGCGTTCCAGCTGTGGATGATAAATAAAAACCAATTTAAATATATCTATAAATGATATTGCATAATGTATGCATATATGTATGTATGTATGAATGAAAGTGCAATACTCACGCCGGCGCCGATTGCGGACTCTTATGTATGGATGGCGGTGCAGACGGTGATGCGGAAGCGGATGGCGAGTTTCGTGGCTTAAAATCAACTGAAAATGTACAAAAAAGAATTTATTGTAGTAAGGTTTTGTGATTTATTCGAAATAATAATGCAAAATATGAAGAAAAAAAAATTATAATAAAAATAAAATAGATACAAATAAAAAAAAAATATAAAAAATTAAAATTAAAAATTTTAAAATCAATTAGAAATTAAAAAAACTAAATTAATAGAAAATAAAAAATATCTAAGTTTTTTAACATTAAAAATATATAATTAAATTAAAAAAAATATAATTAAATAAAAAAAAATATAATTAAATTTAAAAAAAGGAACTTAATTATTTAAAATTAAAAAAAATATAAAAAATTGAAATTAAAAATTTTAAAATCTATAAAAAAAAAATTGATAGAAAATAAAAAATCTAAGTTTTTTAACATTAAAAAAATATAATTGAATTAAAAAAACATAATTAAATTAAAACAAAAATATAATTAAAATAAAAAAAAATATAGCTAAAATTAAAAACAAAGATTAAATTATTTAAAATTAAAAAAAAAATAATAACAAACTGTTAAAATTAAAAAAGAAATTATAATAATTTATTTAAATAAAAAAAATTAATTTTTTAAAGCTAAAAAAATATTAATAAAAAAAATTAATTTAATTACAATTAAAAATTTTAAATACTGATTTTTTTTTTTTTTAAATAATCAAAAGATCAATTAAAAAGATAACACAAACTTACTTATATTATTTCGCCGACTACCTGTCGACACTTTCGTCTTCGATGTGATGCGCATCGTACTATTTTCTAATTTTTGCTGAGGCGCTGCATTCACGTTGGCGGTCAACGCACTTGGCTTGTTTGTCATCTCGCTCCTATAATAAAATCAATGTTAATAATTTATTAATTACAAAGTAAAACAATAAATTCTTATTGACAAGCATTGAAATTAGAATTTTCCGTATTTCAAATATTTTTTAACTAAAAAAAAAAAAAAAATAGAAATAAAATGTTTTTATTAAATACACGAGCGTAATATCACAAGTAGGAATATTTTTGCGGTTACAACAACAACAAAAAAATTGTTTTTGAAGATGGGGAAAAGTCAACAATAATAATTTTTACTATTATATATTTTTTTTTTAATTTGTAAAAAAAATATTTTTCATTTTATTTTTTTTAATATTTTAATGTATAAAAGAATTGGTATAATATATTATATATATATATATATAAGGCGCTTTGTAACCGCTGAAACATTTTTTCGGGTAAAAGCATTAAAATTTGATATTTTTATTTTTCCTTTTCATTTTTTAATTTAATATTTTTTTAATTTTCGGCCTAAAATCTTTTTTTTATTTTTTATTTTATTAGTTCAATGTTTTTAAAATTAGTATTTTTTAAATTTATCAATTTGATTTTTGTATTAATTTTATTAAATTTATTTTATGTACTTGTTTTACTTCTTCACTGCATTATTTGTATTTTTTTTTTGTATTCCAAAATTTATTATTTTTTTTTTATCTTTTATTTTCAAATTTAATATTTTTAATTTAATTTAATTTAAATACTTTTTTTATTTTAATATTTATTATACTCGTTTTTTTACTTTTAGCAAAATTTTTAATTTTTTTTTTAAACTCACCTTGTCTTTTTCACTTGAATATTATGATTTAACTTTTCGATTGTAATACCACCAGTTTTTCGATCGTAAATCAATAAACATTCTTTTGTATATTTTCTGTGATTTCCCTTATATACTGTATGAGGCACACCGGAACTTACTGCAAAGAGAAAGGAAATGAATAAAATTAGTTAAAAAATTGTTTGTAAAAAATATTAAAATAATATACATATTTATTTATTAAACCTATTTTAAGTATAAAAAATTAAAAGAAAAAACAATTAAATCTTAATTAAATAATAAATTTAATTAGGAATAAAAATAATTAAATATAATTAACGATAAAAGGTTAGAATTTTATTTCGTTTCATTAAATCAATAAAGTCGAAGAAAATGCAATAAACATGACACAAAATTATTATAAACACAGCATAAGGCATATGAGTGAGTTATCGATATAAAGTAGGCTTTATTTGTACATTATTTACCGGTTTGAGGTCATAAATTCATCGGATGAGGCAAGAGTGCAGAAATTCAATTTAATCGTTTGGAAAATTGGCTATTTAAAAAAAAAGTATATAACTACGTTGGACGAAGCATAAATTTTATTAAATCAATTGAATCCCAGTATCATAGTAATTAACTTACAATTATGAAAAAGGAGCCCCAAACCCAAGCATGAAGAAAACCATGTAAAACCACAAGTTTCGTTTATTCCATGTAATTATTACCAACTCTTTATATATTATTATATTCATAATTACAACACAAAAAAAAAAGAAATAAAACCAACCAAAAAACCAAGAAAAAGTCCCAAACATAAATGTTTATTGCAAACATGAATAATGGTAATTTAGAAGGAGGAGAGATAAAACAAAAAAACTACAAATGCAAACAAACTCGCAAGCAGTGCATTTTAGACGCGCCGCGACGACAGGTTTCCTGGTGTGGCATAAATTATGCAACACCAAAAGGCAGGCAACAGCGCGCCACATAAAAAACACACCTCAAATACTGCGGTAACGGGCAACGAAAAATCAAAACCATAGCAGTAATACCAAAAAAAAACAATGTAAAATACAAAAAAAAAAAAAAAATTTAAAATACAAAAAAAAAATGTAAAATACAAAAAAAGTGAATGGAAATATCACAAAAAGCCAAACCAAAACATCGTAATAAAATTAACAAAAAAAAAAATGAACAAAAAATGCATAAGCAGACTTTTGTAATGGAAATTTAATGCAAGCAAGCTTTGTAATAACACAATAAAACCACAATACGAAAATTGGCAAGAAGAAAAAGTACAAAAATGCAATATGCAGAAAAATTATTATGGTATGTGGGTATGTGTTAATAGTAAATAAATAAATTATTATATTTTTTAATTTTGATATTTTTCTTTAAATTTAATTTAAATTATAAATAATTATATTTTAAATTTAATTATTCTTTTTCAATATGTATCATTTTAACTTTAATTATTTTTTTTCACTTTAATTGTTTTTTCCAATTTTAATTATTATTTTTTAATTTTAATTATTATTTTTTAATTTTAATTATTATTTTTTAATTTTAATTATTTTTTTAATTTAAACTTTATTTTAGTTTAAATTTTTTAGTTTTAATTTTTTTTGAACTTATATAATTTTTTTTAATTTTTATTAATTTCTAATTTTAATTATTTTTTTTAATATAAATTTTTTTTAAGTTTAAAATTTTTAATTTTATTTTTTTAATGTGTATTCTTTTTTTAAGTTTAATTATTTTTTTTAATATGAATATTTTTTTAATTTTAGTTTTTTTAATTTAATTATTTAATTGTGAATATCAACTTTTTTTTATTTGAATTTTTTTGTTTTATTTTAATTATTATTATTTTTTTGGTTTTAATAATTTTTTTAAATTTTAATTATTTTTTTTTAAATTTTAATTATTTTTTTTTAATTTTAATTATTATTTTTTGATTTTAATTATTTTTTTTTAATTTTAATTTTTAATTTTAATTTTTCTTTAATTTTAATTTTTTTTTTAATTTTAATTTTTTTTTAATTTTAATTTTTTTTTTAATTTTAATTATTTTTTTAATTTTATATATTTTTTTTTTTTAATTTTAATTTTTTTTAATTTTAACTATTTTTTTTAATTTTAATTATTTTTTAATTTTAATTATTTTTTTTTAATTTTAATTATTTTTTTTTAATTTTAATTATTTTTTTTTTTAATTTTAATTATTTTTTTTTTAATTTTAATTATTTTTTTAATTTTAATTATTTTTTTTTCAATTTAAATTTTATTTTGGATGAAACGATTAAGATTGGAAAAATAGTTTCTACTAGAGAAGTTATGAACAAAAAAATATTTGCTATATCGATTTTATACATTTTTTAACATATTTGTTTTTAATACACAAATTAAATCGAATTTTCTAAAAAATACTTTTTAATTTTAATTTTAATATTTAATATTATAAATTTAAATATTTTACCTAACATATAAAAAACTCGAGTAGAGAAGTTATTTAAAAAAGACAAAAATATTGCACCAATTTTTGAAAATTAAGTTTAATACTTCTTTTTATAATTGCAAATATATTTTACTAAAAGTTATAATTGGTAAAAATTGCTGAATAGATTGTTCTTTCAATTAATATAAGTACTTTTTCAACCAATAAATTATAAATTTATTCATTTAAAAAAATTTTTTTTATGTTTTATTTTTTTTTTTTTTATTTTGTTTTACTGACTTTTATTTATTTATTTTTTTCTTTTGTTTTACTGACTTTTATTTATTTATTTTAATTTTTATTTTACTATTTTTTAACATATAATTTATTTAATATTTTATTTATATATTTAATTTTTTTTTAGAATAACTTTTTGTTTTTACTTTTTAGTTTTGCTTTTATTATTATTTTAATATGTTGCTATTAATTTTTAATATATTTAATTTTAATTCAACGAAAAAAATCTCCCTTAGTTATTGGAAAAAATCGTGAATCAATTTTACTTTAAATTAATTTAAAATTTTTTTATATTTTATTAAATATGAAGTACACCTCGACTTGGGAAACCATTATAAAAAAAAAATTTATCGAATTGACACTTTTAAATTAATTTTTAATATTTTGCTGTAATCAAAAAAAAAAACTAAAAGAAATTTATATTGAATTCTTGTATTTACAAAGAAAATGGAGCAAGCTTTATGTACATATAAATATTTCTACACATCATAATGCATTTATAAATAATAAATCGCTGTGCAATTAAAACTCGGCCTATTGTAGAAGGTCAGTATGATGTGTATTGTTAAATATATACTATATCCATGAGTGTATATATACAAATACATATATACGTAGAGGAATTGTAAAATTGCTTATTATAAATAGTAACTGATAATAAGGTGTATACATTATGATAAGCAAATGTAATATTGTACATATATATATATGTATGTACATACTTAAAGAAATAAGTGTTTTGCAAATAAATGGTGTAGTAAATAAAGTAATAAAATTTAATAAAACAATTTTTAAAAATTAATAAAATGTATATTATTAACGCAAATAAAGTTCAAGTGGGAGAATATGTTATTAAAAGAAAATGAAACTCATATATTCACATTACAATACTAGAAAATAGTTTTGAAAAGCTCTCTAAAAAGACTTTAATGGCATAGAAGCGTTTTCTTTAAGGTCTTTTCGGAACCAATAATTTTAATTAAAATTTATTATAGCAAACTTTAAGAAAATTCAAATAGCAACGGTATTTAACAGTATAAAAAATTAGTCACACATTAAAATATTTGTTTGTTCACCAACTTTTGTAAGGAAAAATGGCTGAAAACTTACATTTACTTAAACCCTTTAGTAAACAAAAACAATAAATTAAAAAAAAATTTCCAATAAATATAACAACAAAAAGGCAATAAAAAGCACATAAAAGTAGAAGTAAATATGGAAAATCTCCATACTCGACTCATACGCCAAACAAAAGGTGACTGACTGACAGCCAGCATTACAGACGGCTAGCAAAATAAAACGCCAAAACCAAAAAAGCAACAAAAAACAACAAAAACTATATAAAAAAATAAAACAAAAGCCAGTAACCAGTCATTCATACTGTGGACAACAACAACAAAGCCTATCAAAGAATCAAGCTATAATAATAAATAAGATATAATAAGCGTACCTTCATATATACACGTATACATTTTTGTTTGTATGTCTGTGTGTATGTAAGTATTACATTTACATCCATCCATTTGCCAACGCTTGAAGCGCTTTTGGTTGGTTATTAAAAAAAAAAACAAAGCCAAGTCAACTCAAGGCCGACAATTATTGCATTTTTTATTTTGGTCTCAGCAACAGCACCGCACTACAACACAGCCAACAATCAACAATCAACAGCCAACAACCAACAATAAAAGATGTGTTGTAGTTAAAGTAATGAAAATAAAAACATTTAATTAAAAATAAAAGTAAAATAAAAGAACAACTATCTTGTAGCTGTAAAACAACAAGTGAATGTGTGTTGTTCGGTTCAGTTAGGGTGTTAGTTGACGTCAATGTCCACGTCCACGTCCACCAACTTTAACTTCGACATTTACAAACATCCAAATTCAACCTCAACTCCACCAGCGTCAACGACGTCAACGTCGCTCGCGCACACAGTACATTCACCACATTTAGAGTTTCACGGCTGAATTTGCACTTTGCCTCACACATAAACTGGTCCGGTTTGTGGCCATCAACGTCGCTACAGATATATCTTTATGCGCACACATACACTCACATATGTACCTATATAAAATTATTTATAAAACAAAATCTTAAAAAAAAAAAAAAAATAAAATAACGCATCGGAATGTAACGCCAAGCAGGCGCTTAAACACTTGGAGATGTATTCGAAAAAATGAAACAGATGTGTATACATTGAGTGCTGCGTGAGTGCGTACGTACGTGCAAATCACACAATGCAGCACAGAGATGATAGCTGCGATATCAGCACTTCCCCCATCCACACACACATACACATACACACACAAGTGCATATGCGAGCGACACTGTTGTACTCGGTATGTGCCTACCGCGTTCCCCCTCTCACACGAAATCCGCAAACGATTCATTAGCAACTCGACAAAGCTTTGCAGTTTGACCAA